GAGTCGTGATGGTGCTGAGACCTGGGCAGTGAAATGGAAATGCTCACAAGCTATGTTTCCCCAAGCTAGCCTACACGCCAATGGGAATCAGACTTCAGTCACCGTTGCGAGGGTCCGTTGGTGTCCTTGGGGAGATAGGCAGATCGAGATCGAGACGACTCTTGTTCCGCCGACCGATAGATGGCCAGACTGGCACGTTCGAATTCACCGTATCCGCGTGAATACTTCGTTGCGAACTCTACATACGACCGAAGGCGGGTTCGCATCGCCGTCACGTTGCACCAATGACGGCACCAAGATTCCTTTCATCAACAAGCTTGATGCCCAGGCAGAGCTCGGGACATCCGAGGGCATTCTGGCATCCGACGATTCCACCCTGATACTCTCGGCTGCTGGCTGCAGCGGCGTATCGGTTGCTTCGCTAAACATTGCCCCGTTGCGGGCACAAACACGCTCCAGTGCTCTTCAGCCAGATTCCAATACAAACTTGGCCTATGCCAGAACTGTGATTCCAATTTTGGAGCGCAACCAGATCGATGGGTTGGAAGCTGGTACTGAGTTTGTATTCGCGACGAGCGTATTTGCCATATCAGCTAGTGCCAACGGTGGCAGGAAGACCGTGTCCAGAAGTCTAGCTGAGAGATGGGCAGATAAGCCCCAGATTTATATTTCACCTCCTGATGGGTATACCAAGGGGACAGACTGCATAGTCTTGGACGGTTAAGTTAGCTAAACTTTTTGGTTTTCGAGTTATCCAATATCTATGAGAGTTAACAAATGGCAATGTAATAAATCCATGGCGGTGCGGTCATAGATCTAATCCATGTATCTTATCAGCCCATCTCTCTCTCACCTCCACATCTGCCCAACCTCCAATTCCTCCAAACCACCACAATGTCCGCCCTCACCCAGGACCAGATCAAAGTCCTTGAGCAATCACGCCAGCGCCTCGTGCAGCTGACACGCTCCCTCGGATCCCTAATCGCCAGTCTGAACCAAAGCGATCCCCTTCCTCCGTGGTGAGTGAACAAGCCTTGCACAACGAAAAGAACTCCTGGATAGCCCACCACCCACCCCTCAAGGCACAAGTCTAACAACAGCCACCCCCCAAAACAGGTCCTCCCTCCAGTCCCAAGCAAGTATTATCTCCAACAATCTCCTCAGCGTCTCTGAACAACTCTCCGAACACGGCGACCTCCTCTCCGCACTAGTCGCCTACCCAGGGCCCGAGTACCCTGGCCGGACACAGTCCAACACGCTCGAACAGCTCCTGCGCACGAAACTCGACCCACGCGTGGAGGACTGGGTGGCGCGCGGGCGTATCGCAGGCACCCACGATCCCGACTCTGCTTTGCATGCAGACCAGAACTCGACTGCCCCCAAGCCACTTACCGAGGCCCAGCTTGCGGAGCTGTGGGAGTGGGCACCTCTGGAGGCGAATGAGGAAGCGCGCCGGAGGAATTGGGGTGGGAATTTCACACTTGAAGAGCGCGAGGCCGGGGTGCAGAATGTTGTGACGGGGTTGAAGAGACAGTTGGAGGATGATGAAGGTTCTGAGGGGGAGGAGGAAGAGGAAGAGGAAGAAGAGGAGGCCGAGGCCGAGGATGAGGAGGAGATGGACGTTGTGGGTGTTCATCGCAAGGCTTCTGGGGGCATGGAATTTGATATCGCCGTGCATCATCGGCATGCGCTGGAGCCGGTGGTGCCACTCGATGAGATCCTGAGGTATATGACGACCGGACGCATGCCATAAGCTCCCGGCGATGGTGAATGGCTTGTTTACAGGGGACTTCTTATATATCGATGTGACATCTCCACGCACAATTCATGAGGATCCGAGATTAATTGCATATTAAATGCCAAAGGAAAGCATTATTAAATTCAGCAATGTGAAAGGAAAGAAGAAACCTTCAGTATATAAAGAATATAACCGCACTCATTCTAGCCCCGTCGTCGCGTGGTTGGGCCCTTGCCCTTGGGCGAAGGAGACACGCCAGTGCTTTGGGCCATGGTCTGTCTGTCTGCCGACTTGCGGGTCGCCTTCTTCTTGGGCGCCGGGGAGTTCCAGTAGTACACCATCTGCGCGGCAAGGATGACGTTGAGGGTAAAGCCGGCAACGAATCCGTAGAGGATGAGCTTGTCGTCAACCTCCTGGATCGTGGTGAAGATGCGGGAAAGAGAACCGACGAGGTAGTTGAAGACCTAACAGAAAACGATTAGATGCGACACGTATGAACAGCGGGCGAAACAAATCAACATACGGCGAACGCGCTCAGCTGTCCGGTTCCTCCCTCGCGCCAGATGGTGAGGATTTGAGGTGCTTTGCTAGCGACACCCAGCGCACCCGCGCCGGCCTGCAGATACGCCATAGTCTGTGCGTCAACCAGGGTCTGGTCGAACAGCAGCGCGTACACGCTCGCCGCGACCACGGCAACGAAGGTGGCAGCCGCAGCAGAGCGGCCGGCAAATGTAAGGACCAGGACTCCCACGGCGACATCCTGGACGGCGATGAGGGCTGACTCGCCGTAGGTGCTAAAGGGGAAGTTGTTGCGCACGCCGTACGATAGCGTGATGAGCAGGCTGGCCGTCTCCAGCGCGTACGAAACGAACGACACGCCGGCGGACGAGCGCGAGCTGATCAGCTTCAGGATTTGAGGGACCTTGACGATCGCGCTGGCGCCGACAATTGCAATACCGAGGGCCTTGGAGATCGCCAGCGATGTGCAGGCAGGGTCCTTTGTCACATCGAGGTCGAGCAGCAGTGCGCTGTGGCAGGGCGACCCGATCAGGGAGATGACGGCATCGTGCACGGGTTCGGGGATGGAGGAGACGACGGGGCGCAGATAAGGCTGCAGCGGATCGATGACTTTCTGGAGGACGTCCATTTCGAATCTTGCTTAGGGGTGTGATTTGAAGAAGGGGGAGTTAGTTAGTAGTTGTTGTTGACGATCCAAACTGCGGCTTTGGTCTGTGATCCGCGCCGGGGAATTTGATCTTCGCTTTTTGTTTCTCCCTCTGGTTTGTTCTTTCTTCTTTCTCTAGCACACCAACTCCCCGCCGCCATGCTGCTTCTGCGGTCCCCCATCCTTCGGCAGGGGCCGCCTCGAGAGGCAATATGGTGCTCGCGATGTCTAGTGCGCAGATCAGTGCAGCCGCACTCTGCTCTGCGCCAGTTCTGGTCGTCTTCGCACCGGCGGACAGGCATCACCAATGACGCCCCTTCGACCCTCCACAAGACATATTTCTCGCCCAATCGCCTACAAGATCCCCCCGAGGGCAACAGCAATGTGCTATCTTCATTAGCATCCGCCAATGCCACAAAAAACCCTTCCACCGCCGCGACTCCGAACTCGACAGACCCGAGTTCGACCGAGACAGCCCCGGCCGGGTCAATGGCTACAGAATCCGTCGAGAACGAGCTGCCACATCGACGGAGAAAGCGGCTGAAGGAGCGAATACCAGAGATGGGCCAAGCAGAACCCGTCATCCCTCCCGATGCGTCGGCGCAATTGTCTGCTTTCTCCTCCGCCCTGCCCACCACCTCCGTCCGCCGCAAATTGGCGGCCTTTCTCGCCCTGACAAAACCTCGACTATCCTTTCTGATCCTCCTCACTACAACCTCCGCATATGGGATGTATCCGATCTCTTCCCTGCTCACACTTGACCCGGCCATGACCCCACTACCCACGCTCTCGACTTCGACCCTGACCTTCATCTACCTTACGGCGGGCACATTCCTATCCTCATGCAGTGCAAACACGCTGAACATGATCCTTGAACCCAAGTACGACGCTCTGATGTCGCGTACTCGCAACCGCCCTTTGGTCCGCGGGCTGGTCTCGCGGCGCGCGGCCGTGCTTTTCGCCATTGGCACCGCGGTCACTGGGCTTTCGCTCCTGTACATTGGAACAAACCCGACGGTCACTGCGCTCTCCGCAGCAAATATCTGCCTGTATGCGTTCGTGTACACGCCGCTGAAGCGCATTCACGTCATCAACACATGGGTCGGCGCCGTGGTGGGTGCCATCCCGCCGATGATGGGATGGATCGCTGCAGAGGGCCAGACCGCGACTACGGGCCACGATAACTGGCGAGATATGCTTTTTAGCCAAGAAAGCATCGGCGGGTGGCTCTTGGGTGGTGCTCTCTTTGCCTGGCAGTTCCCGCATTTCAACGCTCTTTCCCACACCATCCGTGAGGAATACAAGGCCGCGGGGTATAAAATGCTGTGCTGGACGAACCCGGCTCATAATGCTCGGGTTGCTCTCCGCTATTCCATTCTGATGTTCCCCATTTCCATTGGGCTGTGGTGGTTCAACGTCGTCGGCCACGGGTTCTTGGTTGGAAGCAGTGTCGCCAACGGCTGGCTCGTCCGCGAAGCGTACCGCTTCTGGCAGCACCAGGGTGCACAGGGAACTGCCCGTGGATTGTTCTGGGCGAGTATCTGGCAGCTGCCGATTCTTTTGGTTGGTGGCCTAGTCACTAAGAAGGGTTTGTGGGACGGCGTCTGGCAGCAGATCTTCGGACAGCCAGACGATGAGGACGAGGATGAATATCCCTACTATGATGAGGACGATGAGTCCTCAAAGCAGACTCCTGCGTCGTCTCACACCAATACCCGCTCCTCAACCTCGTCGAACCGCACTAGTGTCTTATCTACGGCATGAATGCGCGAGTCAGATGTATGATATCGTTGATTTCTTTCAATTCCATCTGCGCCATAGGTCCTATCTGAGGTTATAGCACTGGATTTATCCTCCGTCTCTCTCTACATTTTGATTTCTTTTTGGTGCCTTATATAGGGGTTTGGAGGGGCGTTTTGCGTCTTTGTATAACAGCAATCGCATACAGATCAAGCATCTATACTTCCATTTTTTCAATACTGTAGACTCTTGACTCTTTTCATCATCACTATACAGAAATAATATACATTCGTCGAAGGGGAGATAATAGCCGGGTATCCAGATCTATATCGTACAAGGAACATCTCAAGATATTTCCTACTCTCTCAACCGCAGATGATACGTCTGCAGCGCCTCCTCGGCCATCGGACTCGGCGCGCCGACCATAGCATCGTCGCCACCCTTGCCCGTCTTAGGGAAGGCAATAACATCTCTCACCGACTCCTTGCCCAGCATAACAGCGACAAGGCGATCAAAGCCCAGCGCCAGCCCAGCATGCGGCGGACAGCCGGCGCGAAGGGCATCCAGCAGATGCGAAAAGTCTTCGAGGCGCTCGGGCCTCATCTGGAGGATATCACGGAGAATGAACTCCTGCACGGCAGCGTCGTGGATACGCCGACTACCGCCACCGAGCTCGACGCCGTTCACGACGAGGTCGTAGTGGTCTGCGACGGCTTGCGTGGGGTTTGTGAGGAGGAGGTCGACGTCGGTGGTGGTCTTGGGCGCTGTGAAGGGGTGATGCGTGGAGGTGATGCCCGCTGCGCCACCCTGACCGGGCTCTGAGTCCGAAGACGGCGAGAAGAGAGGGAAGTCGACGACCCAGAGGAAGTCGAATCCCGTCGGGGCGGGCTTGAAGCCCGTTGACACGCCGGACGCGTGTAGCGCGCGGCGCAGGTCGCCGATTGGAGTCGAGCCCCCGGTGAATGGGGCGCGTGGTCGTGCTTGAAGAATGATTAGGTCGCCGTGGTCGGGCTCGAGGAGTTTTTCGGCCTGCTCGGCGGCCTCGAAGCCGAATGGCTGCAGGCCGCAAAGTGGCGCCTTGCCATTGTACACGAATACGCCTGGGGCGCCGTCTGGGTTGTTGTTGAAGGGTGCTCCGGCGGGGGAGTCAAGGAATTGGGAGATGAATTTGCTCGTTTCGGTGGGGTCGTTGTCGTTGGCTTCAAGTTTGAAGGCTTCTACGATGGGGTCGTGGAGTGGTGAGATTTTGTTGACCAGGTCGACTGGTAGTAGGTGGTCGAGTCGGAAGATCTCCATGCCGTACCTGGTGTCTGGTTTGTCTGAGCCGTACCGAGCCATTGCATCCTGGTATGAGAGGCGCCGGAATGGGCCCTCAGGTGCTGGGTCTTTCATTAGAGACGACCAGAGGCGGCGGATGATGCCTTCGACGGTGCGCATCACATCGTCACCTGTCGCAAAAGACATTTCGAGATCAAGCTAGACAATACCCAGTCAGCAATTTGCATACATGAATCCTTTGCTTGCTGTTTTTACCTGAGTGAACTCCGGCTGGCGATCAGCCCTCAGATCTTCATCGCGGAAGCAGCGCGCAAACTGATAGTACCTCGGCAACCCACTCGCCATGAGGATCTGCTTGTATTGCTGCGGACTTTGGGGCAGGGCATAGGCTAGCCCTTGTCTGCGCGTCGGGACGAGGAATTCTCGTGCCCCCTCCGGCGTCGACTTGAATAGCAGTGGGGTCTCGACCTCGACAAAGGCCGGCCGACAGTGCTCCTCCAATTCCACCTTGCACACATTATGTACCTTCGCCCGGAACCTCAGGGCTTCACGCAATTCCGCATCCGAACGCAGCTGCAGATACCGCTGCTCTGGCGGGAATACAGTCTCGGGTTTCATGACGATTTCTTTTGGGAAATCGTTCAACACATGTATATCCTCCAGCGCAAGCTCCCACATATCTTCAGCCAATTTCGGTGCCGAGTCAGATGCCTTGTTCTTCTTCCTTTGTACTGTGCCGCGCACGGCGACGGGGCTGTGTTTATTAACTGCTTTGAGTTTCTCGACGGCGTTCTTAAGAGCCACCAGTTGTATCTGGTGTTCCATTGTGGGGTCGACTAGCGTCGCAAATGACAGCGACTTGGAAATTGTTGACAGAGAGCCTAAATAGCCATGCAGCACGACTTGGGTGTTGGGCTCGGCGTTTGCGAGGAAGGTCTCGAAGTCAGAAGTGGCCGGCGGAAATTCCACTGTACACAAGGTCTGGGTCAGCGGGGTTTCTTTTACACAAGCATGCAAAACCAACCTGCTTCTTTGTATGTCTTTAAAAACGCCGGCAGCTCTGGAGTAGCCTGCTCCCGCAGATAGGCCTGGCTGCGGAATTGTCTCGGAGCAGCCATTGGCGCTAGACGACGCGGTGTTGACCACGCCGCATTGCGCTGGGCAAAATGAGACAGCTCGACATAGGTCGAGCGCAGTCGCACTGCACGCTGTGACACACTTTGCAGGAGCATTGTCCAGCGTTTCAATGGTGTGCTGTCAGGGAAGAGATGCGTTCCTCGATATCAAATAAAGTGGCAGAATCCCTCTTCCACCGCCAGCCCAATAAAGACTAGCGCCCAGCTTATATTTGCTCCGCTTGTTTCGCTTTTTTCTTTTCTTCTTCATCCTTCCAAGTTTTATACAAGTGAGTCCCCTACCACCAATTTAATAGTCATTTATGGACCCATCTGACCACCTCTCAGATGATGAAAGCCTAGTGTGTTCTATATGATATCTCGCCTCTCTGAGACGGGCGGCTCTCTTTCTTCGGAGAGCTCAAGGGCTGCCCGACTCGAGATGGTGGGAGGGTGATCGAGGCGTTCGGCACAACCACCTTGTTAATTTTACGGACGCGATGAAGGCATCTCTGATCCCATTGAGACTTGGCGGTGTTTATTATATATCTATCTGTAATGGTGAGAATGATGGGTGCTGGAGAGGCTCGTCGATTCTTCAACGGGCTTTGATGACGCACTACCCTACATTTGATCAACCTTCAGGCAATTATTCTGCAGAAAATGCAACAATGATTTTATTCTTTATCCATCGAGATGTTCAATCTGGACCCAAATCTGAATCTATACGCAAACAAGTAAAACAAAACTAACAAACCGGGACTTTTCTTTCTTTCAACCGAAAATCATCTTTTGCAACACATCCTTCTCTCCACTGTTATCCACCAGGTTCTTGAACACCCCTCCTTCAATACCCATCAAATCCTTTGGAGAGCCAAACTCAACCGCCTTGCCGGCATCCAGGACAAGAATCCGATCGAAATCCGCAATCGTACTCAGTCGGTGCGCGATGACCAGCAGGGTGGTTGCGTTGCGTCCGAACTCCGCGCGGATGGACGTCTGGATCAGGGCGTCGGTTTCCATGTCCACGGCAGAGGTGGCTTCGTCCAGCACCATGATCTTGGGGCGGGCGACGATAGCCCGGGCCAGACACAGGAGCTGCCGCTGACCCTGGGAGAGATTGAGGCCACCCTCGGAGATCGTGGCGCTGAGTGATGTAAAAATGTTAGTGTTGGCGTTGGCGGTTGCGGTAGCTGTGTCTGGGGTCGTTGCACCGGTGCTGCCTGGGTGGCGTGGCGTGGCTGTGCGCGAAGTCAGAGTCTCGTCGTCGTCAGAGGTAGACGATATCAAGTGCACGCGTGCCAATGCATCGTACAGATCTTGGTCACTATATTCGCCGAACGGGTCCAGGTTCGAGCGCACCGTCCCGGAGAACAGAACCGGGTCCTGCGGGATGATGGCCAACCGGCTGCGCAGATCATGAAGCTTGATCTTGGACACATCGAGTCCATCTATCAGGATTTGGCCTGCCCGCGCTTCAAGGAAGCGGAACAGGGCCAGAGTCAATGAAGACTTGCCCGCACCTGTCCGGCCGACCACACCGACTCGCTGGTTCTTTTCGACGGTGAAGCTCAGTCCATTCAGCACGGGAGGTAGGTCTGGCGCATACCCAACCACCAAGTCAGTCACCTCCAGCCGTCCTTCCGTGGGCCAGGCAGCGGGCGCGTCGGCACCGCCCTGGTTCTCAAGCTCGATGGACGAATATTCGATAACGCGCTCGGTAGCGTTCATGTTCAACTCGGTGCTAGCATACTGGCGCAGCGCCATTGCGATGGCAGAGTTGAACTGCAGAGCAAAGCTAAGAGCGAATCCTGCCAGAGAGGCTGTGATACCGGGCATGTAAACGACCAGGGCCGCGGTGAAAGTTGCGAAGACGGCACCGATGAGGTTCATGCGGAAGCCAAGCCAGCGATTGAACAGCCACATATACCACCAAGCCTGGGCATGGCGGTTGATCTTGTTGTAGATAACTCCAATGTAGGTCTCGCTCTTGCTGAAGGCGCGGATGGTCACCAAGCCGGCCAGACTGGACCCGAATTGCTCAAACACGGGGCTCTTGGCGATCGACTCAATACGCTTAATCTCTCGCGCCCCAGCCAAATAGGTCAGAGCCAGCTTGAGGGAGACCAAAAGCAGAGCCACGGCAAAGATGATGACCACGGGCGAGACAAGCATGCCGGCAACCAGGACCCCGATCACCTCCAGAAGCTTGGTAGCCGTGAATCCAATATCGTACCCGAGTCGGGAGTCGATCATGTGGAAGTCTGCAGTGAATCGGTTGAGAATTCGTCCAAGGGGAACGGTGTCCAGCCACCGGAGCGGAGCGCGAAGCACGGCGAAAACCAGCCCTTTGAACAAGTTCCTCGATCCCTTGACGGCGGCGTTGAGTATAAAATAGTATCTGGCTGTGCCAACCACACAGGCAAGCACTGAAATGCCGACATAGATGCTTAGATACATGGCAAGATTGTCGTCTCCGCGAGTCGTTCTCGTTGCATTCATCGGGTGCTGCAGGAGAGCAGAGAACTGCTCGGGATGCGCCTGTGTGTTGGACGAAGAACTGGTCCAGACATTGACCCACCACGCCTGTTGGAACGAATCATTAGATGCGCGATTGTGTTCAGTAGGGCTATTCTATACTTACTCGTCCGACCATGAGCACCGAATTTCCGACGTAGACCACACTTGCCAGCAGCCAGTAACTCCAATGGCCAGCCTGGGACAGATAAGCCGCGTACACGGCCAGCTTGACCCTGCCAGTCTCGCGCTTCTCTTCTTCCACGAATTTCCTGGGGGTTTTGGTGCTCGTTGGCTCAGCAGCAGTAGCACCGTTCATTCCCGTACTCGGATGCTGATGAGAGGTATTCGAGATCACCTTCTGAAGAGTTGTTTCTTCGTCATTGAGAATCTCATCGCCCTCGGCGGCAACATGACCCCCCTCTTCCACAGCATTCTCTTCTCGCAGGATATCTTCCAGGTGATTTGACTTTTTAAGCTCATCAATCGTGCCCGCATACTTGACACATCCGTTTTCCAGAAGCACCGAGTAGTCCGTACGAGGAAGACACAGGGCGACATGATGCGTCACCAAAATCCGAGTGCGGTTCTGACCAAGCTCCCCAGTAAGAGCATGCTCATAGACATGACGGCCCGTGTGGGCATCCAAGGCGCTGAAGATATCATCCATGATAAGAATGCCCGCGCGAGAATACAATGCTCGAGCAAATGATACGCGCCATCGCTGGCCACCGCTGAGATTGACGCCATTGGCGCCGATATCTGTTAGTTCGCCATCAGGAAGCATGTCGAAATCTTTTTGCAGGGCACATGCGAATAACACCTTCTGGTAGCGCTCTGGGTCGAACGGCAGCCCGAACAGGATATTGTCTTTGATCGATGCGTTTTCAATCCACGGAATCTGGGCAACGTAGGCGATGGCAGAGTCGATGATCCAGTTAGCCGAGGTTGCCAGGTGATCGAAACGTTCACTGATGGGAGGAGGAACGGGGACTTTGACGGTCCCTTCGAGGACTTCACATTCTCCCAGAAGGCATGAAAGCAGCAGGCTCTTTCCAGATCCAGTTCGGCCGGATACGACACTGAGACCCTTCATGGGGAAAGCCACATCCAAACTGCGAAGTGCAAACCGGTCCTCATCAACTGCCTCGTCCTCTGTTTGATCTGCGGGCCATGCTACCGAGGCATTTTCAAAGGCGATGTTCTCAGCAGGGACCGTGTTGACGACTTTATCAGGCGTCTTCATGTACTTGTCGATGCGGTCTGCACTGACCTTGGCTTCCAGACCATCGGCCATTAGTTCTGGGATAATAGCCAGCGATAACTCCAGGGCACCAAAGACTGACATGGCCGTGAAAGCGACTGACGCTTCCAAACCACCGTGAATCACAGCATACACCGTGAGAGATACGGCTGACAACCCGACAGGCCCGAGAATCCAAATTGAGATCAGGCCGATATCATAGAGGAACGAGGACCACAAAGCCGCCAGCTCCGTCTCCCGCACTTCCCCAATGCGATTCTGCCACTGCTCCTCGAGAGCAGAAAACTTGATCTGCCGGATCCCCTGGAGGACCTCGGTCACGACGGCCATTTTTTGATCTCGGGCCTTCATCAGTCGGTCCTGGGCATTGGAAAACTTCTTGGCGACGTAGATATTCAACGGCGTGACGAGAAGCGAAACACCCAGACCGGCCAGGGTGCTGCGCCATCCGAGAATCTTGACCAAGAAAGCGCAGCCCAGAAGCACCTTGGTTATCGCAAGCGGGATGAGGTAGTTAAAGGTCGCAAAGTCCGCAATCCGCCTAGCGTCCACGGCCACAAGGTTGATGACGCTCTGTCGGCTTTTCTTCATGGCCTCTTCGTCGTCGTCTTCTTCCGGTTCTTCCAGCAGTGCCTTGGATGAGGCGTCGGGCTTAGTATCCGCATCTTTCGATTTCTTTGTATGCTTAGCATCTTTCCTTCGCATAGCCTTGGCAAAGATTGTGGCGGAGAGTGATTCGTAGATGGGAAGGCCAATCCGGTAGCAAATCACCCAGAACAACCATGAGTCAACGCTGGAAGAAACCAGCATCATGATTCCCAAGGCAAAGACCCACATCCACGACTGGAGGGCAGCCCACGATTCCGTTCCGCGGGCTTCCATCGAGTTCAAGATGTTATACAACGCGACCTGGGGACCAAAGCTCAGGATACAGGCGGCCAGAGTCAACATCATCTGCAGACCAATGGACTTGTAGTGAGCAAATATAATCGCTTTCCAGATCTTTCGCGATCCCAGGGCTCGCTCGAAGTTGGCTCGCAGGCTGTGTGCGCGCACGGGTAATGGCAGCTTCGGAATACTCTCGATATCCAGTGTCCTATTTTTGACTGCATACTGGAGAAGCGTGCTGGCCCAGGTAAATGAGAATCGACTGAGTACGGAGACGGTGAATTGCTGGTCCACCACCTGGCCCTCGAAATACACGTCTGGTCGGCGCGGTAGGATAGCGCAGAAGAAGCCTCGGAAGAGTGCGCAGGCAATTTGCACGATCAGCAGAATGACCCAGGACCGGGTTTGAGGAAGAGTTCTGCCGCCGTACGATGCCAGGGCAATCTGCGCACCCGGAAGTGCTACGGCGATGAGACTGCCCCAAAGTGCGTAGCCGGCGTGGTCAAATCGGCGTGTTGGCCGCGGCTCTGTGAAAAAGACGACCGTTTGAATAGAGAGAAAGATCTAGATTTTTGATAAGACCTAGGTTTACCGAGACAAAGTGATTGGACTGAAAACATACCCAGACACCGAATTGCAGCCATACGAGCGGCGTGTAGTCGGCATTGTACTTCAACGTTGTCAGAACGGCCAAAGCCAGAGTGACCAGCAGTCCGGAGATCGAGGTCAGGGTGATCAAGATTCGCTGCCATTTATCCGAAAAGGCCCGCAGCGATTCCTCGGTTGCTTCGCCGTCTTCATCCCGATAGGCGCCCTTTGCCAGTGACTGCTCCTCTTCCCGGGCCGCCTTGCGCGCGACTCGGCTGGTGATACTCTTGATAGCAGGTATAGAGACCAGACCGACTAGACACACGGCCAGCCCGCCTGTCGCGAAGGAGGTCACCTGCGGATCAAGCATTCTCCATAGTTCTCCCTGGGGTGGGATTATCGGTTTAACGAGAGGAAAGATGGAAGAAGAAAGAAACGGACCGGAGTTTGAGAGATTATCACCACCCGTCCGTCAACGTGACATCCAAGCGGGGAAACTTGACTCCATAATTCTGGCAACTAAAAACTCCCTAGACCGATTCTTCTGAGTCAGACTTATTCATAGGATTATATCATAAGACGCGGAACGGGCGCCAGATCTACGCCAACCATCGGTCTGGATGTAACGACAGCGTATACGAGTGACTCACGTATCGGCCAGATAACGTTAGATGGTTGGCGGGCACTCGATTGGGAGAGACAACCCTGCGCAATCCAGTGGAGTCGACACGCTCGTGCCTCCTGCACACCCGATCCCGCTCGAGATACGCCACGGGCGGCGCAACCCGCTAGAACTACATGGCAGTATGGAAATGTAGCCGATGGGACGTGCGCACACAGCCTCCAACGACAGAGCGAATCCATCGATCAATCTCAGTTCAAGACCGCCCTCCACCCCCGCCGACGGACAAAGTCATCGACGCCCTCGTCCTCGAGCACATCCGCTCCGAGGCGTCCCGTCACCACACTCCGCTCAATCTCCGGCCCGCACACATAGAACGGTTCAAATCCCAACACTATTGGTCCTTCCTGAGTATCCGATTGCCGCCGCGTCCATTTTTTCTCCTTGGTCCGGACGGGCGGTGCGAACCCCGAATTGAATCGGTCCAGACTGAGATACCACCGCCGCTGGTGAATCGAGCCGATGGTATTAAAAGACCCCGGGTAGGCATTATTTTGCTGGATCTGTAGATCGGTATCATCGTTGTCCGAGTGGACCCTCTCATCTTGCAGGCTCGGCGACAGCGAAGAAAGCTTGTCATCCGATGGTGGTGGGGATTCCGAGCTAGAAGTAGATTGCTCCTGAGCCGACCGTTTGGGTCGGATCTGCATAGCGCGTCGACGCCGTTTCGGCCCGTCGCGAATGGGTCTCACGAAATCAGTGCTTTTGTCCATACGTAGTGCAATCGTATACCCCGTCGGCAGCCGCGTCCCGTGTAATCGGAGGCGGATCTTGCGCTAGAGAGCGGCGGGTTGGTCGCGTCAGCAGAGTTGCCCCGCTTTCCCCAAATGGGAAATATAGATACGCACGTTGTTAAATGCTTCATGGAGCTTCACACTATCGGGCACCTGTTCGCTCGGCGAAACGGAGATGGGGTCGTCGGAGACGTCGGTCCGAGAATCGTCGGTTTCCGGCTCGGCTTGATCTATGTTGTACGGCAAAACCTCGTACTCGCCCGTGTCCCAGATAATCATACTGCCTGTTTTGGAAGATGCCGTTTCAATTAGATGATTCTGGGATGGCAATATGGTCAGAAATAATAGTTAATAGCACAAGATGACATATCCATCACTAACCCATAGACAATGAACGCGAGTTTCAGTTGCATTCCGATTCAATCGCTGGCTATTCGGATCCCCCGGCAGGCCGTACATGATGGACCAGCTGACAGAGCTGGTCTCTGAGAATTGGAGACGGAGGTCATAATGGGTGCCCGCGACAGGGTGGTCGTGCTGGTGGATCACGAAGTGGTGTCCCTGCGGATCTTCGTTGCGTCGGTATAGATCGATCCACTTGTCGATCGGGAGTCTGGGCGTTGCTGGTAGGTCTGATAGTGGACGTATGCACTGGCTGAGTTTGGTGGAGATGGTGGCTAAATGGTTGTTGATTTCGACCTGACCAGCTTCAATGGCCGCTAGACTGTGTGCGGGCGTGTTGGAAGCATTCGTGTCTGGAGATGACTCTTTTCGAATGTGCTGGTTTACCGTAGGTTTTCTTGGCGGAGGCGATACGGATGCCTTTAAGCTGGAAAGGAAAGGGCCTCGCGGCCCAGGTCGATCTGTATCGTATGCGCCGCTTTCTTCGTTGCTCTCTGAGCTCCAGCTGCGCTTCATTCTGGAATACGCGGTTAGTTTGCAGGTAATTATCAGTCGAAGCATACATGGGATCAACGAACCTGAGCTGAAGAGGAGGAGAAGGTCGAGCATCGAACAAGCAGATCGAGTGATGCAGAGCTTAGTCATTGGCATCAACAACAGTTGGCACATGGAAGTAAATAATCGCTGACATTGAATTCTCACATAAATGCTACTGGGTATCTAATATCTAACAAATAAATAGAAATAGAATCATCACTGCATCGACCTCCGGAGTCAAAATCTTCGAAATCCATAGTCCATCGCTCCACTGCACGACCGTGACTGTTAATAATGAATATTATTAGGGTCATGACGCTACTTCGAAATCACGGCGATACTCTGCGGGTTGTGAAAAATATCATGTGGGTCAATGGCCGTTTTGATCTGCTGCAGTCGGTCCAGATTCGTGCCCCAGTATGCTCTCTGAGGGTTTTCCATGTATGGATCCACATACCCCGGATACGACCCGAAGAGATTTCCTGGGCGAGCAGAAGAGATGGTGTCACTCAGACCATTGAGAAAGCTTTTGGTTGTCTCTGGAACGGGTTGGTAAAAGTTGATCGCATAAGACTGCATCCACATTATGGTTTCTCGATGGGCGTACGCGGTGGCATTCACTAGGACATCATTCGTCGCACCCCCCTCCAGGTCGAAGATGACGAACCACGCGATGGTTCCCTTCGAGGTAGTGTCTATGTAGCTGAACAGGGCATCCACACCGTCGTCAGGGATGAGCGTGTCAGGTGTGAAAGACATCGACTTGGCGTAAAACGATTGCGGAATGCCGCCTCCGATCTGTAAGATGAGCTTCTCCGCCGCGCTGCTCAGCATACCTAACCAGTTTGTCAGATGCACCACATTCCCCGAGTTGTTGATGGGGAATTGCTTCTCAAGCTCGAAGGCATTCCACTCGTCTCGGGATCCGAAGAAGGTGCCAGACACCAGGACGCCTCCTTCGAAGAGGACGAGCTCGCTCGAGAACTTTCGACTTAGAGTATCCTGCGATATCAATCTCTGCCAGTCTTTGAAGAGATTGGCCTTTGCAGCGCTGGTGCCCAGGGTGAACGTGAATGCATACTGAACGGCTTCGGTGGGCTCGGGGTGCGTGAGAACTTTGAACAGGGTGACGATCCCGAAACTGGCGGCTGCGCCCTTGATGGCGAAGAAGACATCTTGGTTCTGTGTGTCTGAGGCCCAGACAATGCTGGCGTTGGCCAGAACCACTTCCGCCTCCAGGACATGGTCGAGTGCGGTGCCCCATTCCCGGGACATGGCGCCGAGCCCGCCAATGGTGAAGTGACCACCCGAGCCTACCTGGGGACAAGAGCCATGGGCCATTGCACGACCTCCTGCATCGTGGAGACGCATCTGGACATCGCCAAGGAGTGTACCGGCACCAATAGTCGCGACGTGGGTATGGTTGTTCATGGAGAACTGCTGGAAATGCTTCAGGTCGACCACGAGCGCGCCATCAGATCCACCCAGGCCTGTGATGGTACATTCCATCAGATCAAGACGAGGATTTGAGGGGCATTACCGACCATAGTTACCATAGCTGTGACCACCACTATGGGCTTGGACTTTGTAGTTGTATTCCGCGGCGCATCGCACAATCGCAGCGACCTGGTCAGTCGTCTTCGGGTACATGATCACGGCAGGAGCCACGGGAAGATTCAGATTGTAGAGTGGCAGAGCATGGAATTGGAAGAATGGGTCGCCTCGAAAGGCTACCAAGTCTGCGTTGTGGCTGACAGCCTTGAGCAGACAGTCGTGGCCGGGGATACTGGAGAGGTTCCCCATACTGATTCAATAGGGGGATAGCCAGGAGTTTTGTCAGATGAAACGAAGAGCTGCCCAGAGAGACCGAGGAGTTGATGGAAGGAAAGAGAGAGACAGGATGCCTGGTGCACGTGGACAGCATGGTATACTTCCTGCCATGACGACGGACTGAGCCTCATACTTACATCGGACCATGATTATATGCTTCCCCATTACTATCATTGGCTATTCATGCAACGGATGGCTGCCAATGCAGGGACTCGGTGCAACGGACTGGGAACTATAGAAATGGTAGATCTCGGAATGATCATCCACAGTCTTGGCTCGTCGGGGAGAGTTTCGGGGACCATTTCTTGGGGGTCCCCGAATGCGGAAAGCAACCAGCTAACTTTAGACGGATCCTTTCGAGCCTCCTTTCTGACGTTTGACATTTCCCAATTAATGGGATCCTGCCTTTCCCTATCACATCCTAGTCATCCTCTCCCAACCCTGGTCCCTTGAACATAAAAATAAATCTCCACGAACTCAACGACCACGATGCGGGATTCATGACATCAGAGAACTCTACCGTGCAAAACCAACAGTCCGGAAAATGTTCACTCCTATTCACACCTCGCTCGGCGCCCTGCTGCTCTTCCAGGGCTCGTCGGGCCTGCTCCTGCACAACGGCGCCGTCTTTGGCATCTCCTCCCTACTATCGGGATGCGTCTTCAACCCCAGTCGGGACAACGTTCCCATCATCGCCGGGCTAGTCTCCAGTATTGCTCCGGTCTTCCTTCTAGTGCCCTCATTGATCCCTAGCTATCCTCCTGCACCGCAATCGTTGTCCTCGGCTGCTGCCACCCTGGGTGTGGGATTGCTCTTAGGCTGGGGAACGAAGGTAACAAGTGCTATCCGTCTCATCACAATGGATGCATGACTGACATGTTGTCGAAATTATAGAATGGCCGAGGTTGCACGTCCGGCCACATGCTCTGTGGACTGTCACGTCTGTCGCCACGTTCGCTGATCGCCACGGCTGTCTTCTTCGTGACGGCCTTGCTCACGGCCAATTTCGCCTCGGGAGGTGCGAATATCCCTTCGTGCGGTGCGACCCCATGCTACACTCCGGTTTACCCCTCGTCGTCGGAGCTGGTCTTCATGGTGGCCGCGGTGCTGTTGGCAAGTATCACGAACCTTGCGATCGTCCCGCGGATGCTCCATCGATCACCAGAATCCAAGACGATCTTCTCCTATGTGGCGGGACTGGAATTTGGCTTGGGCCTGTTGATTTCCGGGATGGCAGATCCGGCCAAGGTGCTCAGATTCTTCGCTTTCCTGACTGACCCGTCTCGCTTTGATCCTTCGTTGGCTTTGATTATCCTGTTTGGGATCGGGCCGTCGTTGATCACATATTTGAGCGCAAAGCCCGGTCAATCTCCAGAGAAGGGAAAACCACAGACGAAACCCACTCTGGCGGAGCAATGGAGACTTCCCACCGCGACAGTGGGTGATATTGATTGGCGATTCATTGCGGGTGCGGTAGCGTTCGGCCTTGCGTGGGGCTTAAGAGGAGTATGTCCCGGCCCGGCGATTTTGCGAACCGTGCTTCAGCCGACCTGGGGCTTGGTGACGATGGCTGGGTATATGCTGGGAAATTTGTTCTAAAAGCCCCAGGGCATCGGACCAAAAAGTGTACTGTTGGGCAGCTTGTTCTTTCGCGCTGAAAATATCATCCATTCACAGACTGTACACAGGAGATTATTAGCAAGGGCTATGATCCAAAAACAAAATGTACAAAAATCGTTAACATGTCATACATGCTAAATAAACATCATTGGGTATAAAACATTTAAAACGACCATCCAAAGGTCAAGGATCACACGAAGGAGTGACAAACGGAAGCGAGCGCTTACAATTCATCCCTTTTGTCCAACCCGGTCGCCTCTGCGTTGGCTAGCGCCTCATCTCTCTGTGTTGGTCCATCAACAGTGTCGAAATACCCTTCGAGATCCATCCACTCGGCGGCGAAGGCAGTCATGAGCATGCTCCAATCCTCCACGGTGTTTATATCCAGGTGCTCTCCATCATCATCAATCGTATGCCAAACCGGCTGGAACCCTGTTTTCCGCATGGGTGTGAAGTCGATCAGATGAAGTATCTCCACGCCTCGAGCCAAGAAAGGAATGTGATCATCCTGGATACCGCCAAACGCCTTGAGTTCATGCTCATCTTTAGCAGCGTCAGGGAACCATGACGCGCCAGGCGATGACTTAAACATGTCTAGTGAGCGGAGGCGCTGCTCCAGTGAGGCCAGGTGCTTATAGGCCCAGTGCGTAGTCTGGTAGTAGGACAAGATCGACGGGCCTTGCGCACCTAGCAGGTCCAGAAGCACAAACAGGGAGATGGCAGACAGCGGAGTTCTGAAATCAGACATGGCTGGGTGCATCTGAGTTTCCCACTGTTCCGCTAGAGAGCGGGCGCCATACAAGGAGTCCTCGTCAGTCCAACTCTTGAAGGCCTCCTCGCCATCAAGAAAGATTACCTGGATGCCCCATTTCAGGTCCAGTGACGAAGCCTTCCTTCCTTGCATCGCATCCCACTTATTCCCTAGCGCTGTATCGATGCTGCGCATCATATGCATGATAATCGCGCATGGCGCCGCGCTGTCGATGGCGCCAATGAATCCCTCCGGCTCCAGCTTGCTGTCGTAGTGCGCCACAAATGTTACATACTCCACGTCGCCGGGCGAAGTTCCCGGTGGATCACGCGAGGCAATGAAGTTGACGAATGGCACATCCTTTCCATTGGACGTCGGTGTCGTGGAGGTCGAGTTCTGGAACTCGATCTTCCATTCAGGCAACGTCGTCTGAAAGAAGTCGACAAAGTGATTGAGAACTGCGGTGGACCCGGGGGTGCCAGGAACACGGGGAATTAGAATCGGGGACAGGAGAGCGCCATTGTTGATGTCGAAGTCATTCCCTGGCCGGGGCAAGCTGCGTAGTGTCTCGTCGGAGACGCTCTCGTAGGCCTCGCCGGGAAGTAGTAGGGTCAACAGGCTAAGGCCGAGTAGGAAGAAATGGCGACAAAGGCCATGATAAGCCACAGACATAGCGTCCAAGAAGGAGACACGCTCCGTTTGCACTCTCAAAACACCGAGACACGCATGGATGTTGCAGACAGGCCAGCTATGTCAGACAAAGGAACCAAAAGCGGTGATGTGGGTGGAAGGCGGTCACCACTTTCTGTCGGCGCAATCTTCGCCTCGACAACAACTTCCTTGAACAACCGCGATGCAATTCCAGATCCTACTCCATCCGCAATTGCGGGCCTCAATTCCAAAATGTGCGCAGAGGAATCTGTGCAGACGGCTCGTCACTCGGTTCAAGACCACTCACACTCGCGCCTCCCAAAGACATGACCAGATGTCTTTCAAGTCCAAAGAGTCCGACCCATCATCTGCACCTTCAAGGGCCGCAGCGGTCAGAAAGGGTATGCTGAATTTCTCCAATGGCAGATCGGCATGTTGACTCTATTGCGCAGGACAACCCGAGAGACTATTGGTCTACTATGGAGGGACCGGCCGGGCCATGTTCCTCGGAGTGCTTCGCGTCACCACGATCCTCCTCTTCGGAGCAGCCTGTTTAATCGTGGCCCCGGCTTGCCACGAGTCAGATTATCCCTGGTATACCACGCCAGCAGGTAATATTTCCGTTGATGGACAATCAATCTGCACATGCTAAAACAAACAGTCATCGCGGGTGGTACATTACCCATGCTGTTCGTTGCATACACCTCAGCGCCCTACGTCAACTTCATCCACCTGGCATTACCTGCGTTTGCACGCAGAACCCGGGAAACAGCATTCCAATACGCTAAGGATCTGCCACCCACAGCTATCTTGTATATCAACACGATGAGATTCAACACCATCCCGCGACAGACATCAGTCCGTGTTGGGGACCTCATCCCAGACCACGATCCGATTCGGCCTGTTGCCTTTCGAAATCTCTGCCCGGCTCCACGTCCATGGTGGGCAGGGCGATCTCCTACGCAGTTCTTCACGGCCGAGAAAAGTCAGCCGGGGAGGCAGTCTTCGGTCTTCTATCCTGAGTTGTGGCCGCATATATATCGGCGCATCATGGGCAATAAGCGTCCGCCATCAAAAGTCTAACCAATAATATCATCATTTTATCTTCTTCTGTATATATATAGGTGGTGTTTACAGTTCAGCCTCTGTGTATTTATTTATATCTTTCATGTACTCTTTTCCCTTCGGTCTGCTGGCTGCCTGCTGTCCTCGATTTTCAAGTTCACCCTGCTGAGCGAGTTTTGCGGCAAACGCCGATTCTTTTTCGTTGTGTATCAAGCAGGTTCCTCGAACAGTTTCCAGCAACTCTTCTCTTTCTCCTTCCTCCATCCTCCATCCTCCTTCACCTCGCATCCACCGATCTTCCTTCTCTATTATCGATCACTTTTATCTTGCACAGCAACTTATCCAAGGTACATCAACACCTGTCGTGCTAGATATCTGCCACTCTTCCTCTTTCATCTTTCATCTTCCTTAGTTGCCCTCGCGCTTCACATTTGTGCCATGTCTTCAAGCTTCGCCCTGCATCGCACCAACTTCTTCTTTCATCCTCCCTCATTCACTCTCAGCACGTTGGTGAATCTTATTTGACCTTCAGCTGACATATGACTATTCTCACTTCCAGCCTCCCACTATTCCTTCCCGAAAATGTCGACTCCCGTGAAGCTGTCGACCCCGGTCAAGGGAGATGCCAATCCCAAGAAGTCGGATCTTCCCTTCGGCCTTTCCTTCTCAGAGGCCAGAGTCCTCTTGATTGGCATGGCCTGCGCCGCCGAGAATTCCAAGGTATGTAATATTCGCACGGTTAGAGACCTACATGCTAAAATATGATAGCCCAACCATGAGCTTCTTTATCAACTCGGCGGCTTCAAGAACCCCAACAGTTCCCGCGTGTGCTACAACGCGGCCCGCCGCAAGTTTGAAGACAAGTTCGCTGAGTTTGTCCGTGACCTCGGCATTGAGCTTCCTGCCGATCTGCTCAAGCCTCGCAAGGCCAAGCCCAAGACTCCTTCGAAGAAAGGGGAGGCTACTACCGACGATGAGGACGCCAGCCCTTCGAAGCCGGCTACCAAGGCATCTGGCAGTCGCAAGACCAAGACTTCTGTGAAGAAAGAAGAGGTTACTACCGACGACGAGGACGTCACTCCTTCGAATCCTATCTCTAAGGGCCGTCGTCGCAAGATTGACTCCGACAGTGAATACGAGCCAGTGGCCAAGGCCGCTCGTGGCCAGAATGGCAAGCAGGCGAAGATCGCTTCGATCTCCAATGTCAAGTCTTCCAAGTCCGAGGTCGTTGACAACATCGCTGCCGAGCAGGCCACTGACAGCTTTGTCGAGGCGGAGGAAGCTGCCCTGACTCAGCTGGCCTCTGCTCCTGGGTATGGCGAATCTGCCTTTAACTACCCAGACAACGAGGAGCTCTTTGCGGGAGTTGAAGTCTAAGTTGGCTTCTTCCTGGCCATCCCGTCCTGTCATAGCCTTTTGCTGCTTTTCTTGGGAAATTCGGAGTTGAATATCTGGGTGGGAGTCATAGGAGGTATCTTTCTTATCGAATCTCGTCGTTCATCTGGGGGCTGTTCCCACTGGGATCTTTCAAATGGGGGCTTTTTGTTTTGACGATGGTCGTGGTAGGGTGAGCTACTTTGCGACTATCTTGCTTTTTCTATGATCTAGTAGATCATCCAGGCTTTCGTTTTTTTCAAGGACATGTTTCTAATTCGTAGCTTGCGCCGCTTCTGTCCCGAGGTAATAGAATGGCCTCCGTATGGAGTTTAGTGTTAAAATATCTGCGTGTAGTCAGATATATATCTTTGAAAGTAGTTGGGTAAATTGGGTGGATTTTATAAAATCAGAGATTATTACCAGACTTACTGACAGCTAGTGTATATATTTAGGATTTTCTGTAAGAGACTAGGTATGAAATGGCTGGGACAGGAAATGATCAAAGGAATAGCTAGATTGGCATACACCATTGGAGCATAACAAGGAAACAAAGGAAATATATGATGGATTACCCCGAGAGACCGAGTATAGCTGCACAAAAAACATCAACCACCGCAGACCCCAACAGTAAGAAAACAAGGTTGAGAAAAAGGAAATGGGCTCAAAGCGCCTCAATAGCTCTGCACAGAACCTCGAGTCCACGATCAGAGACGTGCCCAGCATTAGGATCAGCGTCGGCAGCCGACTCTCTCAACGCCCAAGCAACATCACTCCACCACCCCAAACCAACATATCCGCCACCCTTGCGACGCTCCAGACTCTCCTTGAGACGGCTGGTATGCTCCCACTGCTTGGCAGCCGTCTCCGCACATTCAATGACTTTGTTGGGGATACCACACATCGACGCGCAGTGCATACCGAAACTGCCCTCTGCAACACCGTTCTCCAGCTTGTAGAGGAATGTAACGCGGCGTTCTGCCTCGTCGACGTAGATGGCCATGCGTTTTGGCGCGATCTCGGGATGTCCCTCGAACTCTGCCGCGAGGGAGTGGTAGTGGGTTGCGAAGAAGCCCAGGGCGCCGATGTGCGTGGCAATGTGATGCAGCACGGCCTGGGCGACGGCGATGCCGTCGTATGAGCTTGTTCCGCGTCCGAGCTCGTCGAGGATGACGAGTGAGCGGGGAGTTGCTTCGGAGAGGATCTTCTTTGTCTCAGAGAGCTCGACGAAAAAGGTAGATTGCGCGGCGAAGATGTTGTCGTTTGCACCCAGGCGCGACATAATTCGGTCTACTGGGGTCAGGCGAGCAGACTGGCAGGGGAGGTAGCAGCCGATCTGGGCCATTATCACGGCAACGCAGGTCTGTGAGCGGCAGTTAGTGAGGGTTCATGTATTATCAAAGAAGGAAAACAGACCATTCGAAGGACGGTAGACTTTCCGGCAGCGTTGGCTCCCGTTAGCAAGTCGATGTTGGGTCGGGTGCCTCCAAGTTGCACATCGTTAGGGATGAAGTCGTCCCCTCCGGACGAGAGAAAACATGGATGACGCAGCTCCTCGAACTCCAGCACGCTACGCTCGTCCTCCACAAAGACAGGCCGGCAGCTGGGCTGGCCCAAGGACGCTGAGGCCTTAGCTAGACTGATCAGGCAGTCAAGCTGCGAAATAATTCTGACAGCAGCAAGCCAGGTACCATAGTTCTCATCAAAGCGAGCATGGAAGCGCCCAGCGACCTCTTTGACGATCTGACTGTGAGTCTCCTGGGTTTCCTGCAATTTCCGAATGAGGGTGCGGAGCTCGGGGAAGTAGTATCGTTTCACTTGCTTAGTCGCCGACATTTGGTTCCAGTCCTTGGGGATATTTTTCACCTTGATGGGCACCTCTAATTGATAAATCTCCTTGCCGTTATCACGGTAGCAGATGGCACTGGAGCCCAAGTCACGGCGTGCTTTCTTAAGCAGATTGTCCAGATCTCGGTGCAGCTGTTCAATGCGCTCCTGAGAGTTATCGAAATCCTCCTCAACTCCAGGCTCCGGGACTAGAATTCCGCTCTCCTTTGCCTTGGAGCGATCGAATGCAGTCTTCCAATATCCCAGAAGCGGAGCCAGATCTGGCATCGAGGAAGTCAATTCTCCAATGATGCCTTCACCAGCACCACTGTCCTTGAGGAGACCCATGGTGTAGTCGATTTGTTCAAAGCCCTCGAGTACACGCACAAAATCTTGTGCTTTACAGCGCCCGGCATGGATACGCGAGATGAGCCGCTCCAGATCCGGCATTTTGGTCAGCTGCGATGAAAATTGATCTCGGACGCTTGTGTCGGCGTTCAATGCATCAACGGCATCCAACCGAGCATTGATCCTCTTTGCATCCATCAACGGGTGGCACACCCACTGCTTGAACATGCGCTTTCCAAACGGGGTGATGCAGCGATTCAGCAGCTGGAACAGAGTGCCTTCGGCACTCCCATCAAACGAATTTGCAAAGATTTCCATGTTGATCAGGGTCTGGCCATCAAGCACCAGGCTAGAAGCCTTCTTAATAGGGTCGTACCATGTGAAGTTGCCAATTGTGATCAGATCACGCTCAATCTTGAGGACCCGTAGATACTGAACCAGGGCGCCGAAGGCGGACATGAGCAACTCCTTCTCCCGCGCTTGACGAAGAGTTTCCGGCCAAGCGTTGATATTGTCATCGTCCTGGGATACAAAGTACTCGCTGGCATCGAGCTCCCTCAACGTGATCTCCCCCTCCCAAAACTCCTTCCCGGGCTTTAAGTAGTTCCAGATGGTCGTCGGGCCGGTATTGTTCTTCAGAATGCGCAGCATTTTATGGGAAACACAAGACTTCTCCAGCAGCAATTCTTGAGGGCGAGTCTGCGCGACAAAGGTCTCAAACTTGGTCATGTCCGCATCATCAACAAATTCAGAGAGGAAAAACTGGCCAGTTGCCGTATCGACAAAGGCCAGTCCAAAAGCAGGGCAGTCATCCACGATAGCTTCCTTGATCGCAACACAGTATGTCGACATATCATCTTGGAGCATTGACCCTTCAACGAGCGTGCCAGAGGTCAGGACGCAAGCTAGCTCCCGCTTGATAATTTTATCCTCTTTTCCTTTCTTGCCGTCTCGCTCGCGCATTTCCTTGCCCAGTGCAGACTCGGATTGGTCCACGCGGGCAATCTTGAAACCCTTGGCGACAAACTGGTTGGCCCAGTGATCCAGGCTCATCTCAGGCACACCGACCATGCGCATGTTGACCCTATCTGTGAGCTTCAGGTCGAACAGCTGGTGGCCAATGGTAGCGTCGTTCTCGTAGAGCTCATAGAACTTGCCCTTCTTGAAGAACACCACCGTGTCCCAAAACTTCTGCTTGATCTCCCAGTACTGCTTTTCGAATGGCGAGAACTTGGACCAGGCAAGTGGAGGGATATAGATAGTCCGAGGGTCGTACTCGGCAGACCCAGGGCGGTTCCCGTCGATGTCTTTGATATTGGCGAGCCACGGATATCGGTCTTCGGGCTCCTTAATGTGAGCCTTCTGCTTGCGTTGACTAGAAGGCGTTTTCGGAGTTGCAGCAACTCTCTCTTTGCGAGGCTCGGTGTTTTCGGGATCAAATGCCCATTTAGTGGCAGTGGCAGAGGGACCTTCAGGAAGATCAAGATCAAGATCTTCATCAACAACTGGGGGCGGTGGCAGAGATGACGATTTGTGAGACGGCTTACGCGCCGACGAGAGAGGAGCCGAAGGTCGCTTGCGCTTCTTTGCTGGGGCAGCGTCTTCATCAGAGTCATCGGCAACAATGAAATCATCCATTTCTAAACCCTGTTAGCGAGAAGCATAGCCGGTGGCCGTGACGCATGTACATACCGTCGTCAGAATATCCTTCCTCCTCTGCGCCTGCCTGAAACTCATCATCACTGTCCGGAGACGTCTTTCTTCTCTTGGAAGCGCGGCCGCGAACGCTGTTGTTTCTGTTTGGGCGGAAGATCACCTCGTCGTTATCTTCGCCCTCCGAATCGGACTCCTTGTAGCTGACTTGTTTTTTGTTCTGGGGAAGAAAGGCATGAGTATTTATTGATAGAAACAATAGTAGGTGAGCGGTGAGCATACCCGACGCGAAGGAGATATTGTGGAATCCTGTACTCCATCATGACCAGTCTGTACCGCAAGCAATTGCATGAGCTCGAGTGATCACCAGAGAAAATCAACCAGAAACACAAAGCATACCATGCCATTCCCCTCTTCCTCCTCAGGTATCGGCAAATCACTACTCGGCACAGGCGTCAAATCCTGGGCAAAACTCGAGAAACTCCTCTTCTGGTCCTTCGGCGTGCGCTTGACAGCACTACCAGCGCCACGCTGCTCCGCAGCGCGCTGAGCAGGCGAAGACGCGGGTTCGCGCGGACGATCGGTTGAGGGTGTCGCCGGAGAAGATTTCTGGAAGAACCCCAGGATGGACTTTTGGGCCTTCATGTTCTGGGTGCTCGATGTCGCTTTCTTGAGTGGGCCTGTTGGGGGCGTCGCGGTGGGAGACGAGGCGGAGGGTCCCTTCGCCATGGGGGGCAAATTGAATGGAGTTCAATTGGGATGGAAATTGACAAAAAGAACGGAAATCAAAACATAGTGGTATTAATTTGGTAGTGTTTGTTGACGGGGGGAAGAGAACAGGAAGGAGAAACAGGAGGGAGACGAGGATGAGGAAGTGATAGGCGGGCGATAAGTAAAGCGCGGCGCGTTCGCGTTGAGTGGTCACGGGACTGGCTATCTATACTGAATGAGGAGGTATATATTGAGTACATCTAGAAGTACATGTTTTTACAGTAGAGGAGATGCCTTCGGAAGAAATGACCGCTCATTCCTTCTGTTCCTTTCCCTCCTGCTTCTTCTCCGGCTCCTCCTCCCCCCAACCCGGACAGGTCAAGTCGCGCCGCCGAAACTCCTCGTCACTCACCACCTCCACGATCTTAAACTTCCATTTGCCCAATTTCAGGAACAAGAGATTGCCCTCGATGACGTAGTCCTTGGTCTTGTCCGCGAACCAGGGTTTAATCGGAGCGAATGTGAGGTTGTCTCTCATCGGACCGGTGTTGCAGGGAAGACTGCCAACATACGCTCCGTTATTAGCGATAGCTCGGTGGCCTTCACCCTTGGATGACACAAGTCCCGCGGACCAGAGCACCTTGTTGAAGGTAGTGTTGTATACCAGTGACTCGGGGAGGACAACTCTGTTACCGCCGGGCATGTTGGCAAAGTTCGTCTGGGGCGCGTAGCGATTGCCCGACTGGGGAGTGATATCGTCCGGATAGAGCGCTGGCTTCCGAGACTTGTCGTCGTTGGACTTTTGGTTCAAGGTAAGAGGTGTCGGGGTGTCCGTAGAAGAGCGTGGGCGGAACAGCTGACGGTGTTGCATCGCCACGGCATCGGCCTCAGCCTTGCCGTGGATCAATTCGACAAACTCCGAGGCCAGGGTATGCTGGGCAACTCGTTTGGAGGGGTCTTTGTTCTGCTCCTCCATGATCGAGGCAATCTCGGGCAATGGAATGAAAGTAAACAGCTTGAGATAATGCTCGACAGTGTCGTCGGGGGTTCGCACGAAGAACTGGAAAGATGTTAGTTTACGGTATATGTGGACACGAGGGAAACATACCTGGTAGAGCTCAAAAGTTGAGGTCATGTCTTTGTCAAGCCAAATCGCATTACCCGCCGACTTGCCAAACTTCTCGCCAGAGGGTGCTGTCAACAGGGGAGTCGTAAATCCAATCGGCCTGTCCAGCTCATCTTCCAGCTCCCGCCGGCTTTGCTCATCTGCCGTGTACCGACTGATCGACTTGACAGCGTCCATGCCGAACAGAATATTCCCGTATTGATCCGACCCTCCCACTTGCACTTGCACACCCTTCTTGAACAGATGCCACCAATCCCAAGCCTGGAGCAACGGGTACGAAAACTCGGCAAAGGACATCCCATCACCGGAATTTAGGCGGGTCTTGACTCTGTTGGTGCATTGTTAGCAACTTGAACTCATATCTGGAAAGCTTCCCGAGACTCACGTATCTCTGCCGAGCATAGGACCTAGTCGCATATATGCCCCCAGGTCGCGGAGCAGCTCAATGAACGGCATCTTGTTCCACCAGACATTATTATTCACTAACGCTCGTCTCCAAATCATCTGCCGCTCATGTCCGTGTCGCCTCCCATATTGTTCGATGCTTGCACCCAGCTTTTTCAACTGCATATGCATGCTGGCCATGTTTGCCTTGCGGATGGACGAGTGGACCTGATCGCGTCCCTTTAACCGGCCCGTGGGATCGCCAACCCGAGATGTAGCGCCGCCGAGCTGTCTTGGATTAGCCACTTCCTCGCATAACTCTCGGCAAGAAACTTACCAAAAATGTCACCGGTAGTCCCCAAACATAACCCCAGGCCAGCACCATGAAAGGTAGCATGTGTCCGACGTGCATGGAGGGCGCAGTCGGGTCGATTCCCACGTACATTCCGACTCGTTTCTCCGTAAAAATGCGATGCAACAGGTTGCGCTCTCTGCAATCAGTCCACACCGGTCAGCAATAATTTCGGTGCAAATTTCATCCAGGAGAGGAGTGCATACCCGACAACGTCATGAATCAACCCCCGGTCCTCCAGGTGCTGCACAAAGCTTTTCCTCTGGCCGGCCTTGATCTGCCGCGCATGCTCGGCCCATTCGTCCTCCCCGTCTTTCATGCGCTGGATCCATCCCAATGTGATCCATCGTTGCTGAGTTCCAGTAGCCCGGGAAGGTAATGTTGGTCGACGATGCTCACTCCGTAGCAGATTTGTCGTCGCGATTGCCGCCACGCTACGCGCACCGCATGCTGTCCGTGGGGGAAGTCGGGGATTGCGGCAGACCGCTCGAGAGAGCGACGCCGACTGCGGTCGCATTGGACCAGGGATTGAGGTAGGGAGGGTGGGGAGGGCTGTAGAGAGGCTTGATTGATTGAGTCGAGTCGAGTCCAAAATATCATTTCGCGACAATCAGGGACGATAAGGACCGAGGCCGGAACATCGATAATGCGAACTAACTATACAACCCTATTACGGCAAAGGAAGGAAAGCAGCATGTAGACGAAACCGAAACATGAACTACCTTTCTTCTATCTGTCAACCTACAAAAGCCTGCACGACCACTTCGTTGCTCCATCCGCTGTCCAGGTGCAAGGCCTTCCATGCAGCCAACACATCTATCGCCAGCACATTGGCATCTTCGCCGCCCTCCTTCCACACCGTCTTCCGGGGCACGGCCTGTCCGGAGATCATGACCATGAAATTGTGTGCAATGCTGCGGTCCTGCAGATCTGAGAAATAAATGCCAAGGGTACCCAGCGCCTTCAAGGTGATATCAAACCGCAAGCGCCCATTCTCTACGACTGAAATGTCTGAAGTCACCAAGGCCGCGGCGCCGGTCATCTTGCCTAACAACCCCAGAACTGCCACATGGGTCAAACTACTGCCAGGGGCATTACATCCATGACTTCCCCTCAATGTGAACGATCGAGTCGGGTACGCAGTCAGGATTTCCCAGCCCTTGTGCGACAGGACGACAGAAACCAAAGAATCCCGGGCTAGTGGCCGCATCCGCGAGGTCATTTTGCCGCTGTTGTGTGCGCGCACGACGTACTGCCCATCGGCGTCCTCGTGGATTCCCGGGAAATCCATGAGTGAAACCATGCATGATGCCTCCGCAGACTGGATGTTAAAGAGACCTAGGATCCCGCTTCCGGTTTTGGCCCAGCCGGTGTAGCACCCGACCCGCAGTACATGGCCCTCGTTGTAGTCGTGGTAGATGTCGATAGTGCGGCCGACCACGCTGGGCCGCAAAATAACGCTGTTTCCTTGGACAGTAGGCGCAGTCATTTGGTTGAGAATGTTGAGGTCGTGTTTGCCGGGTTCATCGGTGATATAAACTGGGCCCCCGGAGACGCATCGTGCCGCGGCGTGGAACGAGGCGTATGGGTGGCTGGTCTGGAACATGTCCCAGTCGGGCAAAGCGTTCAAGTATCGCGTGAGTAGGGAATTGTGTGCATTGCAAAAGAGATGCCATGGATGGGATGCTGGCACCTCTGGGAAGAAGTCGTCCGAATTCCGTATGGGGATTGCTGGCTTGTTGTTGGGCAATTGAGAATGGAAGATGATCTGGGGAATCAATGACATGCATGAGATTGACCGCGTGTCAAAGTGTTTTAGGGCTGAGATCGACCAAGCATCTTGGTAGGATGTCATGAAGCGCTTGCGGTCTTCCGGGTCTTCGAGAAGATCAAGGAAGAATTGCGAATCTGTCTTAACCGAGTCAACACCCACGGAGGTGAGATAGCTGTAGAACTCGTTGTAGAATTGCTGCACGTCATCCGGATCAATGGCCAAGATCTTGCCATCGGTGATATTATGCGCAATGGGACCCCCAGCAGCTGGATCTTTGACTTTCACCTCTTTGGTTTTGTACCTCTGGGCGAGATCACCATCTGGCGATATACCTCCCCAGTATCCCAGGAGAGAATGCCAGACGGCGATGTGCTCGATGCTTGGATTATTCCGGCGAATGGCCTCCACGGTCTCCTTCAAACCCCGAGGAAAGCCCTTAGGGTTGGCTTCAAATTGTTGCCAGCGCCTTTTGAACTGTGACTCTCCTTCATTATCCACAGTCTGCCAGTTATCGTCAATGATGAGATTGACGACTTTGATTCCTTGAGCTTTCAAAGCTTCCAAGGCGTGCAAGATCTTTTCTTCGGTCAAGTTTTGACCCAGTCCATTCCAGGTGCAATAAGTCAGACCATCAAACCATTCAGTGAGCCACTGCATTTTCGGGTCTTTTTCTACAACCACCATGTCATCGTCTCCCGGAGCCGAAATAGGAGAGGACTCTTCGCCTGCTGCGGGGGAAAGATTGGCAGCTTCGGTGAACGGTTTTACCACTTTTCGTGCTTCGTACATCACGGCAGACATGGCCACTTCAAAGTTCTCCGCAACAGCGACGAGGACTTGAAATTGGGAAGTTCCCGTATTCTCGCTTCGCGCCTTGATCATTATTTCGCCATTATCGCTGGATTGGAGAACAGTCAGGACATCGTTAACACCTGATACTGCAAGAAGAACCAGGTGAAATCCATCCTTTCGTAGAAATGAACACAGTAGTGCATCTTCCGTAAGTCGGAATTTATCTTTACCATGCCGGGGCCCCAACCAGGGACTCCATATCCTCACCAAGGCAAAATACTTGAGGAGAGACGACGGAGTCCCCAGAGGCACCAGCTTGACGCCCGAGGTTCCTTCTCTGGCCTGATCCGCGTCCCCAGAGACAGACCAAAGAGTGGACCCGGGGGCTTCACTCGCGCGGGACTCGACCTGCACATTGGACGAAAGACTGTCTATATACTTTCCAAGTTCTTCTTTGGCATTGGGAGTAGTCGCTGACTCGGTCGAGGAGCCTTGTACAAGCTGCAGGTTCCGAGGAGTGAATACCACCTCTCCATCACTCACGGGGCGCTGCTGATTGGCCCACTGCCATTCCGTGTCAGGATTGGTCCGGAACCGCACAGTGAATTGAGCATGTCCTCCTGCAGCGGGAAGTTTGATTTCGTCGGAGAATACATAGCGATGATAGCCGTACTCGGCTTCATTGCCGGTCAGCAGAGGTGCAGACGATGGATCACGCTTTTTGAGCGGCAGAGCAGTCCATTCGGTACTGGTGATGTTGTGCCAAATCTGTGCTTCCCAGGACTGCGCCGGAAATGCGATGCTTGATTCAATAACGACAGTGAAGTGGAGCTGTGCAGGTGTTGTTAGCTTGCTCTTATCATCAGGATGACTACATGAACTCACCGAATCATCCTCTTCAGACCGCAGTGCCTTCTGCACCCGCTGGACACAGGTTGATTGACCGAGCGGCGGGTAGCAGGTCACTCGTGCAAACAGACTCATTTGGGCCGGGCGAAGAAAGAGCGCCTGGGAGGGTTTCTGCCGGTCGGCCGGCCCCCGGATGGGCAGGGTCGAGGTATCTCTAGTGTTGACCTGCATGAGGGGTAAGTGACCAGTTGGCTTGACTAGGCAAACAACATCCCACAATAATTCAGCCAAGAGTTGGAAGGTGGTCGAGTGGCTGTTTTTGCCTCCGCATGATGCGTGATGAACTTATCAGCCTCAGTGGCGGGGAACAACTCTCTACATCTACGATAAGATATTTACTACTATGGGACTCCCACGAGGAACTTCGGCCCTATTTATAACTCCCCAAATTTCCTTCGTACTTTTGCTGTTCCCTTCTTTTGATCGGTCCGACGTTTACAATTTACATTGACCAAAACAAAGGGAGCCGGGGCATCTCCGTCAGAGGGGAAGTATGTATCGAATCCAGGTGGAGAATTGATCGGCTACTCATTACCCGAATGGTAATTTCAGAATGAGGCCAAAATCACAACGCAGAAGGAGTCTGGCATTCTAGGAATAACCTGGCTAACTATTGTATAGCACCATATACATAGTAACCGAAATGGCGCACAATACCAAGAATGTCAAAAATCAAAAGCCGTTTTAGGTTGTACAAACTGATCCACCATGCCGACAGTGTATTCAGCATGTACAGTTAAGCGATCTTGACCGTCAATTTTCCAATGTGCTTTTGAGCCCACTGTTCTACTGTGTTAGTGCGTTTCACAAAAGGCAAGGAACGACTGACCATGTATTCATAGGCCTCCCTGGTCTGGTCCAGACTAAAGACCTTTTCATCCACCACCGGATGGATGTCATTGGCCTCAATCGCCCGCACCATATCTCTCATTAGAGCTTTGCTACCCACATAGACTCCGCGAACAGTGCAAATGTTACTCAGAGTGTCTAAGATGCTGGGCTGGCCCTTGGGGTCGACACCACCGAGGAACCCGATGATACTAATCACACCCTCGTACTTGATGCACTTGAAACTCTGCTCGAGTGTGCCGGTGCCACCAACCTCGATAATGTGGTCCACACCAGCTTGGCCGGGAGTCAGTTTGCGTGCCGTCTCGCCCCAGTTCGGATCGGTCTTATAGTTAATGACATGGTCGGCACCGAGCTTCTTCAGCTTCTCGCCCTTTGCCGCGGACGAAGTGGTGGCAATCACGGTCGCACCAGCAGCTTTGGCGAACTTTTGAGTATAACAGTCAGTCTTATTTAGTCCAGTTAAGAAGTTAAAAGAAGATATACCTGCAAACCGAACATGCTCACACCGCCTGTTCCCTGTACCAGCACAATCTGGCCCTGCCTCAGCGGCCTGAGACCGTACAACGCATTCCAGCTGGTCAAAGCCGCGCAGGAAAGGGTGCTATTCTCGAGCGCATTGAGGTTAGCAGGGGCCTTGACAAGGCCCGTTTCGTTGAATACGCCGTACTCGCGCAGTACGCCGTCGATCACACCACCGAGACCGGTCTTCGTGGCCGGGGAATCAATATCGCCATACTGGTGGCCCTGGTTGAAGAGCGTCGCCACCTTGTCGCCTTTCTGGAACTCGGTGACCTTAGAGCCGACCTCGATTACTTCGCCGGTGCCATCGGAACCGGGGACGACAGGGAGATTGGTAGGGAAGGGATACATGCCCTATGCAACAGCGCCGTCAGTACTGGACGACGTGTTATATTATTCACGGGGAGTTGCATACCTTCGGAATGATCAAGTCGCGGTAATTCAGCGACGCGGCTTCCAACTTGACAAGCACCTCATTGTCCCCGACTTTGGGGATAGGAGCACTCTGTTGAAAGACGAGACCGTCAAAGTCATTCTCTTTGTTTTGCACAATCCATTGCTTCATTGTGGGAGCCATTTTGGAGGTAGAAAGGTCTGTGTAACCTCCATTGAGCGGGATGAGGGGCATATATACTCCCTCGCTGCCGGATGATGCGGATAGTGGATCATGACGAAATGATTATGAAGCGATCGCCAACAAGTCGCCGACTGTAAGTTTGGTTCCTCCGATCGGACACTTTTTGAAATCTTTTGGTATTTATAGATCGCACGGCAGTCATCTTGTATGGAAAGTTTTTGTATGCTGTGGTCGGGCAACATGAGTGAGCAGGACATCCTCCCAGAAAATGAAGAAAACACAACACTGGAAATAGCAGTAAAACTGTGAGTATTTACATGATCAATAATATAGTGGAAAGTGATGCTTTTTATACATGACTGCAGAACTGGAAGCTCCACTGAGGGTCTCTCGATTGTGCAATTTGGGGCTAGGATCGCTCACCTTTCTGATTTGAGTATGGCGCGAGATTACCATACCAGGGCCTTGGTCTGACCATCATGGAGGAGGGGAAGGGTAGGGGAGGGGTAGAGAACAACAAAGCAAATGCCATTTCCTCCCACCAACATATCCTTCTTGTAACATTGTGAATTTATCCAACCACTCTACTATTGACCATGTCTCTCGGACGAACTTTCAAACTTAACTCGGGATATGAGATTCCAGCCGTCGGTCTCGGGACCTGGGTATGCTTCTTTTCCTAGGGTAGCGAGAAGCCAAGCTCAACTATCATTCTTCCATAACAGCTCTCGAAGCCGCACGAGGTCGAGAATGCGGTCGAGTCCGCTCTCCGCTTGGGTTATCGTCACATCGACGCGGCTGCGTGCTATCTCAATGAGAACGAAGTCGGAAATGGCTGGAAGAAGTCGGGGGTGCCACGCGAACAGATATTTGTGGGAAAAGCACACCTTTTAAACAAAATATCAGGTCTGACTTTGGGGCATAGATCACCAGCAAGCTGTGGAACACTCACCACCACCCGGACCACATTGAAGAAGCCCTCAACAAGACCCTCGCGGATTTACAGACCGATTATTTAGATCTGTATTTGGTACGGTCACATCCAAGAGATTGATGTCCCTTGGTTAATGTATGCTATGTACAGATTCACTGGCCGGTGGCTTTTGAACACACAAACGACACCCTCACGCCGTTGGACCCGGTCACCCAGCGATTCCGCCTGGGCAACACCAATATCGCCGACACCTGGGCAGTTCTCGAGAATCTGGTACAGGCTGGCAAGATTAGAAGTATCGGGGTCAGCAACTTCACCGTCGAGGCGATCCAGAACTTGCTCAAGACCGCCAAGATCCCGCCTGCGGTTAACCAGATCGAGGCACATCCGTACTTGCTTCAGCCCGCGCTGGTCGATTTCCTCAAGGAAAACGTGCATATCTCTAGTCAAATTGTTGGTTTTTGCTTGCTAACTTGATTGTCTTGTAGAACATACTCCCCGTGGCATACAGCCCGCTCGGAAACAACATTTACAACCTGCCACGGTAAAATGCCACAGCCACCTTTCCCACAGAGTTAATTACTGATGTTCAATGCTGCATAGCGTCGTCGATGACCCGGTAGTGGTGGATATTGCGAAGAAGTTGAACAAGGACCCTGCGCAGGTGCTAATCTCGTGGGCCATCCAGCGAGGCTCGGCGGTGCTGCCGAAGAGCGTCACACCTTCACGCATTGAGAGTAACTTCCAAGGTATCTGTGAAAATAATGTGTCGAATCTTCCGCTACTAAACATCTGCTATAGATTTTGTCATTCCCGACGCTGAGTTTGAGGCCATCAACAAGCTGGACAGGAATGAACGCTACAACTACCCTTTCCGATGGGGAGTTGATATCTTTGGTGAATTGGGAGCTGCTGAAGCTGAAAGACGTGCTGAGGAGCATGCTATCAAGCTTAGGAAGGGTGACTGAATTGGTCAGTGGGGGAAGATGTTTAGTGGCCGTTCTTGAAGCAGACTAACATAGTACAGTTAGGCATACTAAACCAATACCCATCACTTAAGTTTGTTTAGCAATAAATTAAGCGATTCGAGTAGGCCTTCCCTATAATGAATGTAGCACAAATAGCGGGTGTGGGTGGACCGCGGCAGGATGATAATGGCTTGGATCCTACAAAATATCCATGTTGAGGGTGTTCACTTGATTGCCAAGTAATCCTCTCTCTTCTTTGCTTAGTGCTTCTAAATAGTCTTCCTTCTCTTTTTTTCAGTAGCCAACTCTTAGACAGCTGAACAACTCGGGTGGCTCCCCTCACCATGACAATTCTGCGGGGTGGTTGTGCGTCTCGTCCTTCCCGTTCTATCAGTAGATCTAACCTGTTATTCACATCGCTGCCTTGTCTACATATTGATGTTTTGTAGAGACCAGTCCATTATCATCATGCGTGGTTCTACTCACTCGCTAGTTTGTGTAATGTTTGTGTAATGTTCGTTCTCGGGAACGTCTGAGCGGCCAAGGCCGCATTCCTTTGGAACCGGTACCCCGCAAGCACGCGACTCCAATCGAATTAACTTGGTTTGGTCAAGTATCCTCTCGCCGTTGACTCACTCACATACCGATCGCCATCACCATTGCATTCTCCTACATCATCACCGCAGCCCATAATTTTGCCTTGTCCGGGCTCGACATGAGTCTATCAACCAATGGCTCCAGGCGAGTGCGCTCGCGGAGGGCATGCGTACCTTGCTCAACGCGTAAGCGGAAATGCGATGGAGCTTTTCCATGCAATGCCTGCACAGGATATGGCTATCAATGCAGATACAAGCAGGACTCGAATCGAAAACGTCCGAAACCGTGTCCACCCTCATCCCAAGGCCAAAGCATCGATAGTCCTGGTGTTGGTGGACAGCCGACGAGGCTGACCATGTCTACTGACACCGAACATTTGGGCCAGACGGAACAAGTCACAGAGAGTGACAATGGACTCCTGGTGGTATCTTCTTCTAGATATTTGGGGCGCCACTCCGCAGAAGCGTTTCCAAGAGTTCTGGGTCTACAGTTCCAAGCACAAGTCCTTCCACGACTCCAACCATTTGCTTGGAACCTGGAAGTCAGAGAAACGCCACCCTGCAAAGTTAAAGGGGCCATCTGTTCTTTGATTACTTTGGAAGCAACGCAAAAGCAACTGAGATCTTTCTTTTTCAGTGACTTCCCAGCGTGCGGTTTCCTTGATCTACAAGATCTCACTGCACGCTGTGAGAAACATTGGCTTGGCCACGACCAAGGGCTGCCATTTGAGGCTTTGATCAGTGGAGTTATTGGACTAGCTTCTGTGCTCGATAATGCCATCAATGTTCAGCAGGAAGCCGACATCATTCAACATGCAGAAAATATACTGAATGATCCGGTAATCTTGTCCGAACCCCATGTCGAGGTTTTGGCTGCGATAGTCTTGCGTGTCCTCTATCTGCGTGCCACAACTACTCCTCATGTTACTTGGCTCCTGAGTTGCACTGCGATGCATATGGCCGAATCGCTTGGACTTCATAAGGACTATGAGTCGAATGTCGGGAAACATCACAACACGGCCAATCAATGGGATAATGATGCTATATCATGCATGTTCTGGATTATTTGCGCTGGGAATCGCCTAGTATCTCATGAGCTTGGTCGAAGCCCCGTGGTCCTGCATGGGGTAACACAGAAATTCCCTTTTTCACCCTCAGATACGGATGGGGCGGCGATCCTGTGTCGACTCGGTTGCCTATTACCAGTAATAGATGCCGCTGACGGAGACCAGGAGCGTTCTAAACAGTCACTAGATATCATAGCAAAAGCGGCAGGTGGTCACCCGTTCATAAAGCTGATCGCCGCAGATGTGTGTTTCTGCCTTTACCGACGGATTCATGTCGGCAGCCACGGAATCACAAAAGAGCAATCCCAACAAGTGGTTTTGATAGGCAGAGCAGCCGTGAAAGCTGCTAATCAGCTTTTACATAAAGGGAGACCGTGGTGGAACATGCTCGGCACGCTATTTCAATTCTGCTGCGTTTTAATTTCAATGGACTCTTTGGACAGTCTCGCCGACCTGCGCTATGCCATGAAAACAATCAACCTGATCCAGGATCGCTATCCTGGGGAGAAGAAAGCACAAGCTCTTTCTACTCTGAAGGCTTTAATTATGGCATCAAAGCAAAGAAAGCAAACGCAAATAGCATATCTATCAGCGGTTGACGAGCCCGAGGAAGCCTGTGTCAACATTCATGATGATTTTTCGCAGTCCCCTACGGACCTCACGTTTCCGGAACTCCCGTTCGATATTACTAGTTGGGGCATGGAGGATCTTGATTGGATGGCAGTTGAAGCGCCGCTAGGTCTATGAGAAAAATGGTGACAAAATCCCTGAATAAAAATAAGAATAATAGAGTAAACAATAGAGTATGATGGCGGCACAAATCTAACCCAGTGATGAAACGACTCCTGGGTCATAGATTAGCGGGTGAAGCGGGCCGCGCGGTAATTTCGCGAAAACTGATTTATCACATAGTGAGGGGAGCACTGCCACCCCCTTGGCTCCATTAAAGCAAATTGCAGTCGCAATTTTATATCCATAAAAAGCATCCTAGTGCTGCCCATTTTCATGCTCGCTCCACGGGCAAATTTCATTATATTTAGCACGATCACAATTAAGCAGAGTTACCAGCCAAAGACCCCGTTTAATTCAAAATGAACAGGCTAGGGCTCTTGCACCCTTCAGAGCTTGGATCTGAATCTAAAGCTTTGTACGATGTCTTCCTTGACTACACGACCAGCCGTTATGGCAAGCCGTAGGCTACCTCTGTTACTATATCCATATGTTCTGCTTTTCTAATATTTGGTTAGCAAAACTCCATACATCTTGGACGATGGTCGCTTTGTAGGACCATTTGCTGTCCAATTACATACCCCTGCAGTTGGCCATCATTTTTTAGGCATGGCCAAAGCTCTTCGTCAGCTTCCTGGGTTGAGTGACCTTAATCGTGAAATCGCAACTATTGTGGTTGGGGCCAGATTTGATGCGGCATATGAACTAGTTGCTCACAAAGACTTGGGGCAGAAATTCGGATTGACTGAGAACGAGTATCTGGATATTTTGCATGGCAGGAAACCAGAGAGCTTAACAGAGGAAGGAAAGGCCGTTTTCGACGTGGCATATGAACTTGCCTATGGTTCAGGGCCAATGGCACAGAAAACGTGGGACAATGCAGTCAGATTGATTGGCAAGGACGCTACCACGGCTGTCGTTCACTATGTCGGGTTTTATAGCTATGTCAGTATCATCTTGCGAGGATTTGATGTCAAGGTTCCGGAAGCACCTAGCGTCGACTAGACTGTCTCAGGGAAGTGCTTTAAAATGCTTATCACTTACTGCGGTCATGTTTTCTCCGATTTGACTTTCAATGTGGTTGGCATGAAATAACCTGCTTCTGCTCAATCCCCTTATTTCCGGCTGTTTTAAATATTTCTTAAAGAAAACAGAAATGGATTGTTTGTAATTGGCACTCGAGCATACTACCCATTTAATTACATAGATATTCCACAGTCTATTACAATATTCTGGCCTGTAAGGCTTCTGCTCAAAATCATGGTTCTGATGAGATCCGCGACGTCCTCGGCGGTGGTCAACCTTTTCAGGGCACCTTTCTCAGTTACAGCATTCACAGTTGCCTCTGGAAAACGTTGTCCCCATTCAGTCATCATCAATCCCGGACTGACGGAATTGCATTGAATCTTTGGTCCGCATACAGCGGCCAGACACTTTAGTAAATGAATTTGCGCGGCTTTCGTCACAGCGTAAGGAATTGAACTGCCGGAAGGAATGACTCCAGCGAGACTTGCGATAGAAACGAAGCTGCCTCCGTCTTCATTCAAGTCCATGTAACGCTTGGCTGCGTGAAGTAACCACAGGTGTGTCTTCACGTTGATTGCGAAACATTTGTCCCAGTCTGCTTCGTCGATATTTTGCTCGAGATCATAGAAATTGACGATTTGGGTCCAACCCGCGTTGCTAATCACAACATCCAGTCTTCCCATCACTTGAATGGTTTCTTCGACAAGCCTTTGGACGTCGAACTTTTTCGAAATATCCGCTTGTATGGTATGGAACCGTGGTTCTGTCGAAGATGAGGTTTCCGGTAACTTGGCCATACATTCTCGAATAACTGCCTCTGCCTTGTCTGGATGGGAAAAATAGTTGACAACAACTCGATAGTCCTCAGCAAGGGCTTTGACGATGGCGGCACCAAGTCCAGCCGAAGAGGCAGTGATGAGGGCTACCTTCGAAGGCATACTAGAATAATTGGATGTACGACTGCTCACTAACTGTGAGATGCAGCCATTTGAATACATAGACACTCCCTCCTATAGTTCGAAGTGCACTACAACTTGAAAACACCTCGGTTGGCGTAACTACCACACTCTAAAGCGTACCGCGCGGCCCGAGCGGGAAAAGGCCGGGCGGGTTCTGTTGCCGCTCGGGCCGCGCGCATCGCCTGCAGTTGATGTACAGACTAAACCCGCGTTGTATACCCCACACTTTTGCGGGTCTGATCGACTCCAGAAGCATGCATAGAGGATCAAGACGCTAACTACCCCGTGGGGAAACACTAGCTTGAAAAAAAAAAAGTCAAGTCCCTAGACCTCACTCCTCGTCTTTAAATCTGACCCGAAAAGACGCGGACATCAACAAGTTCTCATCCCATCATCAAAATTTCCTTGTGTCTAATTAAGAATTCTCCTTGTTTGCCAGATGACTACGAACGAGATGTCTATACCAGACGATTTCTCCGACAAGACCAACCAAGTACAGCATATTGAGGCATTTGTCACGAACCGAACCGATCCTGAAATAGACCCTACCGACGAGAAGCGAATCACCAGGAAATTTGACTTGCACATCATTCCCTGGTTGTTCTTCATGTGGTAACAATTTTCCATGCGTAAGCCCCCAGAGGGCTGTGTATGTAGTCGGTCTGACTTTTATTTGAGGTTCTTTGGTTCCCTTGATAGGGCGAATATCGGCAATGCGAACATTGCCGGTCTTGCTCCAGATCTCAAATTAGATGGAACCAAGTTTAACGTCGTTTTGCTTGTATTTTACATTCCATATATCCTGATTGACATCCCGTCGAACTGGGTTATCAAACATTTCAAAGCTGGATACTATCTTGCTTTCTTGATCACTAGCTGGGTGAGCCCCTGGTTTTCAATCCTTTTTATGCAAAGCTAAACCTCCAATAGGGCTTGGTATGTACTTTTATTGGCTTTGTCCAGTCCTATGGTGGCCTCATCGCCGGCCGCATGTTCCTGGGCATGTGCGAAGGCGGCCTCATTGGGGGCATGCTGGTGTATCTAGCCTTGTTCTACAGACGACATCAACTTCTTTACCGAATCGGCATGTTTGCTTGTGCAGCACCGCTCGCAGTAGCATTTGGCGGACTTTTAGCCACAGGGCTTTCCAAAATCAAACACGCTGGTTACAATGGTATTGATTTTTGCCCCCGGTCTTCAAGGCTATCGTTAATTCTGTCCTCACAGGCTGGCCCTGGATATTCTTCATCGAAGGAACTATAACAGTCTGTTTGGGGATCCTATCATTGTTTTTCCTTCCGCACACCCCTGGTCAAGCAAAATTTCTAAGCCAAGTTGAACAAACAATTGCCCGCCGGCGCATGAAGCTTGACGCACATGGAGCTATAGCTGAGGACGATGCCGGGGACGAGCATTTTGACTGGCATTGGGTTTGGTTAGCATTGAAGAGTCCCAACACCATCATTTGCTCTCTAGCATGGTTCTTCTTACTCATACCAATTTATGTTGGTCTTGGCATCGTCGGTATCTGTCTGAAGCTTACTGATAGTCTTGATAGAGTTTTGCACTCTTCCTCCCTACGATTATCAACGAATTGGGTTATTCGTCAACGACGGCCCAATTGCTCACAGGCATGTTGTCTAGGCATACTTCTGAACACAGAGTTAACGGAATTAAGCAGTGCCCCCGAATATGTGCGCCTTCGTTGCTATTCTAATCACTTCGGCTTGGTCCGACAAAATAAAAGCTCGTGGGCCGTTCATGCTGGTGGGCTGCAGTATTGCGATCGTTGGCTACATCATGCTACTGGTAGCAAAGAATCCGGGAGTGAAGTATGGTGGGGCCTTCTTCATTGCAACCGGCGTCTATCCTGGAACTCCAATGTCAGTTCTTCCACTCTTTAACCGTACAATTACCTGACATTGTATAGGGTTCAAGGTTGGCTTTCAAATAATCTCGCACCGCATTACGTACGCGCGACAGGAATCGGGATACAAGTTACTATTGCCAACTTTGCTGCATTCATCGCTACATTTGCCTACCTAACCAAGGACGCGTAAGTTGTATTATTCCACATGCCATGTTCAAATTGGACTAATAAGTTTTTAGGCCAAAGTTCATACTTGGCCACTGCATCTGCATCGGTGCTCTGGGATTATGCATCATTACTGTGGTTTGTGGCATTATGTATTGCCGGTGGGAAAATGCAAAGCGCGAGAGAGGAGATAGAGACCATAGGCTTACAGAGGAAAACGAAGCTCTCTTAGGCCACCGCCATCCCGCGTTCCGGTGAGTCCTTGTCCTTATCCGTCGTCAGATTAATCTCACATTCAGCTAGCTATTCAATTTAAAACGCCCATGCAAGGCAGTTCCCAGCAAGAAACGGAATAAGTGATGGCAGAAGACTAAAATTGGGACTTTGAACCTCCAAGGAGTGCCAAGCTTACTGCATCAATAATAACTATTCTACATTAATTTGACAACTTTCTGTGCCTCGCCTGCTATTTGTAATTGCTTCGTATCCCTTAGAAATATTTTGTTACACAGTGCTGACTATGAACCCCAATTGTTTGCCACAAGTTTCTCTATCGAGGGAATGCGCGGGGGATGGATATGGACATGGACAAGTGGACGGACAAATGCATAGACCTACAGATAGAGCTAGGCTATGATGTAGCTTCTACGTCCCGCAGCAGCCGCTGTAGTGAGGGAGATGGGTAAAGATCGGTTATTGCGGAAGAAAATAAATACGGTAGGGGACTTTGCTAGGCATAAGCCACGATTTCATCATGCGCAGCGGAGCCATGATGTCGAGTGCAATATTTACTAATCCGCAGCGGATAACTTGTTAAACCAGTGCAAGGAGCCAAGGATTCGGTATAAAACTCGTTCAGACTCCTCCTTCGAAAATAGTTATATCTGACTACCGAAAGTGTCGTGTACAGACTACTATATGTGATGATGACGGGAGCCAAAGTGACAGCTGTGGCACAATTTCCCGTCAATTATTTTCTTGAGAACATCGTTGTTCGTCATGATGGGTCTATCCTCATCACGGTCTTGAATCAGAAGAAGCTTTACTATCTCCCATATCCTGACACCAGCTTCGCTAAGCCGCTGTTGCTGCATACGTTCGATGCATCCCCAATGGGAATAATGGAACTTGGGCACGATATCTTCTATATTTCCACCATAACAAGATCTGGAGACGATAGCAACACTCTCTGGAGACTTGACATGAGCAACTTCACACCCACTTCTGTTCCTAAGCCCATCGCCGTCTTCAAATTTCCTCCCGAGTCCAAAATCCTCAATGGAGTCTGCGCCCTCTCTTCCTCTGTCATCCTTTGCGCGGATTCTTGGGCAGACCTTATCTGGAGGGTTGATATTCCAGAAGACGGTTCTGCCCCTTCCGCTCGCGTCTGGCTGAAGCATAGCATGCTGGCACACAGTCAAGACCCTGATAAGCATGACGTTCCCGGTGTGAATGGGCTCAAATTTAACAACAAGGATGGACATGTGTACTTTACTACAACTGCACAAGCAATTTTCGGTCGCGTTCGTGTGGATAGGGAAACGTTGGGCCCCGTTGGGAACCCTGTGGATGTGACCAAGCGTTGGATGTGGGGGGATGATCTGATTATCGATGAGGAAGCCGGCATTGCCTACGTGACAACGCACCGGCAGAACACAATTGAAAGCATCAGCCTAGAATCTGGGGCAACAGTCAATGTGGCCGGAGATCCGCTGAACCTGGACTTAATCGGTCCCACTGCAGGATCGTGGGCGCGTGGAACGGGTCACACTGACAAGGTAGCTTACTTCATAACAGACGGCGGGATCAAAAATCCCCTGAATGGTGTTGTGAAGGAGGCAATGGTCCTTCGCGTTGAATTCCCTTCCACTGTCAAGGAAATATAGGAATACTTTTTTGTTGCAAGATCTTACTCTCGTTATGTGTACGTTTCTGGTAGGCCAATGAATGATCAATTCATCAATCACACTGATACCTATTGCTCTGGCCTTGCCCATTCCCTGGATAGAGAATCAGATCACAAGGTAGTAAACTATAACTACAACCAAACCTTCGTGTCATTTATCCATAATTCTGCGTCCCCTGTGTGGATGGCCTGCTGTCTGTCAAGTCTGAGGGTCCATTATGATTCAGTATCGTCATGGCTCACTATGGCGTAGTTTCAGAGCTGACCAGTTGCAAATGGGTGTAGTGGATGTGGGGGAGTGGAAGGAGGAAGGAGAGTCAGGGAACTAAACAAAGCTTGTATAGGTAGGCGCGGGGAGATCGACACCTCAGGCAGACCGGCAGGCCTTCGTGTCTACGGCGGTTATCTCCATGATTATCAGTCATTTCGGTAGACTTAACTTCTGCCTAGGGAAGTACTTAGGTATATTCTCTTCCAGCCTGTATTGGCGTACTGGCTACCACCCAGGCCGACGTTGGATATTTCATGTGCTTCTTACCGTGACGTGCATGTATATATATTCACTGCTAGACCATTCACTAGCTATTGTGAGTATCTGAATTTCTTAAAAAAAAGAAAAAAAAAGGAAATAAAACAACAACAATAATAATAGTAAATAAATCAATAACTAGCATGCATAACTCCTGCCACGAATACTGCCCTAGGTAGAGCAGTGAATAATATAGGTAACTATACTTTCTAACTTTTTGTACTAGTGGCTGAGGAGGGTCTCGAACCCCAAAGGATGGAATTCCGCATCCACGAACTTCAACGTCAATTTACACACGACGGCCCGCCATAATAATAACCGTCCAATACTTCGCCATCCCTTTCAATCGATGCTCTGGACCCAGATGCCATCCCCGACACCAGACAAAGTAACTAAGCTCAAGGCCAAGCGGCCTTCGCGACGCGTCCGGCCAAGTAGGGAGAAAAGTAAGTTAACGTGAACCCCGAATGTTCTTATCAAATACCTCTTAACAATCCTTCCAGACCTGCCGCTAGTTGAGCGCACCAACGCCCTCACCATCGAGGAGTTCATCTCCCACTATGTTGACCCATCCACCACACCGGCAGTATCAAATGGGACGCGTCCATCACCGCGTTCAGACGTGTACTCAGCCGCGAGCATCTCGAGACGCAATCTAGAAGCGTGTCTCGACCTAGTCGAGCAGACCTCCGCCGCGGCTTATGCCGCATCCAGCATGGGCTGGTCCCGCAGCAAGAAGCGGCAGGAGATGCTGCTTCCCGATATGAAGTTTATGATTATGAGAGGAGACGGAGCAGACACCACCATATCCCCTAATAACAATGGTAATAATGATGATAATGATCAATCATCTGCATCTGCCAAGGAAGGCCCAGTGCTGGGATTCCTGTCATTTATGGTCACCTACGAAGACGGGAAAGAGGTGATTTACTGCTACGAGATCCACTTGTCACCCGCAGCGCGAGGAAGGGGCCTGGGGAAGGAGCTGATGGAGCGCATGGAGCGGATTGGGCGCGCGGTTGGGGTGGAGAAGGCTATGTTGACGGTTTTCAAGTCGAACGAGACGGCTTGTCGGTTTTATGACCGGCTTGGATACGAAGTTGATGAGTACTCGCCTCAACCGCGCAGGTTGCGGAACGGGACGATCAAGGCGGACTATTTGATTCTGTCCAAGAGGTTGAAGAAGTGATGGCTTCTACTGTTGTATTTCTTAATTCCCCGTACCTTTTTTAATGCAACAAACGGTGCGATGGACAACTACATAATATACATTACACCTGTTTCACCTGCTGGCCTTGCGCTTCGGGATGCTCCTGCTCCCACTCGTCGCGGATCGCGGCAAACACCGTGTCTGCGAGCAGAATTGACAATCCCAGACTCCAGACGAGGGTGATGGCGTAGAAGAAGTTGGCATTGCCGGATCCTGCGTAGATCCACAGGTGGTAGAAGGCAGGACCGAGGAGACTCGAGTATAGGAGTGCGGAGATGGCGAAAAAGGTATACCGCATCACTGTTTGTGGTCAGTTTGCACACTATCAATTAATATGGAGTCGCTACTCACGGGGGAACAGATGTCGGTAAAGAGGCAGCAGAGCAAGGAACAAGGACGCATCCGAAATGCTCGGGTACGGTTTGAAGACGGCAAAGACACCAAGAAGCGAGGTGATGACAAACAGAGGCTGTCGTCTCAGTCGCGCGGTGAGACCGCCGACATAGCTGGCGAGGTGAAGCCAGAAGACACCGAGGAAGAACTCGCGGAACGAGTCGAACATCTCGATGAAAAAGTACCACCACAGACCCGAGTTGGGGGTCAGGTCCGGCACCAAAAGGTGGAAGCCATAGGTGGCGGACATGAATTCCCAGAAATTGCCGGTTATCAAGTAGGAGAGACCAAGCAGAGCTGATACGCTGCCAACCAGCATGGCGCCGTGTTGGATCACGAACAAGGCGACATTCGGGCCCTGCGGTTGTCCCTGTACTCGCTGATCAAGGCAGAGCAGGACCAATGGGACAAACAGCAAAGCGGGATACAGAGACAGGTAGGATGCAAACCCTAGGGCTAGCATTGAGTTCACCGTATTCCCAGAGACGGCATTGGAGACGGCGAACAAAATCCCCGACGCGGTGAATACGCTCGTGGACCGGGCTAAGCAGGTTGCAATGGTGAAGGGGTTGAACAGGAACCTAATATCTTCCAGTCAGCGATGCATTGTTCTCCCCGGAAGCCGGTTCGCACGCACCATGCAGCCACCGATACTCCATCCCATCGAATATGCTTCCGAATTGCCGAATGTAGCCGTGACTTCACGGACTGGCCAGATTCCGAGATGGTGTCCAACGCTTGGGCATTGACCAGATCGACTAGTATGTAGAATATGGCTGTGGGCAAAGGGTGGAACTGTACATCTGGTAGGAGGGCGAAGAGAGGCAGCAGGAGAGGGGCCTAGGCAAAAGTGTGAGAGAGTACTTGGTCCATGTCCAAAGGAATGCACTGACCTGGTGGAACACGCCACCATCGTACGGCGAGACATTCCGCGTATAGAGGAACAAGCCCTCTTGGACTAACTGTCCGTTAGCATCGCTCGTCACTATCGGGGGTTCGGGAAGAACCCACGTCTCTTGAAGCTGTTGACGGGGGTGGACACCTCGACTCGACCCGTCAATAGATCAGGCAGTGAAGGAAACAAGCAGATCAGAACCAGACGCAGCACAAAGGCCGCACTGAACACGGCGATCTTGCGCCGGTCCACTGACATGGTGGTTGTGCTGGCGGTGTTGTACCTGTTCCAAACCAAACACCTGACTTATTGACACTCCACGCCGCCTTGGTGCACGGACCCACTTTTGCGACCGAAAAAAAAAGTGGCCGAGGATTTTTTTTTTCTTCTTATCAACAATCACTTCCACCATGGCCAAGATCAAAAAGAAGGGTATGTGATACGATTTTCAGAACATTCAATTCACGGTCGCTAATTCCCTCCAGGTACCTCTGGCCAGGCCAAAAACTACATCACCCGCACCCAGGCCGTGCGCAAGCTTCAGATCTCGCTGCCGGATTTCCGCCGACTATGTATCTTCAAGGGTAAGTTCACTCGACGACTCATTCACATGGGCGGCGCTGACGGGTTTTTGCGATTGGTTTAGGAATCTACCCCCGCGAGCCTCGGAATAAGAAAAAGGCCTCCAAGACATCCACCCCGAACACGACTTTCTACTACACCAAGGACATCCAGTACCTGCTGCATGAGCCGCTACTCAACAAGTTTCGCGACCAAAAGGCCCTTGCAAAGAAGATTGCCCGTTCCCTCGGACGGGGAGAAGTCAGCGACGCCGCGCGCTTGGAGAAAAACCATGCGCCGAAGCTCACCTTGGACCATGTCATCAAAGAGCGCTACCCGACCTTTGTCGACGCCCTCCGCGACCTCGATGATGCACTGTCGCTTCTGTTTCTGTTCGCCACTCTTCCCTCCGACACCCACGTTCCTCCTAAGACCATTGCACTGTGCCAGCGTCTCTGCCATGAGTTCCAGCACTACCTGATCACCACCAATTCGCTGCGGAAATCATTCCTGTCGATTAAAGGTATTTATTATCAGGCCACTATCCAGGGCCAAGACATCATGTGGCTGGTGCCGTACCGGTTTGTGCAGCGCGTGAACGCAGACGTCGATTACCGCATCATGGCGACCTTCGTGCAGTTCTACACCACGCTGCTGGGCTTTGTCAACTACCGACTCTACTCCGCGATCGGCCTGCGGTATCCCCCCAAGTTCGACACTCGCAGCGATGAGAACGGAGCCGAGTTGGCGGCATTTACTCTGGAGGGTCGGACAGTAGGCGAGACACCCAAAGCCCTCGAAGCACCCAAGGCCCAGACCAATGGTAATGCGACCAAGGAAGCTTCCCGCGAGATTCAGGCCAAGGTGGACAAGGTGATCAAGAATGCGGGCCTCGACCAAACCAAGGACGAGCAGCCTGTTGAGTCCACTGAGGAAACGAGTGATTCCATTGACAGATTTGAGCCTGCGGCCCCCGAAGCCGACACCCTGCCCCAGCCCGATCTGAGCAGTGGGGAGGCTGGCACCATGTTCTCCCCATTTACGTTCTACATTTCCCGGGAGGCACCCAAGGCACCCCTTGAGTTTCTTCTGCGCGCTTTTGGCTGCAAGCGAATTGGCTGGGACGCTGTGCTGGGCGATGGGGCTTTCACGCATGACGAGACCGACCCACGCATCACCCACCAGATTGTGGACCGACCCCAGCTCCCGGAGGGCTCACTGCCTGCCGTTCCTGCTGCCGCAGAAGATGGCGCTACCCCGAAGGTCAAGCCTGGTACCCGGATCCCCGGCCGGACCTACGTTCAGCCCCAGTGGGTGTGGGATTGCATTAACGATGGCAAGCTTCTGCGCGCAGATCTATATGCTCCCGGCGCCACACTTCCGCCTCACCTGAGCCCGTGGGTGAAGGCCACTCGCGGCGCCTATGACCCGCGGGCTAGTCTGGCTGCGCAGGAAGAGGAAGGTGAGGCAGAGGTTGCTGCTGAGGCCGGCGATAGTGATGAAGAGATGGAGGATGAGGCTGCTGTGGAGGAGAAGGCACCCGCCGACGAGTCCGACGAGGAGTCTGTCGACAGCGGTATGGATGTCGCTGGTACTGATGACGACGAGGAAGAGAGTGCCAGCGACGCAGAGGAAGAGGACGAAGACTTCGGCGGATTCGAGGAGAACGAAGCCGCGTCGGAATCAGAGGATGACGACGAGGCCGCTCGGACGCAGCACCAGCGGGAGCTGGAAGCCGAAGCAGCGGGTCTGCCGTTCTCGTCGAACGGCGCCACGGACGAAGCAGCCAAGAAGAAGTCTTCGCAGTCGAAGAAGCTGGCCGCTAAGAAACGCCAGGAGGAGGAAGAGCTCGAAAGGCAGAAGATGATGATGAGCCGTAAGAAGCGCAAGCTTTTGGAGAAGATGATGTACTCGAACAAGAAGCAGTCGGACGAGGCAGCGAAGCTTCGGTCGAAGAGGCGCAAGATCGAGAAGGGTGCAAAGGAGTGAAAATTTGAGGATATCGAAGGTTGGACGGAGGCGTTTATGCGTTTTTTGGATAGTTAGATAGGTAGTTTCCTTGTATATGCATATCAAAAGTTTTTTCTTGCGAAATAATAGACTACCGTGCATTCCTTCACCTCTATTGGATCTGTAGTTACAGGTCCGCATCATGCCAACAGATATTCACGAGTGCCACCAGAAGCGGATGATGCCTAGTCTGAGAGACGATACCCAATGCAATGATCGGATCGTCAGATTTGGGCGCCCATACGCCGAGGAGGCCAATTCACAGATGACTATTGTTGAATCCCGAGAGCGAATCACTTGTTCCAGTCGACAAGTTGAGCCCTAGCGGTGTTATTGCATCAAAATATGGGTGTACATCAGGAGCCGAAAGTTGCGAGAAAGAAGGGTCACATAGCGAACTGATCAAATCTTCATCCAGAGAAATGGTAGGTGGCGGATGAGTGAAGACGTCGTTGTTTGCATCATCAGATTTCGCTCGGATGACGATGTTCTGGGCCATTTCTGTCATTTTCTGAAAGACTTCAGCCAGCAGCAAAGCAAGTGGTGAGCTGCCGGTTGTTAGAGCATTTAACATCGAATCCATGATGATATGAAGCAGGTGAAGATCGGCCGAAATTCTCGAGTGATAGGAACAGGAGATTAAATTCATAAAAATATCGAAAAAGGCAGAGAGAGCGTAATATGATATGTAGCTAAAAGTTTGTCAGCTCGTTCTGACGGACAAAAGCCGACAACCACCTGAGGAAAGCATCGTATCGTGCCAGGTTGCTTTGAAACATCTTTCCGCTTTGCTGCAGCCTGTCAAGAAGCTCGGCTGCATGCCTCGCCGCGGTTAGACATTTCTCGCGGCTGCAGTCTTCGGAAAACTCAGCTGAAGAAGTAGTCGTGCGGATGCTTGAATCCAAAGCATCCCAGTAGCTGTCCGTTCGATAGAGCATTAATTGGCAGTTGTAGAATTCAGCATGCAACAGCATCGTCATTGTGATAAGATGTGCATTCAGGCTCTGCAAGGCCTTCTCGAATGATAGCATCTCGCTGGGCAGGGAGTTTTGCCAGGTGGTAAGCTTCTCGTCAAGGTTATGTAGGGTTGCTAGCCTTTGGGTCTGACCATCGCCCATCAGAGACCGAACGGAGTAGAGCTTTGAGTAGATCTCGCTCTTGATCCTGTTGAGCTTCACAAAATGTGCAAAACCGTCCTTAGCCGGGGACGACTGCAGTTTTCGACTAGGAGTAGGCTCACTGACTTCGATGTCGTCTTCGCAAATAGTGGGTGGGCGCCCAAGCCGGAGGCTTACACCTCTATCCATTACGTACAGAACCCAGAAAACGTTGCGACGCTCTTCCACATCATTCGTGGTCAGAAGTGAATCGACTAGTGTCCGGTGCAACCCCAAGCCAAGAGCAAGGCGCGCTGCCGTTCCAATGGCCATGTAGCTGGCCTCGGCATGTACACTTCTGTCCTCGGTGCGAGCAGCGACTACAATTCACACCGCCCCTCTTACATCGTACCTGTTGACAATATACTGATCAGCACAGCTGCGAGCCCCGACTTAATCTTGGAAGCCTATATATACCTTGGCTTTCCTGCACGATTTACAGGAAGAACGGAGTGAAATATAAGTATCCGAAGCTGAGAGCATCTGATCTGGGAGAGGGATTTGCTGGATCTCTAAACAGCACTTGTATCAGAGACGTCGAGGCACAATGCGAGAGATATTCAGGTGGACGATAGACTTGAAATATAGTGGGCAGAGAGGGTTATTAGGTCTCTGCAAAGTAGATCCTTGTGAGCTGAGTCTATTTACGTGCCTAGGACCCACTAATATAAGGCCCACCTCTAGCCAAGGTAGTCACTGACTTTCGAATGGGCAAATTAATGGTATACATACGAAGTATGTGGGTTCTCGCTTCTTGGGTACATGTAGCTCCTTCGTCCGCCTCATTGGCTAAATCTTTTTAAGTCCATTTTGACGAATCATAAAAGCTTTCGTATTCGGAAAAGTTCAGCGGAATGGTGGCTCGATGTGGCGAATGTACGCGGTAATGAACTCTATCATATACTACCAGGAATATTGAGGATGACCAGCTGAGAGGCTGGAATAGAGAGTTGTCAGTTCGCAAAACCTCAATTAATACATCGAAGAAAAATTCCTTTGCAGTTACAAGTAACACTTACCCACTCTCGTCTCCACTCGTCTAAGCGTAAGAGCGTTTAGTTAGTATTAGTATCTAGAATTTGAATCTGCCAAATAGGGTTCCGTAGCCGTCATTGAGTAGTGGCAAACTTTCCGTTAATAAATGAATAGAACTATCTACCTTACTACGTAAGCACAAGATATCTAAGTTACTTAACTAGTTAGTTAAGTTAACCAAGTTGGTTAACTAATTATTCGTTACGCGCTACAAGTCTGCTTTGACAATAAGAGAAATGGCAGCGAATAGAGTCTGATATGAAAAGGGAATAATAAGGGTATCATTATATTAAGAGAGCCAACAATGTATACATAACTCACCATGAATAATGGGTCTAGAAAGTTCACCCAAGATGTCATGGTGGTTTCACGCAAAAGAAAAGAAATCGAAAGTGGCTAGGCAGACCTTGGTGAATCGTGGGATAAGTACACCTGCGGGGGCTCTTTGACTTCGCAAAAGCTTCTTTGAAGCCTGAGTGACTGTACCATTTCCTCTGGGCGTTGTAGGTTGACGCATAAGGATTTTCCAAGTTGCTCATTGGTGGTTGTGGCCCCCATTTCCTGCTCCGATGAAGTCGGTAATAGCTCAGGTCCGCTGAGACAGTCGCATTCGGAGCTGTCTAATATAGTCATTGTACTGCCACTTTTCTCTGCATATGGTGGTACATAGATATTGGCCGGAGTCGCCTTGCATGATAGTATATTGAAGGGAAATTGGACGATCAAATCCGCGGGTTTCGAGTTATTAGGGTCATTATCATCCAAGTTTGAAATGGAAAGGACAATCTCAATGAGGTCAGCGAGTGAGTCAAATGGTTGCTACTTCATAGAATCCCAAGATGGGTTTCTGAAGGTGCTGAGCTTGGGTCTCCGCTTACCTGAATCCAATGGTTTACCTCAAGGTTCTCGCCCTTGACGCTGAAATTCAGCCACTCCCTTTTCTCTTTTCGAGCCATTTGTGGGCATCTAGGCAACTGCACGTCCAACTCAATCTCGGTCGCTTCAGATAGGTCCCCCAACAAATTCGGCGTTTGCATCTCTCGGGTACTTTTTAACCCCTGGCTCGAGACGACGCGCATTGACCCGCCGGCATATGTGCTGTAGCTTGCAAGACCTGCTTGCTTTTTGAGAAGAAGTACCTTTTTGCCTGGAAGTCTCAAGAACCGAGCTTGTGGACCCTGTATCCGGTACTGTATGAGCTCAGACATGTACACGCTGATTGAGTGACATGCTAGGTTGGCTAGAGCGACCAACTTCAATCTCATTGGAATTTGAGATCCTATCGACCGAGATTTGCATGATACAAAAAGGTCATAGCAGAGTTGATCGCGCCATATGCGGGAGGTAATTATTGGCTCAACATGCTCCAGCGAGCTGTCGTCAGGGACTCGAACAAGAGGAACGTCCAAGGTTCCAGTTATAGTTGGTTGGAAGAACCCAGTTCGCTCAAGGACAGCCTCCATATTGTAATGAATCGAGCTCAAATCCGTTTTTATTGACTCAGGAAGGGAGCTGTGGACAAGAAATTCAAAGCTGTATATATAATCCCCAGGAGGGAATATTCTGAGTTGGTCTTGGCCATGCCTTGGGCTCGTAGCTGGGTAAGCCTTGTCATCCCTTGGCTTTATGGTACTTAAATCGGCCAAAGAAGGAACGGTAGTCTCAGATGATGGGTATCGATCTCCCTTGAACGGCTGAGAAGCAGCTTCAACATCTTCAACTGTTGCTGTAGAGATGGACGGCTCGTCAGATAAGTGGTAGAAGTCTGCCCCGAAAGCATTGTACGATCTTGCCGTGTCGCCGCGATCGAAGTATGTAATCCCTGATGATATTAAACTTCGTCTTCGATGATGCCTTGCTGATAGATGAAAAAAAAAATACAAGTAAGCAACTTGACACTGGAAGCGTCCAGAGCGCATGAAGGAACGGCATACCTTCCGGTAACTCCATATGCATGCAACCCCGAAAGTAGATGCATAATCGCTTGATCTTAACAGGTTCGATGATATTCAAACGTAAATATCCCCGGAGAACGGCCGGCTTGTTGGTGTGATGAACTCCTGTGCCGGTATGCCCTTCTAAAAACACGACAGGCTCGACCAGTGCAATAATGAGTTTCACCGCACGTCCAGCAGCCACAATATGAGACTGAGAAGGACTCGTGGTATTTGATGTGAATGCCGTCTCAAACATTATCCAAGTATTGCAGTACCTAGAGTATGTCACAAGATCTTTACAAGAGGACCAGGGGCCAGCCAGTCTTATATAGTGTAATTAAAAAGCGGTCATCCGAACACCAGAGACCTGTGGGGAAGTGGTATTTGTTTGGCCTTTTCGCCTCAGCGACTACTCCGTGCTTCCCGATGGAGTCGGGCCATGGAAGTAAAAGAAACCGAACATCGTTTGTGCTAGATCTGCGGCGACTACAGGACTTCAGAGAAAATGTTCCTTCATGTTACTGTGGATGTCCAGGTCATCTGCGCGGAATCTGTGAACGGCCCATGAGGCGATATCTAACACCGAGGGAACCTTCCCCAGTGACATGGAACTAGTTGTGAGTATTTGGAAGAGGCTCAGAGTTACAAGGCTAGACCAGTCCTGTCACATGGTGACAACTGAGCGAAATCCAATCATAGAGGCCTAATATGAGATGACGACAAGTCAATTACGAGGCCTTGCTCATGACTTGAGCCATGGTCTTACGGTCAAGCTACCCTCCCAAGGTCCCATGTGGCAACTACTGTTGTAGTTAATGCACAAAATTGTGAGTAAGTCGAAAATTATCGGCTGTTCTAGACAAGAGCCGCGACCGGTCTCTCTCGATCGGGAGGCAAGCTTCGGATGACGGGGTACGAAACTCCGGGGTAGGAACGCCAAAGTACTCGCCACTGAACCCTAATTTTTCAGGCCATATGGTGCGCAACAGGAACGGTTGTACAGATTTCCCTCCGCGACAATATGGTCCTTCAGCGGAAGTGGCGAGTCTACAAGGGCGGGGCCGCCTACAGCTGAAGAAGCATGGGATTTACCCTCCAAGAGGACTAGGTGGCTCTGTTGTTATGAATAAATAGCTGCACATTCTCCAAGAAACGAGCGATAATTTTAACTATTCAATGTCCTTCAGAAAGCTTTTCTATTATTGTTTTTTCCCTTGCAATCTTATTCAAACCAAAAATGTCTAATGGAAAAGACTTGACAATGTTATCGACTCGGTCTACACACTCATCGTAACGCATCTCGAGGGTGCCGAGGGCGGGTTGAGAATTGGCCGTGGAAAGATATGTGGCTTAAGTACGGCTGAGAGAACCACACCCTATGGGCGTATGTATTCATTTGCTAAAATGGCAAATTCTCTGGTTCTGTAATAGAATCGGACTTTTCCCTGTAGTAAATTCAGTTGTGGCTATGGGAAAATAACATGGGGGATACAGGAATAGGAATAAGAGTGAGAGGAAATACAAAAAGGAGCAATAATAATTCACGGTAAAACTTATTCGTTGGCGATCATTAGAAAGTCATTGATCCCTTTTATTCTTGGAAATTCACAGTTACGCAGTTCGAGGCATGTCCATAAGCAGTGGATCAAATCCACCAACCGAAATACGTCATGCCATAACCCGGCGTTCTTGCCCTCTCACTCCACACTACCCAACCTTACCGAATGGATTGAGTGTAATAATTCCCCCTTCAACTCGCTATGGCCAGCCATCTTGAAAACCTCCTCATGCCACATGGCCGCACAGCGCTGTGCAAGTCTGTGCTACCGGCACTTCTGGACTGTATCGCGGAGGTTGCGGAGTCGCTACACCAGTCACAACATGTCTCCCTCGCCGGCAGCACAAACGTATTTGGTGATGGCCAATTGAACGTCGATATTTCAGCCGAGAACCTCCTTCGAGCAGCGCTTGCAGGGTGTCCCTCGGTGCTGACTGCGAGCAGCGAAGAGGACCCTGTGGAGCGACCTGCCCGCGACGGCCAAGCTGTGGAAGGTGTAGCCGCCACTTCCGAAAAATACACAGTCGCGTTTGACCCTCTAGACGGGAGCTCGATCATCGCGCCGAACTGGACCGTGGGTACCATTATCGGCATCTGGGATGGCGGGTCGGCGATCGACCAACGGCCCTCCGAGAAGCAAGTTGCCGCCGTTCTAGGCGTCTACGGGCCGCGGACTACGGCCATTGTTGCCCTGAGGGTTCCGGGCGGCGAACCCTCTTGTCTTGAGATCGGGATCGGGAAGTCGGGGGCTCACGAGTTGCTTCGCTCCAATGTGCGCTTTGCGGACCCACCTTTTAAGACTCGCTATTTTGCCCCGGCCAATCTTCGCGCCGCAGCGGAGAGTGAGGCTTACATGCGCCTGATCACGCAGTACGTGGAGAACAAGTATACATTGCGGTATAGCGGTGGATTGGTACCGGATTTGGTACACGCGTTGGTAAAGGGTCACGGCGTGTATGTCTCTCCTGTGACTGGCGTGAGTCAAGCGAAGCTGCGCCGCTTGTATGAACTGTTTCCCATTGCTCTGGTGGTGGAATGCGCTGGAGGAAAAGCCGTTAACCCGATTGATGGGGAGGATATCCTAACTCGACCGCTGGAGAATTGTGATGAGACAGCGGGTTTAATCTGCGGAACAGCAGAGGAGGTCGACATCGCAAAAAAGGCACTGCTTGGTTCCCGTTCTTAATATTAGATTCAAAATCCTATAATGTAAAACACCTTATAGTTAGTTATCTGTTGAAAAAAGGCGATTAGTTGACACCCCCAATAAGCCTATCATTTGTATGGTATCACATCTTTATCTTCACGTCCTACTCCTGGCTTACATAGATTGTCATTTCCTTGATTCTTGCTTCTCCAGATGGAAGGCCACCATGTGTTATTGAGCCCTGAAGGCACCGTTCGCGCGATGGTCGCTCTAGGTCAACTATCAGGATTCAATGAGTCGGTCTACCCAAAGTGTTATTTATGTGGGTTCACCTAGTTCACTTAGCATAGCCCTGGATGTTATTTGCAGGCGGGTTTTAAATGACGACAGAAAGTGTCCAATCTAGAGCACTAGCTGATCGTTTTTGGTGAAATTCAACGCTTTGATTCAATTCGTGCGAATCTCCAAATCTCTAAAGTTTTATGTCGTCCCACTAAGCCTGCAGAGGCTCGCCCATGCCACCGAAAGTCACGCTCTTGATGGTGGTAAACTCATCAATACCGTACTTGCTGCCCTCACGACCGAAGCCGCTCTGCTTAACACCGCCGAAGCTAGAAACAACAGTTAGCTTGGGTCATCTGATCCTTGGGATAATACTTACGGAGACGCAACATCACTGATCAAGCCAGTGTTAACACCGACCATGCCAACCTCCAGGGCCTCCGCAACGCGGAAGATGCGGCGAACGTTGCCGCTGAAGAAGTAGCCCGCCAGACCGACCTCGGCGCTGTTTGCCAGATCCACAACATCCTTCTCCGTGTCGAAGGGGAAGATACCCGCAACAGGACCGAAGGTCTCCTCGGAGGCGATGAGCATCTCCTTGCTCATACCGGTCAGCACGGTAGGGTTGTAGAAGTTAGGACCAAGCGCAGTGGCCTTCTCGCCGCCGACAGCAAGCTTGGCGCCCTTGGAGATGGCGTCCTGGACGTGCTCGTGCACCTTGTTAACGGCACGCTCGTGGATCACAGGGCCGTGGGTGATGCCCTCGTCGAAACCGGCGCCAAGCTTAAATCCCTTGACCTTCTCGGCGAAGCGCTTGGCGAATTCGTCATACACGCCCTTCTGCACGTAGATGCGGTTCGCGCACACGCAGGTCTGGCCCGAGCTACGGAACTTGGAAGTGATGGCGCCGTTAACGGCAGCTTCGAGATCCTCGACATCATCAAACACAATGAACGGCGCGTTGCCGCCCAGCTCCCATGAGACCTTCTTGATCGTCGAAGAGGCCTGCTTCATCAACAGCCGGCCGACATTCGTCGACCCGGTAAACGACACCTTGCGCACCTCCGGGTGCGTGGTGATCAGCTCGCCGACCTCGGGGGTATTCTTATGAGCAGTCACGATATTGACCACACCCTTAGGAATACCCGCGCGGTGTGCCAGCTCCGCAAGCGCATTAGCCGTGAACGGCGTCTCAGCCGGCGACTTGGCAACCACCGTACACCCCGCAGCGAGGGCCGGACCAATCTTGCGCGTAATCATGGCAGCCGGGAAATTCCACGGCGTGATCAGGCCGCACACACCGACGGGCTGCTTCAGTGTGATAACGCGATTCCCGGGAACCGTGGCGGGAATGGTGTCTCCGTACATGCGCGGCGCCTCCTCGCTGAACCACTCGAAAAACGACGCGGCGTAGTTCACCTCGCCCTTGGCATCTGCCAACGGCTTCCCGTTCTCCCATGTGATCAGCTTCGCCAGGTCATCCGCGTTGTCCATCATCAGCTGGTACCACCGACGAAGCATGCGGGCACGCTCGCGTCCCAGTGTGTTCCGGAACGTGGGGAAGGCCGCCGTGGCGGCTTCGATCGCTTTGGTGACATCGCTGGTGTTGAGCTCCGGGCATGTTCCGATCAGTTTGCCGGTTGCGGGGTCTATTGACCGAGGGGTTAGCTATGGCATCCAAAGGTTGGAGATGGTTGATATTACCGTGAACCTCGAAGGTCTCGCCGGACTGGGCACCAACCCACTCGCCATTAATGTACGACTTCTCAATGAAGAGCGATTTGTCTTTCAACTGTTCCGGAATTCATTAGCATTGAACACTGGCAAGTCTTCTGGGTCCACCCACCTCCGGCGCACTGTGTCCCATGGTGTAGAGTCTCTGGGCGTAAACCGGCGGAGGAACAGCAAAAGGGTATCGAGGTCTCGGTCTGAGAAGTGTGCGTGAAACTGGGCGGATGAGTCTCTCCATAGTGGTGGAGACCGGGGAGAAGAGCGAGACTAAATAGGAATAATAATACACGGCAAAGGAAGAAACCGGGAATCTCGTGCGGGGAGACGGGGAGAGACTGGAGTGCGAATTGGGCAGAGGAATCTCGCTCTTAAGAGCGAAGCCAACAAGTGTGTGGGGACGGAGCTGTGGCAGATGGCTGGACGATGATTGCTCTCTGGGCCCGAAAGCACCGAGTAATAATCGCAGTTGGTTGCGAGGAAGGAAAAGGGAAGCTGTACCCTGCGCGGAGGTGATGTCACGGGTCGGGCTGCCCTTTGGAGCTGGGGAGTCCCGCAGTTGGCAGTACGAGATGATATTTTCTTATTCTCTACTTGATTTGCATCTACTGTTCTTGTCTTTCACGACTCAATTGACTCGTTTACTCCTTGGTCCTTGTCGGTTTCGTTGCCAACAGACCAATTGTGTATGATTGATGGTAATATATTTACATTTGTTACCGTTATCCGGGCATCCAATCCAGTCACAGCCAACTTTCGGGAAAATCACCCAATCAGATCCCCCGGTGCCAGCGTTGGCGTACGGGTAATACCACCCCAACCTTAATCGTGGATTTCCACCACTACGGAGACATTCGCTGAAGCACTCGCCGTGCTGACCGATCGCTCTGCCCGGTTAGACGGCTCTCGCGCGCGATAACTCGGGTGGACCCGCTTCATGTGGAGGTTGAGATTCCACGTCCTCGAAAACCCATTGGTATGTCGCGGACACTTCTTCACGGGGCACACTAGATCCAGTTTGCGATGAGGCCCTTTGCCCTTCGCCGCATGCGAGGGAACCGACGGTGTTGATACTTCCATTTCCTGGTCGGAATGGACAAATTCCGCACTCAGCGGCTCCGGTGCTGGGGCGGATGGGAGACGTGACCGAGGTCGCCGTGCTCGACTCCTGGGCTTGCGTTGTGGTGGCTGCTGGTCCGCAGGCGGCGGGCTGGACAGACCCGTCCCCTCTATCTCACCCCCGCTCTCGGTGTAGGTGTAGTCGGTGTACTCGTATCGGGTGTTGCGCGCGGCCTGGGCTTTGATGCGTCCTTCGTGAAACGTCCGGAATGTCATGTCTTCGCCGAATAGCTCAGTGCATCGCTTGGAGGCTCGCATCACGGCGGCGGAGGGGAGGCCGATCATCGATGCGACACCCATCACCTCACTCCAATCACGCAGATGATGTTTGCGGATGATTGAGGATTGCCGCTGGTTCGCCTTGTTGGGGGAGCGAGACCGGCCGCGGGAACGAGACGTCTCGGGCATACTCTCGTCCTGAGCCTCATTCCCTGAAGCCATGTGTTGACTGCGGCTGCCGGACGGTTGTTCTTGACGAAGATTCCGACGAGCTCGGTTTCGGCCGCGCGACTGACTCCTGCTCGTGCTCCTGACCGACTTGGAGGCCGGCGAGATGACGCTGTCAGCATCACTGGAGGACTCGCTGGTAGACTCTTCGCCAATCTTCCCTTTCATCGAGTGATGAAGTCCAACCAATACACGGTCCAGACGTGAGATGACCTGTCGAGAAAGCGGTCGTAAATGCTGCCGAGCCTGATCGTCGTCGGCCAGTACTACCGGCCGCAGTGGTGTTTCATCTTCGTCTTCGGGATCGCTGTCCATTTTGCCATCGTAGTCCATGCTCTTTTTCACTTCTGTAAGCTCCCATTCGCGGGCTTGGAAGCTCTCCTTGGCAGTCCTCGTCATCGCTGCCATAATAGACTCTTCCAGTTCAGCACTAGGTCGGGGATCAGGTGGCATGCGCCACGTATCTGGATCACCCAGCTGGTTGTGGATAAATTCACCGACTCGCGGGACCTTCTCGGCCGGCATAGGCCACGCGACCCATCGTTTGATATTCAATGGTGCTTGCTTGTCCGCTCTCTTGCGGATAGCATGCGCATTATAGAGGTGCGAAGCCAGATCCCTCGCTCGGTTCCTGATTATCGAATCGGCAGCGCCCCGGTCATTCGCGGTTACTCTCTTATAAGTAGACCGAGATCCCATCCAGCGGTTTGGGCGCATAGATCCCATAGGTAAATCCTTTCCTCGATCAAGGACAAATTTCTTAGATTGTCCCCCGTAGACCGGATCTGTTTGTGGCTGTTTAGAGTTGCCCGTATCGTGATCGTCGATATCCGAACCCAGCTCGTCGTCATCTTCATCGCTCCCGGGAAAACTGTCGCCATCGGAGGAATAATCGCCCGTTAAGGGTTGTTGATGCCCCATCATGGCGTCGATCTCATAGTCGTCCCCGTCTCGCGTGTCGTTGCGAGCCACAGGCTCCTGCACGGGGCGTGACTCCGCGGCGCCATCGTACCCGCTCGGCCCACCGAATAGTGATCGCTGTGACGGCTGAGAAGGCGGATGCGCGGCATCGCTGCTGGGGCCACCGAACAGTGACTTGCGAGGCTGTGCGGACGGCGGTGGATTGAACTGGGGAGACTGCTCGGAGAATGAGGACATTCCTCGCGAGACCGCTTGGGTCCTCCGTCCTTCGGGCTGGGGACGGAGACTGATGAATGCTATGTCACATAGGTTTTGGTTCCTGTGGAGATACAGCCAATCTCACACGGCCAAATCCGCAAGACAGGCCATGTTATAGCACAGAGTCGTGTGTTACTAGTAGTTCGAGTGTCGGCGAGAACAAAAATTCCGGGTGGACCAGTCACGTGTTGATAAACGGATCGACAGTATACGAGCGACTTACTGGAGACTTTTAGATTTTGGGAAAGTTGTCTATCTCTCTTTTCAAAGCCATTCGTCCCAGTCAATTTTTACATTTATTCAGGCCCAACCCTCATTCAAGGGTCACATATCAACAACAGCTACAGCCATGTGATCTGCTAACACATACCTCGAGCGGCATTATATTCAAGTGGCTCATGCAGTTGCAAAGCGACAGCTATCCCAAATGTTGGGTTGAATCTAACTTGAGACAAGAAATACTGCCTCAATCAATCAAGAGACAAACCCCCACCATCATCATTTCTGCCACTCCCTTCGCATCATAGCGTGTCGCTCTTTTGCCCCATAGAGGAGGTGTCATATCCATGGGCTTCCAGATATGCGCGGAATTCCACGTCCTCCTTAGTAATGGTATCCTAAAGAGCAGATTAAATCAGTCCATGAGGCCCAGACACAAGTGAAAAGATGGGAGGCGACAACTCACCTGTCCGACATGAGGCAAGCCAAAGTAAACAATAAGCGACGCAAAAATACATAACGAACTGGCCACGAAGAATGGATTTTGACCCGCGCGGATGGGATCGGGGTTGGCCTGAAGCAATGGGAAAATATAGGTTCCGACAAAGGCACCAATTTTGCCGATTGCAGCAGCGGTAGCATAGTACTGGCCACGCACAGCAGTGGCGCTGGTTTTGGATGCAAGCAGACCGATATTGTCGCCAGGACCCAGCTCACCCAAGGACATGAAGATACTAGTAGATTGGTCAGTTATGAAAAGAGCAAGCGGGATAACTAAGTCCGACAACACCCACCCATAGACGACTACAAATCCTGCGACATTCTGGGGGAGCGACAGGTATGCGTAGCAGCCGGACATGATAAAGCCGACCACGGCCTGAGCAGTCATCCCGACGATCAGACACATACGCGGCCCAATCCAGTCACTGACAAATGCACCGGCGAAGGATCCGGGAAGATAAAAAAGGTTGACCACGACATTCCAGCCGAAAATCTGCCACAGGGGAGCAGTCGATCCAAGAATGGTATCTAGCCAGACTGACGAGTAGGTACCGAAGGCAAACACGGAGAAATCGTAGATGAACCAGACGAGGGACACAACAAGCTGCGGTCTATTAGTATGAAAAAGAAGGAGAGAGAGATAAACGAGAGTAAACTCGACGGAGACCAACAACAACCAAAGGGAAAAGGGTATCATACCAGGCGCTTCCAGTGGAACCTAGAATTGACAAAGTGTTAGCGAATTTGTCTCTCTCGCGGACAGAGATTAGGGCTGTTATTACTTGATGATCAAAGCATAGGGGAATTTATGCATGCGCTCTCGAGTGAACTCTTCTGGCTCTTTTAGTTTGAATCGCAGGTAGACTAGACTGAGTGGCGGAATAGCTCCTAGGCCCAGGGAAAGACGCCATGGCACCTCTAGGTTGTCCTGTCCGAAGATAAGGACGAGGACCATGGGCACGAAAGCGGCGACAACGAAGCCAGAATCGATGATAAAGTCGGTGAAGAAGATGAACCAACGGTTGCGATGGCCTTCCTTTAGCTCGCCGGTGCTCTCTGCGGCGGCGACTGATCCCGCAGGATATTCGCCTCCGATTCCGATGCCTATTATAAAACGATACGCCGTGAGGGCGGCAAACATCCCTGTTGGGCTGCCGTGGTAGCCATACGAGCCGGCACTCAGAATGGCGAACACAATCAGGATGATGGTCGAGATCATCAGGGACCACTTGCGCGACCAGTAGTCACTGGTTATGCCAAAGATCAACATCCCGACTATCTCGCCGACGAAGACGAGAGAGGAGACATTGCGGAGTGCCGGGGAATTCTTGTAGTCCGTGGGATAGATACGGGTCAACATGGTATCGACAGACCCAATGACCTACGGCGATTCGTGGTTAGTCCAGTCCTACTATAACAATAACGGTGTGCTTGTTCCCACGGCGAGGATTTGGTGCGACATACGCCGTTCAGATATCCATCGGAGAAGAGACCAGCACCGCAGGCGATAATAGGCCAACTCCGCTCCCAGCGACCTTTGGGAAGAGCGTCGAGCGGAATTTGCGCCTCATCCTCCCCCTGGAAAGCCTCCCCTTGGAGAGGCTCTGGGGTCTTATCGGAGGTCTTCTCGGGGTTTAGGGAAGTCATTGTCGAGAACAACGAACGACAACGGTCATATCACGATAAGATGAAGAGAACGGGGGGTATGGAGGGGTTTTAAATCACCCTCGTGGGCCATGGCGAACCTCTAGTCCGAAAGAAGAGGATAAAAAATCAAGCGCGAATAGGGTTAGGAGCCATGCTGGCATCGCACGTGCCTAAGTGCATCGTGGCTGCGTTAGGGGCAACGCGTCGGCGATAGAGCCATTCGACCCCTGCAATCCAGAGCAAGTCGAGCGTCCGTCGAATCAACGGCGTGCCTCTCTGTACGGCACCACTGCAAAATGCCGGCGGCGATCCCGACTCGTCCGGGATTAGCAGCGTTACGGCAAAAACAAAAAGGAGCTAGGGATTTAATTCATCTCCCACTGCTGTCGGTTAGAACTGAACAAGAAGCATTATGGCCCGCTTGAGTATGGCTCGGCGGATGGAATCTGTCTGAGCCAATCAGAGCCGATTCCCGAAACTTTGGCTGACATCGGCCACTCCTATAGGTCATCGAAAGGCATGGGTAATTTCTAGTCCCGCCCCACGGATGATAGTTACTACATACATAACTTGGTTTCCCTCGCGATTTCGGGACAACCACGCATTTGACCGAGGCTATGGGTGCTATCCGGCGAGAAACAAGGAGAAGAAACAGGCGTAAAAGGGTGCAAAGATAATAAGCCATTAGGGTCGGAACACAGACAAATTAAATGTGAAAAATGCACGTTATTCTATCGTTTGCAATAAAAACCAAGCCAGGAATTCTCATTCAAAGGAAGCAGAGCCTCACTTCTTGTGAACTTCCTTTCTCGATTCCTCCATAACAGACTCCCGCCAGTACCAAAGCCCAGCCAGCAGAGCCGCGGGACCAACCAACACCATTCCTAAAAGTCCGCCAACCAGCGTAACAGGAAGAGAAGCACGAGTGATCTTCACCCGACGCAGGTCCCAGACTGTGAACAGAAACCAGGTCAAGACAGCAAGAGCTAGGCATCCTATCTGGATCAATTCAAATGAAAGGCCCATTGCCTCGTGACTAGAGACACTAGCAAGGACCTGCGGAATGGAGCTGCTAGCAACAACCAAATGCATCAGACTGGTCAGGAAGAAAATGGCACCAAAAAAGCGAAAAATATAACCCATGTCATATGATCCATATAGCAGCTGGCCAACTGTAAGATCCGGGGATTTCTTACAGAAGCGTTTGCCCAGCTGAAGCAGGATCGGTAGGCTGACATGTCCGGCTAATTGGACATCGATTGATGAGGCCTGTTGGTTTCGGAGATTGGTGATTGCTTGTAGTATGGGTAAGGCATATGCAATCACCAGTCCGAGTGGAAGATTCTTTGCAGTCCAGATATTGAGGGCTCGTGGCGAGGGGTAGTAGAATGTTCGGGATGCGCTGAGGAAGATGTGGATGGCGAGGTAGATGGGGAGAATGGTCTCCCAACCTAGGTATGAAGAGGCGAAGGCGAACGGCATGGCGCTGTTATTTGTCAATTTATTTACTGCAGTATCGCCAGGACTGGAAGCCTTACCTGAACAAGGGCGACACCGTGAGTGCCGAGCGATGAGATTCAACGACCCACAGTCCATTTACTGCAATGGTGGTCATGGAAATATATAATCGCAACCTCTCAAATCCATCTGGACCTTCCTCCAAATCATAATACCTCGGTATGACACGACTCAACAACGCAAGACAAAGCATAGCCACAGCCCCCAGAACCGTCGCATAAACTGGCCGAGTCCTTGGCTCGACTGTGACCTCGTCATCAAGAAGAACCAACCTCTTCCTCCTAACTTGGCCAACGTGCTTCAGCACATGCGACGGGGAGAAACTCTGCACCAACCGCGGCGCAATATCCTCCAATCCCATCTTACTGATGACATTGAGCATGAGGAATTTAAGAAACGGGGTCTCGAGACATTCCATACGCTGCATCTTTTTCGTTAGCTCCATTGCCTCCCGTGTTCGTGGTTTTCGGCGTCGTTGGAAGCGAGTGAATATCTCCTTGATTGCGCTGTCGTCGGGATGGGACTGTTTCTGGAGTGCTTCGTAGAGCAGGTCAGAGAGGAAGGCGGCGGATTCGATGGCGGCATTACCGCCTTGTCCTGTTAATGGGTTCATCTTTTGACAAAAGTATCAGTATACGTGTAGTTTAATTGAGTGGCTGTTTTATACCTTGTGGAACGAATCACCAATTAGGACAGCCCGCTTATAGAAGCATTTCTCGAGCACGGACTCTTCCAGCGGAACGAGCACGGCATTCCGGCGGAGCTCGTACAGATTCCCGAAAGTAAAGCCCGGAAACAGAATGTCGCTGCTGTGTTCCTCTGCCAGCTTCTGGCAATCTTCGGTCGTGTACCGCGGGATGGAGGCGTACACTGTCGTTTCGGGGTTCTTGAAGAAGGCAAAGAAATATATTTTCCCATCCTTACCGCCCTGGTACATATACGAGCGATTGTGATAGAACGTTTTCCAGCCCATGTCGCCAGGGACGCCCTCTGGTCGTTCGGAGATGCCGAACATGCATTTGTAGGTGCATTTTATGGCTGCAGCGTTGAGTTAGAATATGTTTTCCCAGAATAGAAGTGCAGTCCATACACTCAGCAAGTTTCTCGGAGTTGTATTTGGGTGTCTCCGAGTCGGCGATCCGCCATACCTCCTGCCGAGTACGAGAATGCACCCCGTCGGCGCCGACAACGATATCTCCCCGAAAGATAGATCCATCTTTGGTGGCAACGACAACGCCGCCATCGATATCTTCGAGTTTGAACACCTCTGTAGAAGTATGGATTTTCGATTTATCCGTGAGGTTATCGTAGAGAACCTGGAGTAGTTGCTGCCGGTCGAGAAATCGCATTGGATATCCGAAACTACCAGTAAAAAGACAGAAAATTAGCTTCCCTACAATAAAGGGCCAATCAAATACCAAACTAACAGTTCTTTCATCATTCTACCCAACAGATGTGGCTTAGGCAGTAGTGAGCGTCCACCAGGCCCAAAGTTCTCCACCATCTCCACGGGCATCCCAATCCTCTCCAGCGTGTCATAGCAACCCAGCTGGTCCAGGATCTGAGAGCCATGGGCCAATAGAGCCAAACTAGCGCCCAGCTGCGGGGCAATAATTGCTTGTTTTTCGAGCACAACGTAGTCGATGCCATACTTCTCGAGGATATTCGCTAGCGTGAGCCCGGATATACTTCCGCCGATAATGATGACCTTGAAGGGGGCCATGGTGAAACGCGTGACACAAGATGAAGGCAAGAACGCATGTTGGGCGATTTGCTTATATGTATTCCTTTTCGATGCTAGGCCGTACTGTTACCTATCTGGGGCTAGTTTGACTGCACAATATGCTTCAACTGCACCAAATATGGGTTGTCATTGGCGGAGATTGGGGGTTAGGTCCGCTGAATCAGCGGAAGAGGGGCCTGACGCGTTAACGGAGAGGAATTTGGGTAATGTTGATTGCATTTCGGATGACATGCCTCCCGTCATTATTATGTTGAGCTAGGTTGCACCGGGAAAATGAGCGCCGAATCCTTGGAATACAGGGAGAAAGGGCAAAATTAATTATAGGTTGGTTAAATGTACAAGTGCAACGCGAAAATACCGTGACCCAATACAATTATGCATTGACCGCCTTCCGTTCCATCCTATCCTTCTAAGGCTCTGTAACCGCATCCTATCTTCGAATACGAACAATGACTGATGCGCTCATCGCTGTCCCTTCTAGCCGCTGTTTCCCGCGGACAGGCTTCCCGTCTAAGGAAGCCCACTGTGAGCTTGGATCATGTAAGGGCGATTCAATTGGTCCCGGTCCTGGGGTGATGCTGATAATCCACATAGTTCATCCAGAGGCAGCGGGTGCTGGCATTATGGCGCGATATTGTCAGAGCAGTGAATAGTAAACTCATTCCGTTATCATTATGTGCTCTGTTGCTCATGCTTCCATTTAGAGATCCCGCCCTCGTCAACGCGAGACGAGCTACGCAGCTATGCGCGTCATGAGTTTGAGCGACATCGCGGAGTGTCGGACCTAGTAAGTGGTCCTTTTTGCCAACAGTGGAATTATTTGCTGACCTAGCTATTAGACCCATATTCGATACTTGATCTCGGTATGTTGAAATCCGGAAATGTACACCTTCTACTGACTCACCTGCGTAAAGACAGGCAAAACCGAATTCGAGACCATGAGGCGATATATCGACGAGCAGGTTCGGTAGCTTAGCCGGTTTGTGTGTGATTTAGAAGAGAGAAGATTACTCCAAAATATGTACAATATCAGAAAAAACTGTTATACATGACACACCCTCGTTTTATCAATTCCCCCTCTGAACAAGCGCCCTCACAGCATCCAAAACCCCGATGCTCTTCTCATCCGCCGGTTCAATCGCAGCCCGCGCCGCATCAGGCTCACTAGTCTTGCGCTGTGCCTTGTTCTCGGCATCCTTGGCAGCGGCCTCAATGGCAGCATGTCTCTCGCGCCACTCGCGATCCTCTTTATCTCGCACCTCCAGCTCGCGCAGCCATGCATCGCGCTTTTCCTGCGCCTTGCGCATCTCCACGGCCTTTTCAAACTCCTTGCGCTGCTGTCGCTCGCTCTTGAAGTACATCCCGCCCGCCACGAGGGAGACTAGTGTGAATGCTTGTGCGTAGATACGGGCCCGGAACATCCGGTTCATCTCGGCGGAGTCGCCAGCCTTCATGGAGCGGTAGGCGCGGTATAGGGCGTAGCATGTTGCGGCGCATCCTGTTACCCCCAAGAAGTTAGTGAGTTACAAGAGGAATGATGAAAGAAGAAGCAGAAGCTGTACCGAGTGGAATGAGAGGCTCTTCCTTGAGTCGTCGGGTGAATTTCTGGAGGGAGGTCTCCTCTCTGAATTGACTACGGCAGGGAATGAATGTTAGCGTGAACCGGTAGAGCAATTTTCCAAAAGTGACACACGTACGGACTGTCCTCAAACGAGGATGGCAAGGGCTCGCGAGCCATGTTGATGGGAGAGAGCTGCGGCTAATGATGCACGGCGCGGAGTTCGAGATCGCGGGTCGGCGCGGCAAACAGTCTCAGCGTTTATGGGCGTGCGACAAAATTGAACAATAGCAAACCGAAGAGTCAATCTAGGCCCGCAGTCGCCTTCAGTGTCGGAGCAGGAAAGGATGAAGGCTTCGGCATGACGTTGCGACCGACTGGCAGTTTTCTTTTCAAGGCGGTATGGTATGCGCAGGTCCCATCACTTGGTTAGGAGAGCACAATCAACACAGCTAAAAACAGAAATAATCCATTATTACACCGCTACTAGCATCGTCTCCAACCAATCTCGTCTACTCTGCTTCTGGTAACAACAATCATCTGCTACAATAGTCCAAAAACAACTTAAACAGCAATTGACTAGGGCTGGAAGGCAGGGTTGCTGACATAACACTCCGATCCCGGTCCCGCCTCCGCAAGAAAAAAAAGAGTCAGTCGAGAAGAAGAATTGTCCGTCGTGTTTGCAATTGCCTTCTTGTGCCCCCTTTTTGGCTGTGTCTTCTTTCGGATCCCTCAGTTCCTAATGTCCGACGAGTTCATCCCCAATGGCGCGGCGACGCCCGTCAGTCCCAAGATGAGTGGCCTGGCCCTCACCGAGTATACCGCCGCTCCCACCCCTCCATCTGAACGCTCCGAGCCCAAATACCCCCCAAACTGGGGCATCCCCGATGCCTTCCTGCTACCCAATGGGTACCCCGATGTGAGATTGGTTCTTCCAATATCATACCGCTTTCTAACGAACGGTCAACTAGTATCTCCGACTGATCTTGACGTCACGAGTTTACGATGTTATCGAAGAGACTCCTCTCACCCACGCGGTGAACTTGAGTAACCGGCTCGAGAGCCGCGTTATGCTCAAGCGGGAGGATCTGCTGCCGGTGTTCAGCTTCAAGCTGCGTGGCGCATACAACAAGATGGCTCACTTGAACCATGAGCAGCGGTGGAAGGGCGTCATTGCCTGCTCTGCAGGTGAGTTATGACATTATATACGGATGGTGATCTTCTAACATCTATATCAGGAAACCATGCACAAGGCGTGGCTTTTTCGGCCCGCAAATTGAGAATCCCCGCTACCATTGTCATGCCCTCCGGCACCCCCGCCATCAAGCACCTGAACGTTGCCCGTCTGGGAGGCAGCGTGGTTCTTCATGGCAACGACTTCGATGCTGCCAAAGAGGAGGCGCACCGACTACAGCATCAGCACGGCCTCACGAACATCCCGCCGTTTGACGACCCGTACGTGATTGCGGGCCAAGGCACTATTGGCATGGAGCTCCTGCGCCAGGCCAACTTGGATAAATTGGAGGCCGTCTTTTGCGCCGTTGGTGGTGGTGGCCTGATTGCTGGTGTTGGTGTGTATCTCAAGCGCATTGCGCCGCAGGTCAAGGTCATTGGTGTAGAGGCGTACGATGCCAACGCCATGGCCCAGTCTTTGGACGCAGGTGACCGCGTCTTTCTCAAGGAAGTTGGTCTCTTTGCCGACGGCGCTGCGGTCAAGTCTGTCGGAGAGGAGCCCTACCGGCTCTGCCGGGAGGTCATCGACGATATTATCCAGGTATCGACGGACGAGACCTGCGCCGCGATCAAGGACGCCTTTGAGGATACCCGCTCCATTATCGAGCCTGCTGGTGCTCTTGCTCTCGCCGGTCTTAAAAAGTATATTTCCAACAATCCCAGCCCCGACACCACCCGTGAATTGATCGCTGTCACCTCCGGTGCGAACATGGACTTTGACCGACTGCGCTTCGTGGCGGAGCGCGCCGCGCTGGGTGAGCGCAAGGAAGCCCTCCTGAGCGTGAAGATTCCCGAAAAGCCCGGGGCGTTTGCCAAGCTCATTGAAGTGATTCTGCCTCACGCCGTCACGGCATTCAGCTACCGCTACGCCCGCGAAACATCCGCCGATGTGCTCATGGGCATTTCGCTATCCGCCCTGACCGGCCGCGAAGACCTGGCGAAGATCATGCAGGAATTGGAGAAGGCAGGGATGAACGTCCACGATCTGACTGATGACGAACTCGCCAAGCGCCATCTGCGTTTCTTGGTCGGCGGTCGCTGCGACGTCGCCGACGAGCGCCTGTTCATGTTCGAGTTCCCCGAGCGGCCTGGCGCGCTGGCCAAGTTCCTGACCACGCTGCGGCCAAATCAGAACATTTCACTGTTCCACTACCGCAACTACGGTGGCGATGTCGGCAAGGTCCTGGCTGGTATCCAATGCCCGGCGGCGGAGAAGGAGGATCTGGAACATTTCCTACGGGATCTGGGATATCCGTTCAGCGAACACACCGACTCTCCGACCTACCGGACGTTTTTGCGCTGTGATTGATTTCGCTTTTTGTGTACGCGTCGATGGTTTTGGTTCTTGCTTGGTGAATCGTGCGGTTCGACATTTTCGGCTTTTTGTTGTGTTCATGGTCGGCGTTCGGTCTTTGTTCCATAGACTCTTGGAATTGGCTTCATTCTGTATGATAGCTGTACTTGTCCGAAGACAAGATGATTTGATCCTACAATCTCATTATATTCATCTTCCATCTCTGTGTAGTCCGTCTATACTCTCCCACCGCCTACTCGACTATGATTGGCTGACTCGGCACCGGCAATACCACACCTCCGGCCAGCCTTTTGCGCCTTCCAGACCAACAGACCAAGCAACACCACCCATCTCACCTCCCCATTCCGGGTTCCCAGTTCATTCCTCGAGGCAATTCCTGGGTTCAAACAAGGAATCGCCCACCATGTTCTCCCTCCGCACCGTCTTCGGTGCCTCCTCCGGCGCCCTCCGCCAATTTCTCCCCTCCGTCTCCCGCCGATCATTCTACAGCTCTGTATCGCTCCGCCCATTCTCGCACATGATCCGAAACAGTCTCACAAGGCTGCGCGCTGGACAATCACAATCGAGCACTGCCGTCGCTGTTGCTGTGGGTTCTGCCAGGCAGATAGAGCAGGTCCGGGGGATGAAGACTCGGTCTTCGGTGAAACGGTTGTGTGATGGCTGCAAGGTATGATTGTGGCATGAATTGTCTCTTGCACTCGCAATTGCAGTGATCGTCTGGGATTGCTGGATCAATTGAGGGTGTTTGGGTCTGTGGATTCGATTACTGATTTGACTGTTGGGAAACTTTAGCCTGTTAAACGGAAGGGCCGCGTGTACATTATTTGGTGAGTCTATCCTGGATTTTCAGGGCTATTCTTCATGCTAATTGTTCTTTCACTGCCATAGCTCGAAGAACCCGAAGCACAAGCAACGGCAAGGGAAATAGAGTCGACAACAACGTGCTTGCGGACTGACGCATTTTTGGATACCCCGGCTATGCATTGAGAAAGATGAGTGGGACGGTCACAGTACTGTGTATGCTGTCACGATAGTCTCGAGTTCTTTTATTGATGGGCGACTTGCTGCGCGTGGGATTCCTCCGCCGGTTTGGGCAGATGCAGCGAGCTCGAACTTCAATGGGCATTGCCTCTTTATGAGCGTATCGGCCATGCAGTGGATTGGCGACCGGGTCTATACAACTGGTTTCGACTGAACTGTCAAGATCTGGGATGTTGGAATGCACAGGTGTTTGTCTCTTGCCTTCGGTTGATGGATATACGGATGGATTACTTCAAGTGGTGGCATTTCTTTTGCATGGTTACAACACGGGCCAATTACCTGGTCAGCGGTTTCGGCGCTCATGTCCTGATACTTACTGTATATTATTCTTCTTTTACGGCAATCGGAATTCTTTCTACTCCAGTCATTAACCAGTCCTAAATTGTAGAGATGGTGTCACGTGATGCGCGTTCCTGAACTTTTTTTCTCGGAAAAACACAGAACAAGTTTCGATTCCCAATCTTAACATCATGAGGTCTCCTACTCTTGCGCGGCTGCAGACCCGTGCGGTGTCTGGTCTGACCAGATCTTCCGTCCGTCTTCAGCCACAGACTCTCCTGCGTCAACGGTGCGCATCCACGGCTGTGTTGCGGCCGTCCGCTGTTGCGCCGGTGTCCCCGTCGATCCAGAGACAATGGCAGCAGCGGAGGAATGCCTCTGCGGCGGCATCTGCTGTGTAAGTACATTGACACGCTTCCAAATCGATCATTCTCTAATTGCCTTTCTGTGAATAGCCTCGAGGCCGCTGCGGCCAACCCGGAAGCCCTGTCGCAAGCCGCAATTATCGACAACCTGGATCCCGCGGAGGCTGCTCGCCTGGACAAATGTCGGAATATTGGCATTGCGGTACATTATCCCTCGAATTGGTGTTTCATGGACCACTTCTGACAATTCTCTTCGGCCAGGCCCACATCGACAGTGGTAAAACCACAGTCACCGAGCGTGTCCTCTTCTACACCGGCCGGATCAAGGCCATCCACGAAGTGCGCGGACGTGACAGTGTCGGCGCCAAAATGGACTCCATGGATTTGGAGCGCGAGAAGGGTATCACTATCCAGTCCGCCGCTACCTTCTGTGACTGGGTCAAGAAGGACAAGGAGGGCAAGGAGCACAAGTATCACGTCAACCTGATCGATACACCGGGTCACATTGATTTCACAATTGAGGTCGAGAGAGCGCTGCGCGTTCTAGATGGTGCCGTTATGATTCTCTGCGCTGTCTCGGGCGTACAGTCGCAGACCATCACGGTTGATCGGCAGATGCGCCGGTACAACGTGCCTCGCATTTCGTTCGTCAACAAAATGGATCGCATGGGCGCCAACCCGTTCAAGGCTGTCGAGCAGATTAACACCAAACTCAAGATCCCTGCGGCTGCGGTTCAAGTCCCCATCGGTGCTGAGGACGAGTTCGAAGGTGTCGTGGACTTGATCGACATGAAGGCTTTGTATAACGAGGGAGCCAGCGGTGAGGAGATTTCCGTGAAGGAAATTCCCGAGAAGGTCAAGGCTCTCGCCGAGGAGCGAAGAAACATGCTTATCGAGACCCTCGCCGATGTCGACGATGAAATCGCTGAAATCTTCCTTGAGGAATCCGTGCCCACAGCGGACCAGCTGAGGGCTGCAATTCGCCGCGCCACTATCGGGCTGAAGTTCACCCCAGTCTTCATGGGTTCCGCCCTGGCCAACAAGTCCGTGCAACCGATGCTGGATGGTGTGGTTGATTACCTGCCCAACCCTGCGGAAGTGGAAAACTTGGCTCTGGATCAGAAGCGGGCTGAGGCCTCCGTGAAGCTGGTCCCCTATAACTCTCTGCCCTTTGTTGGTCTGGCTTTCAAGCTGGAGGAGAGCAACTTCGGACAGTTGACCTACATTCGTGTGTACCAGGGTACTCTCCGCAAGGGTGCCAATGTGTTCAATGCCCGCAACAACAAGAAGGTCAAGGTGCCCCGTATCGTTCGCATGCACTCCAATGAGATGGAGGAAGTTTCGGAGATCGGCGCCGGTGAAATCTGTGCTGTGTTCGGTGTTGACTGCGCCTCTGGTGACACCTTCACGGACGGCCAGCTCGGCTACAGCATGTCGTCCATGTTCGTTCCCGAACCCGTCATCTCCCTTTCCATCAAGCCTAAGCAGAGCAAGGATGGCGCCAACTTCTCCAAGGCCATGGCTCGTTTCCAGAGAGAGGATCCCACTTTCAGGGTGACGTATGACACTGAGAGTGAGCAGACCATCATCTCCGGTATGGGCGAGCTCCACCTTGACATCTACGTTGAGCGTATGCGCCGTGAATACCGCGTGGACTGTGAGACCGGCCAGCCACAGGTGGCCTACCGTGAGACGCTCGGCAACCGCGTCGAATTCGACCACCTTCTCAAGAAGCAGTCCGGCGGACCCGGTGAATACGCCCGTGTCATGGGCTGGATGGAACCCACAGGAACCCTGGAGGAGAACAAGTTTGAGCAACAGATTGTCGGCGGCAGCATTTCCGAGAAATTCCTGTACGCTTGCGAGAAGGGTTTCAACCTCTCCTGCGAGAAGGGCCCTCTCGTCGGCCACAAGGTGCTGGGAACGCGCATGGTCATCAACGACGGTGCCACCCACATGACGGACTCGTCTGAAATGTCTTTCAAGAACGCTACCCAGCAGGCCTTCCGCAAGGCGTTCATGGAGAGCAACCCTTCTGTTCTGGAGCCCCTAATGAAGACCGTTGTTACCGCCCCGTCGGAGTTCCAGGGTGATGTGATCGGCCTGCTGAACAAGCGTGGCGCCACTATCAACGACACCGAGACCGGCGTCGACGAGTTCACTATCTACGCGGACTGCAGTCTCAACGGCATGTTCGGCTTCAGCACCCACCTGCGCGCCGCTACCCAGGGTAAGGGCGAATACACCATGGAATTTAGCCACTACGAGAAGGCTCCTCCGCAGATGCAGTACGTCTTCCATTCCCCTTGACCATTTTTGATAATCGTGCTAATTGGTCTCCCTCTAATAGGAAGGAACTCATTGCCAAGTACCTCAAGGCCCAGGCCGACCGACACAAGAAATAGACACATCCAAACCCCATGAAAGGTGTCAAGCTGTTGATTCGGCTTGCACTACACCACTTGTACCATTTCCCCTCCTCCCTCGCTCCCCCCAAGACAAATACACCCAGGCGGTGCTAGTTGGCCTTTCAAAGGATCCGAAGTCATACCTTTCGGCTTAGGGTTACGACACTGCCTTACACTCTCCCCATTTCTTTCTCAGACCTGTATTCCAAGAACAAGATATACCGTTTCTTTCTTTGCTTTCATCCATCAGTGCCCTGTACTCCAGTTGTTTGAATAGAAGTTGTTCCTTGGCGCTGCATCATTTCATGTCGGGGTTGGCAATTTGCAATTCGGGGTGTTTCGCTTCCTCTCTCTCCTCTCCGTGATATATCGAGTTAGAAGGCTAGAAATATATATACTGGTAGACAAGACCTTTTCCCCACCTATGGTCTCTCCTAACTCCCGGCTGTCTAGATGCGAAAATCAAAGCCTCAAATCAAACGTGAAACACCATCTACGGTTCAAAAGCCCTCAAGACTGCGAGACCGGCGACAGAGAAAGTTGCGACTCGGTTATGGCCTAGAATATCCTAGCAGTCAGCACATTGATCAACAGTTCGTCCCTATCCCGATCACATACCTCCATAGCGAACCCGCTCCCACCGAACCTTCTTCACAACCTTCTTCCCATCCTGCCGAGTGAACTTATTCTCCCAAATCTTCACCTCATTGCGCCGATCCGGCTCGGCCTTCTCGTACGTCACAGCCCCAGGCGCACCGTCTACATCCTCACCCGTCGCAGCAACCCAGACACGACGCCCTTCATACCATGGGATCTCGAAATCATTCAAAGCATGCACAATGGTCAGATCCAAGTCTTTGGTCTTATACTTCCTCCCTTCGGCATCATGCTCCGCAGCATCAACACCAGTCAAGCGTGCCACTCTCGCCGCCGTATCCCACCGGTCAACGATGTGACCAAGGACCCAGTTCTGGAACCGCGGATAACCGATCAGCGGCGAGAGCATAGGCGGAGTCAGGCCCTTGAAGCTGTACGACTCGATCAGGGTGCGCATGCTGCTGAACGACGCCAGCAGAATCACGCCGGCGAAGGGCTCCGCGTCCTTGATGGCGGGCTGGATGGCTGCTAGGTCGGGCGATCCAAAAGCGAATCGCTCTGCCACGGCGGCCGTCACTGCTGTGCCGAGGCTCTGGCCGACGATCACGATGCGGGATGGTGGGATACGCAGCGGACCAGCCGTTAGGAAGTTGATTAGTGACACGCCGTCGGTGATCAGGCCTTCTTCCGTCGGAGAGCCGGTTGAGACCCCGAACCCGCGGTAGTCGAGCGCAAAGACGTGCACGGGGTTCGAGGGCGTAGAGAGGGAGAGCATGGTGTTGTAGATTGCTGGGCGTTGCGCCGAGCCCAGGTGTGCGGCGTTGCCATGAACTGGAGACGGAGTTTAGAGCTATCCCATACATTCATTCACTCCTTGGCGCGGCACTTACAGCTCACGACCACGCGGGCATTCGGGTCCTTGGCCAAGAGATTAAAAGCGACGGTTTGAGCGTAGTCCTCTGCTGGGCCATTGGGCGGATGCTCGGCCAGCTCCTGTTCATGCTGTCGGCAGAGATGTAGCGGCAGAAGATGCCAGCCGTACAGCGTCTCGTTGTCGGGGGTTTGCAGGTTAAACGGCTGCACTTGGGTTCCTGGACGAGTGAGCCAATGCCGCCCAGGAACTTTGAATAGACATACTCAGGTAGCCGAATGGCTCGACATGGTTGACATCCTGCCACAGGCTTGGGTTGACCTTGTTGGCATACAGGCAACTGTGAGTGTCAGTCCGAGTCAATGGAAGAGCAATCAATTCACGTACAAGCGCTGGACGGCAGAGAAGGTCAGCGCGTAGATGAAGAGCACATAGACCAAGCCCCCGGCTGCTAGTGCCCAGTAGGCCTTTTTGAAGATGGGCAACAGCTCCATGATTATTATCAATGTTGTTGTTGGTAACCAACTTAGTCGCAGCGGCTGATAATCCACCGGGTTCCTTATCGCTTCCGCTTTTCCTCCCCTTCCTTTCTTCCCTTCATCTCCCACTCCTCGACATGTTCCCTTGACATCGCTTCCTTCCATCCCATCACCATCCACCATGGCTGAGAAGCGCAGACTGCCCCCGCGCGAACGCCGCGAACCCGCCAAGAAGCGCCTCTCCGAGACAACACCCGCGCCTACGCCGCCCGCCCAAAAAAAGAAGGCTACGCCCAAGGTCCGCCCACCACCCCCGGAGCTTGAAAAGCCGTTGCCCACGAAGATTAAAGATTCCGACGCCTTACCTATTATCCGGACGCGCCAGCCGACTACGCTGTCCGATAAGGAGTATCAGTCCCTCGCCGACAGGTTTGTGTCCTTGCTCTCGTGCCTCTGTCCAGTCACTGACGCGCGCCTTTCTAGTGCGGTGCTCCTCGCATCCCTCGAACGGTCCAAGAAGAAATGGCTCAGCGATGGGATCCTCGTTCGCTACTACACCAAACCCAAGAAGACCAAGCGCGAACAGATCGCGCAGCGCAACCCGCCCAAGGAATCCATGATGAAGGTCGGACCATGCGACGTCACCGTCGGACCTCATCTTTTCGATGCGATGATATACACCGTCAAAGACCCCAACGCGCCGCCGATGCAGTACGCGCCGCAACAACGCCCGATGGTCCACTACGGTCCTCCCGGTAGCTTCCAACAGTTCCAGCCATCCTACCCTCCGTCCGCATACCCACAGAAACGACCTCCGTACTCGCCAGCCCCTGCCAATCGTCCACCACAGGGGCATCCACCCAATCACGCGCATCCATCCCAGCAAAGGCCACAGCCATCGCCTCAGAGCGGACCGCGACCACCGCAGCAAAACGGGCAGCCCGCCAAACCGAGCCCTGACCCAGTCATCCAGATGCTTGCAACCCGAGCAGCAGCCGACCCCGAACTCAAGGCGTTGATGCGAGTGGTTGCCTCCAGCCAGGCGACGCAGGAACAGCTCCGCGCTTTTCAGGCACATATTGACGAGCTTAATGCCATCATCAAAGCAAGAGAGCAAAGACAGAGTGGGACTCCTGTTCAGCAACAAGGGTCGCCGGCACAGTCAACCTCTGGGTCGCAACCTCCGCCGTCTCAGACGGGACAGAATACTCCAAGTGAAGTAAACCCACCTGAGAAGCCCTCACAGGAGCCGGACTCAGAAGCTCAAGCTCCAACTCCGTCTAAGGAACCCGAACAAAAATCAAAATCCCAAGCTTCACAATCCGCACCTGACTCTAAGCCACAAGAGAAACCGAAACCGGCAGAGAAGCCTCAGACCCCGGCCCAAACACCGTCCACTCAGCCTTCGAATGGCACGCAAGGTGCATCTGACTCGACTAGCGTCAAACAAGAACCAGCTGCCGCAGCACCGCCTACGGCAAGTGCTCCTGCCAGCACCTCCGCCTCAGCCACAGGATATCAGCAACAGAGTCCAGTGCCCGGGACACCGCAAGGTAATGCCCAGCAGGCTGGGGCCCGGCCGGGGCAACCATATCCCCCTCAACAACAAGCTCCGCAGAGTGGTTCTGCTCCCATTCAATCTCGTCCACCACAGTATGGTTCACCGAGCCAATATTATCGACCCACAGCTCCATTGCCACCTCCACGAGTAAACTACAAAGCCATCGTCTTCGAATTCACATCCCCGTTGACCCCGTACGGAAGCAGTACCTCGGGTCATGCAGGCTCTGGTGACCGTTACCTGTTCCCCGAATATTCAATCTTGGAGTGGATACCCAGCGAAAACACTGTGCTTGCCTCGTTCCTGGTTGTTCGAAAGGTTGATCCCACCACCCCGTTCCCCATCGAAACCCCCTCGGAGACCAGCAACAGTAAGGGTAAAGGGAAATCAAAGAAGGGCGATAAGAAGGGCAAAGGTGCAGAAAAGGACGCAAATGGCGCTGCCGCCCAAGTATCTGCCCCTTCTTCTACAGACACGCCTCAGAAACCCGATGCGGCGAAGCCGCCAGACAATAATAACACCGACGCCAAACCTGAACCCGGAACACCAGCTGGCGACTCCACCACTGCCACCACGCCAAACGAGGCAAACCTGAAAGAATACTGGCAACCCGTCACATTCCGCATCCACGCCTCGAACCCCAAGATCCTGGAACCTCTCTCCCGCGTCGTCAAGCCCGCCGAAGAAGTCCGCAAGTACATGAACGAGGTCATGGACCGCGCCGAGCGCGCTCCAGATGGGTTCCTCGCTAATCGGCTGCCGCGCGAGAAAGTCGACCCGGCTGTCTTTGCCGAGGAGAATCGTGGCACGCCAGTGCCCGGTCCAGCAACTGGTGCTAGTGCTAGTCGCAGCCGTCCTTCTCGTAGTAAGGCGGCTGGTGAGGAGTCCGAGGTTGATCAACTCCCTCTGGAGATGGATGTGGAGGAAGAGGAGGAGGAATTGATGGACTTTTATGGCGCGCCGGATGGACTGCCGCCAATGGGGGCTTGATTGGATTGTATCTATAGAAATAAAGGAAAGACAACCAACTGGCACCATCATCAACCACATCGAGATATATTTAAACCCTCCGATCTCCCCTAAAACAGTACAATAATCACACACTTCCCCCAGGGCTCCAACCCCCGTGCTGATCCCCAATAATCCCCGCCGTCTCCAACAACCACCGCGCACTCTCCCGATTCGGATCACCCGCCCCAGCCTTGATATTAATACTACGTCTCCTCTCCACCTCCCGCGCTTCAAATTCCCACTTACGGCGCTGGATCTCCACTGCATTCGCCTCCTCTGTAGAAGACTGTTCCGGGTCCGGGAGAACCCCCCACACCTCGAGGGCGTAGATATCCAGTCTCGTTTTGACGGGCTCGTCAAACGGAGACGCCGTACCGGATGGTAAGAAGACGCCATCGTGACCGACGGGCAGAGCGATGAAATCAGCTGTTTCCAGATTCACGTCTATCGAGAGACTGCCCGCGCCGTGTGGGGTCGGCTGGGAGTGGTGGCTTCGTGAGGAAGGGGGGATTTGGCAGCCGAGCGCTATGCCGGTGTGGGTGGAGAAGTAGGCGGGTGGGAGGTTGGGTTTTTGGATTACTGAGGGCGAGGTGTTGCCCTGGAGGAGCAGGTGGGTTGGCGATAGTTGGAAGAGAACCGGCGGTGGATCCGAGGTGGTGGTGCTTGATGTGCTGCTGTGGTGGGAGGACGATTTCCATGGTTGGGGGAGATAGGCGCCTAAGGTGACGAGGTCGGTGGTGGAAGAGGACGAGGATGAGTTTTGGGGAGCGCCGTGTAGGATGAGGAGGGTGGCGGATTGCCAGGTCAGGACGTGGTGGGAGAAGGAGGTGAGAGAGGAGCCGTGGGCTGTTGTTGAGAAGACGGGGTGCAGGCGGATACCGCTGCGGAAGAGGTTTAAGGATGGGGAGGTGGATGAGAGGAAGAAGGAGAGGTGTGAGGTCAGCGCTGGGTTGAGAATGCTGGACTCGAAGCTGCCGGGGAGCATGATTGATGGGAGTGGTGATGGTCGCGGAGTTGCTTCTTTCTTCTCGATTGTATCTTGTATAGGGTGTGACGGTTCCTTCTGCCGTTTTTTGGAGAAGTCCAGGTTCTTGCTGAAGAGAAGGTGTTCGAAGAGCGGAGTCAATGGATCGAAGAGATATGGTAGCGAAGACGTGATCGTTCTGGCGAAAGCCTTGTAGGAGATTCCGCCGTCGTGTTGCTCTGGAGAAAAGGCCGCGATGATATTGTCCGCCTGTTTCTGGATGTCGTCCAGCCGTTCTTCATGCAAGTCCGATATAAATGTCCGGACAGATCCAAGCGAGTTCAAAGGCGCAATGGCTAGTAATAGCATGAGCAGTCGGCGGAATGTGTCAATCGAGATGCGCGTTTCATAGACCGTCTTATCAATGCGGTGATCATGTTTAAACACCTCAATGGCATCCAGCGACTCCAATGCCGCAAGCGCCAGATCATCATCTTCATCATCCTCATCATATTCCTCATCACCAGGCTCATCAATCGCAAAACCAGGTGCATGAGAGTGCGCAGCAGCCGATTCATCCACTTCCTCCTCTTCACCACTACCATCTCCTTCCTTCGCAGCCCCTCGATCAGGCGAAGACCCCAGATCCTTCCTCCCCACATCTGCCAAGCTCCCAAAAAGCAACTTGATCCGATCCCGGCGGCCCCGCTTCAGCACCTTCCCATACCGCTCCGTGAGCAGCACGACAACCTTAACCATGGCCTCAAAAGTGAGCACGCTGGGCGCCATGGTACTCTGAAACGGAAAGGCGCCTAGATACGAGACCATGCGGAAGAGCACCGGGCCCGCGTCGAGCGGGTACTGGTGCGCGGCGGAGTAGCTGCCATCGGGAATGCCCAAAAAGTCAGAGAGGGTCTTCTCGTTCCAGTAGCGCAGACCGCCCTGCTCGGAGGCGCGGAAAAAGAAGTTGTCTTTGAAATGCGTGAGCTCTAGCGGCGTGAAACATTTCGTGGCGAAGCGTTCGGCGAGGATGTAGCTTAGTTCCTCTGCGGACGGGATTAGATATTGGATGGTGATATATGGGGGGATATGCGGGGAGAAGGTCGCATAGGGTCCACCGGTGGTAAGACATGTTTTATGAGCAGGAATTGCAGGGCAAGCATCGACTGACCTGGGGAACCCCCATGCACGAGCTCCGCTGACTGGCCTGCGCCCATTGTTCAGGTCAAGACGCGAGGTGACAGCAGCGCGGGTCTAGACAGGCAGCGATCAGAGGGACCGGTGACAATGATGGGCCTGGGCATGTGGCTGCTACCGGAACGGTGTCAAGAGTACCAGCAAGGAACAAGAATAATACGCGGAATTAGCCAAGTTGAGTGAGTACAAGTCAAAGTACCAGGAGAGTGAGTAGGCAATGTAGGTTGTTGGGTTGACAGCTCGATGATGTGGAGACATGTGACGGCATTCGTGCCTGAGGCAACACAAAGCTTGTATGTACTTATTGAATTGACGAGGGAACTATTTTTGACTCTTTAGATCTACTAGCAGGAATCCGACCGGCCGCAATCATATTACAGCATGACAATCCCAACGCCGCCCATGCGCTTCTCATCCGGCAGGTTCTTGTCGTTGATCCCTCCCGGCACCGGCGCCGCGCGGTAGTTGTACAGATAGAAATGGAGCTGTCCATCGCCCGCCCCGAATTTGAGCTGCTCCAGGAACAGTGGGTTGTCGTGCAGCGTGAGAGCGTTGAACACGTCGAATTTGGCCTGAAGAGGTCAGTATATCAATACCAGTACTTGGGGAGAGTATCTACCTTCTTGGCCAGAATGAGGGCATCGTTGATCAGCACCAGCAGTTGCTTTTTGAGCGCCTTCGTGTCCTCCGTGAATGCCGTTTCGGTCGCGTAGTAGTACAAGTACGCTGCGCGCACGACCTGGTGCTTGGGGTTGTCGATGACCGTTGACTCGAGGTTGTAGAACGAGACAAAATCCGTGATCTTGTGCGTCTCCGGGTCCTCCACCACATACGACCAGACGACCTGATCCTGCGCGGGCAGGTCCTTGTGCACCAGCCAGTGGTCGATCTCCTCGCGCGTGAAGGCCTGGTTGAGCTGGAACCGCCGCATGTACCGCTCCAGCAGATCAAAGACGGCGTCGATGTCTTTGGATTCCATGGGCCGCAGACCGGGCATGGCGGTCTGGTTGGGCAGGTGGTTCTTGGTGATCTGGCGAGCCTTGGTCGAGCCATGAGGCAGGGGCGAGAAGCCGACTTCGTAGAGCTTCAGCCAGTCCAGCGCGCGGTGGTAGTACCGGCAGGAGCTGACGGGGGTGGGCAGGATGATGCCACCGGTGTAGATGGCCTGGAAGATACCATTGATGTAGCAGCGCCGGGTAATCTCCTTGATCAGGACTGGCGTCAACCGCTTCGAGCGCAGTTTCTTGTGGATACAGAGGAAATTGATCTCGGTGACCTTGATGCGCTCGCCCCGCACGCGCAGCTCCGTGGGGACACCGCAGATCGAGGCAACCAGTTTGCGGGACTTGGTAGCCCGTACCCCGACGTGCCATTCCTTCCTCCAGCCGGGAGACATCAGGGCCCAGTGCAGGAACGACTGCGAATAGCTGAATCGGAACATGGCGTTGTCATCCTCGACGTAGTGGTTGTTCAGCAGCTCGTAGAGTTCCTTGAGCTCCTCGTTGTTGGTCAGATCCAGAGTGCACCACTCGAATCCCTCCAGGAGCGGGTCCGGCGTCTTGGACACTTCGTCGGGGTTGATCCTCTTGATCGGGCCCTGGGTGACCTGCTTCTGGCGCCCCTGGTCTTCGAAATGAGGCACAGGCTGGGTCTGCCAAAACTTATACGAAGCCATATCCTTTTGGTTCTTGCCTCCCAGTGACAGCCCAGTGAGTAATTGTGAGATATCCATGTTCTGCAGCGCCTCCGCGGCCTTGTTCTTGTCCATCGCGGCGAGCTCTTTTTTCAGTGCCGGATTCTGTTCCAGCATTGACTCGACAACTTTCGCGGGGATCTTTTTCGTCGTGCCGGAGGAAGGGACGTCGTCTGAGCAGAGGCATTGTGGTCAGTTATCACATCGCGCAGTGGTGGGATGCAAGAGAATCAGTCCTACCAGCGTCTGCCTCGGCCCCGCCAACGGGCTTGGGGTGGGTCTCGTCCTCTGGACGCATGGGTTTTTTGCCCTTGGAGTCATTTGATTCCGACATGGTGAGCGAGAAGAATGGAAGGGCGGACCAGGCGGGCGGGGTGGGAGGAGAGAGAGGAAGGAAGAGAGGTAAGTTTAGTTAGTTGGCAGAGTAGGATTTGGTGACGGGTTGGCCCCACTGATCAGCCAACCGACGATAGGCGACTACAGAGTATAGTTATTTTATGATTCTCTATTCATCGACTCGATCTATTCACAGGGTATCGCCAGAAGAATTGTTGAAATCCCAAAACACCTTTTCATGTATTTATTCACGGGCATGGCTTGGTCTCAACCACATCCAGGAAACCGCCCACCAGATGCAGACTGCCCGTGACAAAAGCCATCACGGGCGACTGCTCCTCAGGCAAATCCTTGCGCGCCGCCCCGGCCACCTCGCGCGCAAAGTCGACAGCCTCCTCAATCGTGCCGAACACCTGCACCTGCGCCTGGGGGTCATTCGAATTCCACGCCTCCGCAAGGGATTTCTGCACGCGCAGCAGCTCGACGTCGTCGGCGTTGGTGTTCATGCTGACCAGATCCGGCCGGTAGCCCGCCTGCTTGTAGGTGATGTTGGTACAGAACACCGCGTGCGTGAATGGAGAGGTGGATCCAAGCGCCAGAGCCAGCGTCTCGTGCAGCGCGCGGGCAAGAGCCGTGCTGTCGCGGGTCTGTTGGTTGAAGATCAAGATCCGCGGCTTTTTGCTTGCCACGTCGCTGGAGGAGGAGTCCGCCTGGATTCGGGACGCGAACCATGAGCCCGCCAGCCGGATGCTCTCCAGCGTGTGGCCGCCGTCGATGTACCAAGCCACGTTCTTTTCGATCCGAGTTTCGCAGCGGCCGCCGAGACGGGTTTCCTCCAGACCTTTCTTGAATTTCGGGGGTAGAGATTCGGACGACATATTCTCTGGGATGCCTGAAACGCCGATTTTCCTCAAAAACTCCGCCGCGGTTGCAGAAGCCAACGCCGCATTCGTATACTGGAAGTCGCCGGCCAGACCAAGCTTGACTTGACTGCCGTCGGCAAGCAGTTCGGGATGGCCCAGTACCACATCCAACTGGACGCCTTTCTCTTCAGCGCGCTGAGTCAAGACTTTCTCCGCGCTGAGAGCTTGCGGCGCAGTAAAAGCCCGTACGCCAGGCTTGATAATACCGCCTTTGTGCCATGCGATGTTCTCGATTGTGGTCCCCAGTAGCGCGGTGTGGTCGATACCAAGGCTTGTTATGGCGGTAACCTTGGGTTGCTCAATCACATTCGTGCAATCGTACTGCCCTCCAATCCCACACTCAATCACTGCTGCATTGACGCCTTCCCTGATATAGGTGTGGAACGCCATCAGGGTCAAATAGCGGAAATATTGAGGCTTGGTACCCGGCGCAGTGGGGTTCTGCCCTGCCGATTTGGCAGCTTCCTCAAGCCGATCCCATACTTCGAAGAAGTAACGCGCGAATTGTTCTTCGGATAGCGGGGTATTATCAATCTTGATGCGCTCACGGGCGAAACGCAGGTGCGGAGAGGTGTAGAGCCCAACCTTGTGGATCGACGGTGCCGATTGACCTGACTCCGGCTTGGTATATTGGGAGAGAATCGAGGAGATAAACGCGGAGGTGGATCCTTTGCCTTTGGTACCGGCGACATGAACAGGATTCAATTGGTTCAGATCGGACGGCTAGAACGAAACAAACAAGATCAGGTAGAGCTCCGGTCAAGATCAGGTCGGCGTACCTTGTATCCGATGCGCTCAAGCCATTCCACCATCTCCGGGATGGAGCGCTCGTTAATTTCGTCCCGCGATTTGGCTTTCCGCAGCTCCTCCACGATGGCATAGTTGGTTTGGAGGGAATTGAGCGCTGTAATCGCAGCCTGCACAGATTCAATGTCAGTAACTCCCAGCCGAACCGACAACCTCCGAGCCATACCTCATATGTACGAGCCATGGCGGGCGAGTGCGTAGAGACTCGGCGCCGTGGACAATATTGCCAGGAATAAAGAGCGCGCCAAAAGCTTCGCATCGACAATTGAAACCCAGGCGATCAGAAAGCTGGGGGGTTTGTTGCGCAAAAAAACCCCAGCCAGTCGATGACAAGAATTGAGTGGAGTGACGAACGGACTTGCCCGCGGGAAACCAAAGCTGGGTACGTACTCACGTGACCATCAACACAGCAAGCATTACAAACGGATTCCTAGTTATACAAGTGAAGAAGTGTATTATTTCGAGGATAGGATACTAGAGTCCTGTAGATGGAGGCAAAGAGAAACATAATAGATGTAATATGAATTCAGCCCAAACGGAACCTAGGAGAGCAAAGCAGATGCAGACGCCAGGTGGAAACACAACAGGAGTACAGGTGGAACGGGAGGAACAAACAAAACACAGGGAAACCCTGCCGCGTCATGTCTAAAGCCGAATTCCATATGTCCTTGGGCGAATGAGAGAATCAATCTACCGGCGGCAGACCCAGCAAAGCTCGGTTGGGCAGGCGAGCAGGGACAAGGAAATCAGAGGAGGAGCACCGAGACGGTTGGATGGGAGACAGGAGAAGAGCCAAGCTCGAGAGAGTGGTGGGAGAAGCAACCCTAGCCCCGGGCCAGAAGCTGCGTGGGGGAGGAAGAGTCACAAGTAATCGATCAGCATCGCATGGCCAATTGCGGAAGAGAAAAAAGTGATTATCGTTTAGCAGTTGCAGGCACCGGCGCCTTGGGTTCCAGGTGCCTCAGGGCGCAGATCCACGCCGGGTCGAGGGGTTGTCCGAAGGTTCCGCGGGCCAGCCTGATCGAGCGGCAGCTTCTTGGCGATGGCTGTGAAGAGTTCCTTGACATTGGTCGCAGTCTTGGCCGATGTTTCGAAGAAAAGCAGACCCGCCTCGCGGGCATAGGCTTCGGCATCGGCGGTAGGAATGGCCCGCTTATCTGGGCTCTCATCGACCAAATCGAGCTTGTTGCCGGCGAGCGCGATCACAATATTCTCATTTGCTTGGCGCTGAAGTTCCTTCACCCACGACTTGGCCTTGTCCAGCGACGACTATCATATCATCCAGCAAGTTAGCGTCAATTCCGCGACAGAAAAGGCAGTGGAGTGGAAGGGTCGGCATACAGCCTGCGTGATGTCATAGACAACGACAGCGCAGTTAGCATTTCGATAATACATCGGAGCCAATGACTTGTATCGCTCCTGGCCAGCAGTATCCCAGATTTCAAACTTGACGGTGGTGCTATCGTCGAGCGAGATGGTCTGTGTCAGGAAAGCGGCGCCGATCGTCGACTCCCGGTAATCATCGAATTGATCCTGAGCAGTTAGCACTTGGTGTCTGGGATGGCGATGTTCAGGTACTCACTTTCACGAATCGCAGCACTAGAGAGCTCTAGAAGATAACAAGGATGTTAGCGACCGACCAAAAAGAAGCAGTCAACGGTCACGAACCTTTCCAACGGCAGACTCTCCTGGTGAGACGGAACAGCCAAATGTTAGCAATCATTTCAGCCAGAAGGACGGCTAGGATATATAGGGACGACCTACCGAGCAGAACCAGCTTGAACTGGGCGAACCGCGCGCCGGGGCGGGCTCCTGCTGGTTGTCTGGAAGCCATGGCTGCTGATCAGGAGAGCGGTCGGCAACGAGCGCGAAGCAAAGACGACGGAGCGAGAGACAAGGCGGTAGGTAGAGATTCAGTATCAGCGAGGAGCGTCCCTATCAAAGACCGTACGGCCAAAGACAGAGCAAAGTGGCGTTTCGGGGTGGGTGGGAGAGCGGGTGAGGGAGAAGATGAGTGAGTAGTAAGTGGAAGGCAGCCGGAATAGTTGATGACGGAAGGCCCAGCCACTCGGCGGCGGGGCGGTGTGTGTGGCGTCTGGCACAGGTACCCAGTACAGGCCAATTGGCCTGCTGGTCCCTATGGGTGCAGGTACCTGGTACTTAGTGCTTGGGATTTGGGCCTTCCTCGGTCCCTCGATCATGTGTGCCTGGCATCCCCGTGTCTTCGATCATGCACTGAACCCACTCCCTCTTGCTCTTCCACAACCACTGTCACGCTCTGTCTGTTTTCAGCTCTCTCCCATTAGGCGCAATGGCGCCTCCTATTCTCCCGTTCAGGGATATTAATCTCCATGCCTCGCCTTCCCACTACGCCTTTACGTCCCCTTCCTCGCCCCAATCCCCAACGCTCGTGGTCGAGCGCCCAACAGGCGACTTGCGCTTGAACAATGGCCCTCTGTCGGGTGCAAAACGCATTTCCAGCATTGCAGGTATTCTCGGAATTATCAAGCTTAAGCTGGGTAAGTTAGATGCAGAACAGGGTGGCAGGACGCGCGTGCTGACCACATCCCTCGGAAATAGACAAGTATATCATAATTATCACCAAGGCCCAACCGATGGGACGCTTGCGCGGTCATATGGTCTACAAAGTCGCCGGAACCGAATTTCTGCCCCTGCGCGAGCGACCGCTGCACGACACCGACGAAGATACGTACCTGGCACTGTTGAAGGACCTCCTCCGCACCGGTCCCATGTACTTCTCCTACTCCCTAGACTTGACCAACAGTTTCCAGCGACAATCCCAAGGCGCACCCAGTCTGCCCATGTGGAAGACCGCCGACGACCGTTTCTTCTGGAACCGCTTCATTCAATCCGATCTGATCGACTTTAGTCTCGGCGCTAATGACACGAGTGGAATCCGCTACGGCCCGCAGCCAGGAGCCGACCCGTACATCCTGCCAGTGATGTTTGGCATGCTGCGCATTACGGCCGCGCGGGTCAAGTCGACCCCCTTCACGTTCGCCCTGATCACCCGGCGATCCAGACACCGCGGAGGCACGCGATACTTCTCCCGTGGGATAGATGAGCAAGGACATGTCTCGAATTACAACGAGACGGAGCAGATTGTTATTCTGAATGATTCGACTGGTGGACTGTCCGGCTTTGCGGGTGGGCAATCGATGACCAATGGCAAGGCGGGCCAGGACCTGCAGCTTTACTCCTTTGTACAAACCCGAGGGAGCGTCCCGGTGTTCTGGGCTGAGGTCAACAACCTTAAATACACGCCGAAGCTACAGGTTCGTGGTGTTGAAACCGCCGTGGAAGCGGCCCGCAAGCATTTCTCAGAGCAGATTCGCTTGTATGGCGAGAATTATTTGGTCAACCTGGTCAACCAGAAAGGCCGGGAGGAACGCGTCAAAAGCGCATACGAGCAGCTGGTTCGCACACTGGTCACTTCCTCCCATGAAAGCACCGACGCTGATGAGAAATCCCCCGAGAAGACGCATATCCTGGAACCGGGTCTGAAGCAGAAAGAGATGGACCATCTCCATTATGTGTACTTTGACTTCCACAACGAAACCAAGGGCCTCCAGTGGCACCGTGCTGAACTGCTCATGAATCGTTTGAATGATGGACTGGCTCAGGGCGGTTACTTCCGGGGAGTGGAGCACCCAGGAGCTCCTGGTGGTCAGCTCGACATTCGATCAACGCAATCGAGTGTTGTGCGCACCAACTGCATGGATTGCCTGGATCGCACCAACGTCGTGCAAAGCATGCTCGGCCGCTGGGCGGTGACGCGGCAGCTCATGGATGCCGGTGTGCTTCGCCCGGGAGAAGCGGCCAACGACGACCGGGAGTTCGAGAATCTGTTCCGCAATATCTGGGCGGATAATGCGGATGTGGTCTCCAAGTCTTACTCTGGTACTGGTGCCTTGAAGACCGATTTCACTCGCACTGGCAAGCGCACGCGGGTCGGAATGCTGCAGGACCTGAACAACTCCATCACCCGTTATGTGCGCAACAACTTCATGGACGGTCCCCGCCAAGATGGATTCGACGTGTTCCTGGGCACCTATCTTCCCCCGGACTCGACGTTTGGCAGCTTCCAACTGTTTGTGGACAACCGACCGCTCATCATTCAAGCATTGCCGTATACGTTCGCAGCGAGTGTGTTCATGGTTCTGGTTGCCACCTTTACCCGACAGCTGCCCGATGCTGCAGTCTGGCCGCTCCGTCTGTTTGTGGTCTTTTGGCTGCTCGTTGGCGCCTACACCTTCCGCTTCATCCATGGACATGGAATGCTCTATGTGAACTGGCCTAAGCTCAACACGCCCGTTGCTGGCGCCGAAGGCTACCAGGATGCTCTTCTCAAAGCCCGGACTGACCCTCTCATCGGCAAGTGGCTTCCTTCTCGCCGACACCAGCGGGGAATCAGCAACGCTCGCTTGGTCTTCCTCGAAGAAGGAAAGACCAGGGTCGAGTAATTCTCGCCGCTCGGACCTTACTTTGTCCACTTTTCCTTTTTCATTCTCATGGTCTTTGCCAACCCTCTTGTCTTCTATGTTATTCTCTGGTACAGTGTTAGATCTTCCTGTATCGCTTACCATCATTCCTCCTGTATTCTATTATCCCCTTCCGAGGGCTGTTCTGAATCAGCATTCTGTTAGCACCTAGAAATATATGAATCGTCACAATATTAGTTCATAGTTCATAGATCTCAGAGCTACTAACGGATCTAAGTTAGATAGCACGTGGAGTCTGCATCCTTATCCGAAGACCAAGAGCTACCCGAAGGGTCCGGGCTATTTATGGCGGGTACTAGTCTATAAGCAGTGCCCTATGCTGCTGGTGTGGAATAGGACCTAGGCCGTAGCTGTGCCTGTTCGGGGAGGGGGCCAGAGAGGGCCAGAGAGGGCCAAAGAGGGCCAAAGAGGGCCAGGCATAATTCGCAGGATCTCCCCATTTAACGGTTTGTTGAGCAACTTCAGTAAAACTTGGCCATCTTTCAAGCGGAATTTCCCTGTACCTTTGAAGTATGAAGATAGACAAAAGAAGAATGAGTAGAAAGTTTGGAATCAAATTGGTTCGTCTCTTTTTTGAATGCTTCTCATTTGCTCGCTCTTCACTTCACTACGCCTACCGCCTATCACCGCCTTGGCAAAGGATCCTGCGGTCAATTAAGAGTCAAACTCCGTAGCAAGGTTAACTATGTATGCCGCTCTACTTTTGGAATACATTACTGGTGGCCCTATATAAGAATAATAATTGCCCAAGGCACATAGTAGGGTCGTGCTTCCTTTTCTCTCAAACTTCTCGCTCGTCTTCCAACGCCTCATTCTACATTGCATTATGGCTGGCTTAAGCTGGATAATGCAAATCTCTTGTCTGTTGACAATTCTGCTTAGTATCTGGACGCTAGGCACAGAAGCTAACCTCATCGATCGTCGTTCCTGCCTTAATCTACGAGAGCACGATTCTACGGGACAGATACTGGAAATGGGCAATTATCTCAACAAGCTTACACAGGCTCTTGACCAGACCGCTGAAATGCCTGCTGTTGCCTACAATTTGATGAAAGACACTGCAGACAATAAGGGCAGCTGGTTTGACAGGATGAGAGCTCAGCTCACTTTTTTCGCTCTCCAGGGAAATGATGGTGTTAGAAGACCTGCGCGACAGCCACGTTGGCGCACCGTATTGAGTAAGATCCTTGACTACCTCCGTCCTTTTTCTCTCTCGTACCCAACGAAGCTTAATAACCTTTTAGGCAGAGCTAGATCTCTCATGGACTTCCTAACAGTTCGTGATGCACAACCAAGTTACATTGTTTGCGGAGACGCTCACCTAGTGCGGTATGATATCCTTGAGGATAAGAAAGGAAACCAATTCCGGGAGCAGACGCAATATGATATCCGTACGGATAGGTATGGGAATAGAGTCCTAAAACCAGTGCCTCCACGACCTGGGTACCGAATAAAAGCTTTTCAATATAGCGGTATGTTACTTTTATATCTTTCCGCGTTGCTAAATTTTCTGGGGAATTTTTTTTTCCTTTTTTTTTCAGATTACATTACACATCAAGGATCTCTACATGTAGCTGACTATGCCGCAGATCCCATCCTTAGGGCCGCGGGAAAAGACGAATGGTGGACTCTTAATACTGAGGCGTGTGCTGAGACGGGGTTGACTGCTACGAACGTTCGTCTCACTTATATCATCGTATGCGCACGGGGCTTTGGCGAAGTTGGTCTCACTATTCCCGACCAAGACCGAAAACACGACTGGAGCCAAACTCGATCGACCAGATTTCGGATGATCGATTATTGGAAACGCTACCTCAGTTACACTCTTCTTCATGAGCTGATTCATCTAAAGTTTAAATGTAAGTATTGCCTTAGAGTATGATTAAGAACAATCATAGCTGACATGATGGTTACTCTCACAGATACGGATCATGAGCTTAGTACAAGACCATTAAGAAAAGCCTATGGTTATTCTGGTGCAACCGAACTTCTATCCCGATACCCAGAGGATGTAGATACCAATGTCGATAACCTCGGTATTTTGATATTTGGCAAGTAAAATCTCGCCTATGCATAATCGATCAGTGCGTGCAGTGAGCATGGCTAACACCTCATGGAATATAGCACTGTTCATGAGTGGCTCTAATTGGAGTACCGGATTCGCCCAAAATGAAGACGATATGCTCAACGATATGCGCGGATGCAATGGCTAGGCCTTGTCACAGGGGGGACGTTTCGCCCAAACAAGAGCGCTAAGCTACATAACCAGATCACTTAGTCAATAATATAACCTCGCACATTTCCTCTCCTCCTACAACACATTGGCACATTATACGACAGCTGTATGTAATTAATTCCCTCGATAGAAACATGGCGTGCCAAGTGCTGTCACTGCCGGCCTTGACCGCCCGCAGGATCGGGACCGATCGCAGGGCAGCATCATCTTTCTCTCCCTTACACCTTTCCCCCTCCACTCTCCAACCGTCGGCGATTGTGTGGCTCGTCATGCTGCGCTCTTCAATTGCTCCGAGTCGGCATCTCCTGTCGTACTCTGCTCGCCAGCGCGTCACACCACAATGGCTCTCCGGTGCCGGGGCCAGTAGCCGGTTGTCCGGTCAGGTACGAAGCCCTTCTCGCATGATCGTCCTTTGTTGCTTCGCTGCTAATAATTGCAGCGATTCTTCGCCGATTCCAAACCGCCGAACACCGGTGGTGTCACGCCTGCCTCCCCTTCCTCCGAATCGAGTGTCCCGCCTGAGACCCTTCCCAAGGCCGGTGAACAACAAGGTATATCAGCATCCATTGTTGAAATTCCATGTGCCAATTGTGTCTTGATTTTGACCCCTTCTTAGAATCCAATGTGCCACCGTCACCCCAAAAACCGGCGCCTCGCAAATCCGGTCGTTTCCGTCGATTCCTGACTTATTTGATCCTCACCTCTGGCTTGGCTTATGGTGGAGGCGTCTTCCTGGCCTTGAAGTCCGACAACTTCCACGATTTCTTTACCGAATACGTGCCGTATGGTGAGGAGTGCGTTCTTTACTTCGAGGAGCGTGACTTCTACCGCCGGTTCCCCAATGCCTCCCGCCACGCGAACCGCCTCCCCGGTGCACCCAGGGAAGATGGAAAGCCAGTCACGATCTCCAGCAAGAGTGGCCTCTCTTGGAAGGTCGCTGATGTCGAAGAGTCTGGTGCGGATGCTTCGAAGAAGGCTCCTCACATGAGCGCCCAGGATGGATTGGTCAAGCCCGAAGCCGCCAAGCCTGAGCAGCGGAATGCTGCAGTTCAGAAGGCCAAGGATGAGAAGGCTAAGAAGAGCAAGAAGGAGGCAAAGCCCGCTGAGAATGAGGAAAAGAAGCCTGTTGCCCTGGAGGAGCCTAGGCAGCCAGCTGTTTCTGCTGGCACCATCGAGCTGCTGCAGATGCAGGGCAATGATGAAGGCGTCGTTCAGGAGTTGGTCAAGACCTTCAACGACATTGTCACTGTGATCAGCGCCGATGAGAACGCCGGCAAGTACTCCGCGCCGATCGCCAAGGCTAAAGAGGAGCTGCAGAAGATTGGCGAGAAGATTTCGGCTCTCCGCAGTGATGCCCAGAAGGCCGCTCAAGAGGAGATCAACAAAGCTCATTCCACGTTTGACGAGTCGGCACGGGAGCTGATCCGCCGCTTCGAGGACATGCGCAGTACCGAAGCCGCCCAGTATCGGGAGGAATTTGAGGTCGAGCGGGAGAAGCTCGCTCTCGCATACCAGGAAAAGATCAAGACCGAACTACAGCGCGCCCAGGAAATCGCTGAACAGCGCCTGCAGAACGAGCTGGTGGAGCAGGCCATTGAGCTCAACCGCAAATACGTTCACGATGTCAAGGATCTAGTTGAGCGCGAGCGCGAGGGTCGTCTCAGCAAATTGGATGAACTTACTGCCAACATCAATGAGCTTGAGCAGCTGACTTCAGGTTGGAGCAATGTCATTGACACCAACCTCAAGACCCAGCAGCTCCAGGTCGCTGTGGATGCTGTGCGCAGCGTTCTCGAGCGCGCTGAGACCCCGCGGCCATTCGTCCGTGAACTGGTTGCCGTAAAGGAGCTGGCTGCCGATGACCCCGTTGTCGATGCTGCCATTGCCTCCATAAATCCCACCGCCTACCAGCGGGGCATCCCCTCGACTTCGCAGATCATCGAGCGCTTCCGCCGGGTGGCCAGCGAGGTCCGCAAGGCTAGCTTGCTTCCCGAGGACGCCGGTATCGCCAGTCACGCCGCTAGCTTGATGCTGAGCAAGGTTATGTTCAAGAAGGACGGCCTTGCCGGTGGTGATGACGTGGAGAGCATTCTCGTCCGGACTGAGACCCTGCTGGAGGAGGGCAAAGTGGATGCTGCGGCTCGTGAGATGAACACCCTTCAGGGTTGGGCCAAGATCCTGAGCAAGGATTGGCTCGCCGATGTTCGCAAGGTTCTGGAGGTCAAGCAGGCACTCGAGGTAAACTTTCTCCCGTCTCAAATCTATGTTCACCTGGCTAACACTCTGCCTTACAGGTCATCGAGGCTGAGGCCCGGCTCCAGTGCTTGCGGGTGGAGTAAACATATGTGCCGAGCGGTGTTGGCTTGGATTTATCCTGTACATCTTCGTTTTGTCTACAGGAATTGTATCTTTAGTTGTAACTCTGTGTGGTTAGACCCAAATGCTAGATTTTCCTATGTTCGCAGTGGATATATATAGTTGCCCATGTAGAGTGGCGGTATCGGGGTTCCATCTGGGCCACCTTGCTGTCCTGTTAGAGCCTGAATGCGGATGTGGAGCCAGGTGTTCGTGCAATCGCCCCAGCAGTGTTCTATTTCAATTCTATTTTCTGTGAAAGGGTCACATCATCCAACATCGTGCCATCCCCCATATTCCTGGAGCCTGAAGAGTCTTACATAAGCCCGGTGCGGACGCGGTCTAGACTGGAGCTTGCGACTCTCCCTTCTCTCTTTCCACTTCCCCGGAGACACCCCAAGCTCCCTTGCGGTCGCCTTCATGCACGTACCTCACCGTCGAGCACCATCAGTAGCCTCCCAGTCGGGCTTGGCCACCCAGCTGCGTGCCTAGCCCTCCCCCCGGCTCTGACGTCGCGCCGACCCAACTAGCCGAGCGAACGATATTCGATGCCTCCGACAGATGCATCGCCCCGCGACTCTCCTCCCCCGAAATGCCTCCCTGAGCCGCTCCGGAGGCGGGTCCTTTCGACGCGCAGCTCTCCAAATGACTGAAGATCCAGCAAGCGGGACGCTGGAAGGTAGCACGCTCGGGAGCAGCTCTCGCGAAGGGGATAGAAGGAGAGTCTCGGGTCAGCATAGGACGCAAAACTCGGGCAGCTTTCTGCTGGATTCTCCGCTCTTGCCTCGGTCCCAGAGTGCAAGGGTCAGCTCGTACCGGCCTGCGCCGTCGGAGCAGCGTGCAGAGAAGCGCCATACTGCTCCCGACCCCGATATTGTCGTGCCCAAGAAACGATCACGGTTTCCTTGGAGTCGCCATAAAAACTCTTCGTCCGACGCGCCTTCTACAGCCGGCAGGTCGACCCCGCGAACGGTCCAGCAGACTCCAACATCTCCACCTGATGTACAACCCTCCGCAACCTCGACACAGCCCGAGGCCGGGACGAATAATGTGGACAGGTCTTCTCTTGCGCTTGACCAGGACTCTCTCCAGATCGTCAACTTGGCCTTGAACCTAAATGAATCGCGAAGGAGGACTGCTTCGGGCCTGGCCCAGGGCTCACTTGGACGGAGACCCCTGTCCGTATCTCAACCTGCTGCTCCTGTGGCTGAGCCAGGTGCAAACCAAACGGCGCAACTGGGCATGAAGTCTCCCGTCCTAAGCTTACTGCCTGCTACGGCGATGGATGACCAGCGGCCATACGAGTTTTCGGAGAGTACTATTGCGAGAGCGGATAGAGCTCGTCGACACTTCGATCTCTTTTATGAGTATCAGCGGCTGCTTCTTTCTCTTCCTCCTCTGCCACGACCTTCTATTTCAGGGGTCCCGGACCATCCCAAGGCTGTAAATGCCACCCGGCAAGCCAACCGAGCATACAACCCCCTTCAAATGATCCGCAATCGAAGAGTCCGGTATCGGGAGAAATGTTCGATTGATCCCGAAGCCGAGGGATGGCATGATGTTGACCAAGTCCATGACTGGGTCAGCACTGTCGAGAACAAGTACAGCCAGAGAGTCCATGACCACATGGAGACTCTTAGCCTTCCGCCGTTCCAACAAGGCCAGCGACAACCGGGTACAGTTGATGCGGATGATTTGGAGAACACAGCGGCGTCACCCCCTTCCAGCTTGAGACGAATCAGTCGTACAAACAGCTTGAAGACTCGTCGACCGCGTCTGGACTGGGAGTTTTCTCCAGCTGAGCTTCTAGCCGACACTGTGTGGGTCGAAGATGGAGCCAACAAGACCAGGATCATGGACAGGGATGGCAATAGGCTTTATCCGGATCCAATAGACCTCGTGCCGTGCACTCACGCCGTCCCTAAGGCAGCGGCAAGACCGCGACAATCTGTGGATGTGGATAACCCTGAGACGGATCATTCTTCACGACGGACTTCTCTTTCCATCCCTCATCCTGCGTTGGAGCACGAGTTCAAGAGCGTTGGTCGTGGACGACACAAGCACAAGTATAGAGGTCATGCACGAAGCATCACTAGCCGAAGCATCTCCAGTGAAAGAGAAGGCTCGCGCTGGGACAGGATAAGGAGAAGTCGAGGCAGTGTTTCGAGTATTTCGAGCGCGGAGGTCCGCAGTTCAATGGACAAAAGACGTCGACCTTCCTGGACAGATGATCGAAAAGACAGCGACCGGTCGTCGCAAAAAGTCTCCTCAAAACCCTCCTCCCGACCACCTCGTGTGAAGTCTCCAATCCTGGAAATTCCAAGTCATGGCAGAAGCCAGACTACGGGCTCACAATCGTCCGGACTCCCCCGGATCCGCACATCAGAAGACCGACCCTGGAAACATCGAAGACAGGAGTCATTTTCATCGACGGGCAGTCTGGACGATCGATACAAGCAGCGAACGTCCTTGGAAGAAAGAGACAGCACCGCCCCGAACTCACCAGTTTATGCCGGTTATTTCCCAAGCATTGCAGCCAATTTGTCTCCCCCTTCCAGCCGCTCCCCGTCGCCAGCCAAGAAAAAACTTCGTCATAAAATAGTTCCTCGCTCTGAGCCCAACAAGAAAGAACCTCGCTCTGAACCCAACAAGAAAGAACCCAGGGACCGGATAGTTGGTGACGTTCGGGATACTGAAGCCTTGCGCCGACACAGCCTGACGTCTCTCCCTGAGCATGCTGAAGCAGGCCCAAAGCTGGACCCTAGTCCCCTTCCGGATATTGTGTCTACGGATTATCACGACGATGAGGGCAGTCGTGTGGATTTATCCAGGGGACGAAAGGGAGCCTATCTCCCTGATGTTGGGCTTCGAGGGATCTTCAAGGGGCCGGGCAGGATCGCTGAGATTGTCGGCAACGAAGTCTCCAAAGTCGGAGATCTCATTCTGAAGAAAGAACAACTTCCAGCATCAAAGAATTTAGCATCCCCGACCATTACATCGGATGATAGCGATCTTGAGGGTGAGGACCCAAGGCCCGATAGACGGTCAGGCCCGAAGGCGCTTTTGCGCCGTTTCACGAGCCTTACAGAAGAACCAGGACGCCCGACTCGCGAGGATCCCGATAAGACTGCATCGTCTAGAAGTTTCAGACCGACATTGCCTACTTTTACATCGCCACTGCGGCAGGATGAGCGCAACAGAGCGAGCGATGCCACAGACCTAGGTAGCCCCCGTGAGCGCGTGCCGGGCAACCGGATTCCTTTGCGGCGCAGCCAAACGATTGATTTTGGGCCTGAACTAAGCGCGGGCAGAGACCGAGTGAAGGTGCGCGGCATCAAGGATCCATCTAATCCTTTCAGTCTCACCCGCCCTCCTGTCACGGGTCTTGCCAAAGCTCGAGCATCACTAGGACCACAGGAGAGCCGCCCCAAGCTTACGGACGCGAGCCGCGCTTGGAGCATCTCTGACCGCAGCCTCCACACCCTGAATGACTATGGCGTTCCTCGGAAGGCAGAAATCGAACGCACTCGCGCCCTTCTTTTGTCGTCAGGGATCAAGGCCCGAGAAATCACTCGTCGAGCTCATACTATCCGCGAAGAACCTCCTCCGTGGATGCGTAAGGCGGTAGGCTCCAGTCCGTCTATGACAGGCATTACACGAATCGGCGAGTTTGATCTAGCCGCTCAAAACCTTTTGCGGCGCTTCGAAATGACCCAATATTCATTCCAGCAATCCATGCACCACTTCTCGACGGCAACATCATCTCCTCTCCGCACACAGCTCAAGAATCTGGAATCGCTGGTCAACCAAACCCTCACGCCCCGCGTCCGTGACACAGCCAACGACGCAGAAGACCTCTGCGTCCAGCTCAACACTACCAACACTCTCGCAGTTAAACAACTCAGTGACGCTCTCGACAAAGGAATCCGAAAGCGCCGTCGACGGCTCCGCTGGGTCCGCCGGGCGGGCTTTGTCGTGTTGGAATGGGCTCTTGTTGGAATGCTGTGGTGGGTGTGGCTGATTGTCATGGCTTTTAAACTTGCGCGCGGTGTTTTCCGAGGCTCTATTGCGGGTGCAAGATGGGTTCTGTGGCTGTGAGACATGATCTGGTCATCGAAATTGTGTCTTGTTTCTTAATCATGTTGGCTTTCACTCGTTGATTCTCAGTTGTCTTCGGACTTTTGTACATTTCGCTGCTTGCAGATACCCCCTCGGTGCGGAGTTTCTGGTTCTCTTATTTCTTTTTGTGTTCTACATCAGTAGATATGTGTCAATGAAATTTATATGACTATTCTGTCCAATCATCAGCTGTTCAGTTACATTGAACTCGTCTGCACTCTGCACAGATACGTGCTAGGGCAAATCGAAGGATCTTTCCTACAGAAGCGCAAATTTTGGCGGGTCTCTCCTGACAACTATAACTGTCGGAAATCTCCTGCCCAACTTTCAACCAGATGCTTTTCGCCCATCCTTGACTGCCGGGTGTCACCGGCGGAATACAATGCCATTCTTTGTTGGGAACAGTAACATCCCAAACAGATGGAAGATCCCGCAATATGGTTTGTCTCACAGCCCAAGAAAAGCATCTCACGAGAGCATACTGCAAAATTATAAATATCTGGTCATGAACAGAGATGTTTGACTGCCAGTATCTTCATCATCTCTATCTCCATCGTCGTTCTCATCCAAGGAAGACAGCTCACTAAAATCCTCAGCAGAACAAACCCCAACATCGGCAAGCCCGAACGTCACCACATTGTGACCTCACCTACAACCCGGGATGAGCTTGGACGGGGATGAGTCGACCCGGTAAGAAAAGTCGTTTCATCGACGATCTCGACAACGAAGTCGTGTATCGCCCATTGCCTCCAGCACTTCTCAGACCAGCTACTGCTCCTGCAGAAAGCTATCTGTGGAGATCCGGTGCCGTTCGCAGATCATCCAAAGCAGTTCCCAGCTCGGGAATCAGAAATCCTGCGACCAGCTTTGAGGAGATGAATGGCAGTCAAGACAAGAACGAGGGAAAGGAAGCCGACAACAGCAAACGATCGTCTCCAATCATGGATGAGCTCTTTTTCTGTTCCAGCCCTAGCTCCCAGGCTAGTACTATCCAAGATTGGACGAATCGTGACTCTGACCAGGTATGCACCCTCAAGCTGACTAACAGAGTCCGCCGCAAAGCGAAAGATCTAATCAAACGTTTGCAGACCCTGTGGCTCGACGAGAACGAGAGTCCTGAAGCTCCTCCGTCCGAGCAAGATGCTAGCCAGCTTATCCGCGCAACTGAAACAGAGACAGGCTCTAGCATGAGACCCACCAGTGACTGGAAGGCCCTGCTCATCTGGAACCATGACAGCATCCGCAATCTGATGAAGCTGCTCAAGCTTTGGGCATTGCATGGCGTGCCAGCCAGCGAGATGGGCCTGTTCCTGGAGTCGATGTTGTACCAACACGATGAGCACATGCACCACAAGTTGACCCAGTTAGTCGACGCCAACGAAACTTACGCGGAAATTGCCCGCACGGTTATGCAACACTACCAGATCCGCGACGACGACAAGACGCCGCTGTGGTTGACTGTCGATCCAGGGGACGCAAACTATCGCCCACGAGACAAGCAGCAGCAGGTGAACAGCTCACGGATTATGCGTGAGAAGCTGAGGAAACGACAGGAAGCTTCCCAACAGAAGGTGAGCACAAATCATAACGGGGCTGGACACCAGCCCTGGTATCATATTCCTGCACCACGACCTGCTCGTCCTATCAATTGGCCTTTGTTCTTGAGTGACCTCAAGCTGGGCCATTCCCTCGAGGGCAATGATGAGGACGTATGTGGCGGGGAGGGAGGCATTCATCGCAGATTCGACGAGGACTTCATCCGTCTGGGTCGTGTAAAGGCGAAAAAGACAGTCATCGTCGAGCAGCCTAGCTCCCTGGCTCAACCCATGTCCGCCGAGCTAATCAATCCCACGCAGACTGATTTGGAGCAGCAGCAGAACAGAAAGGGCAACCCCAATCGCAGGGTGTCCTCCTATTCACAAACGAAATCCGCTGTCAACGGTACTTCCAAGAACAATGACAATGCCGAGACGGAGGCTAATTCCTCGCAGCCTCATTCCACCAAATCCAGTCAGCCCGGGCCATCGGGGACTGACTCAACTGCGTCTGATTCTCAATCTTGTCCTTCAGCAAGGAATCCGCCTCGAGCTCCCGTTCCAGCCAGTGCCTTCATTGAGCACATCATCGATGCTACATGCGAGCAGCTCAGTGCTATGGACTTCCATGACGGCACGGACTCTAGGAGAATGTTCCTCTGATCTGTTTGCAGCAGGTTTGATTCAACAACATCCTGTGTTTCGTATTGCGAGTTTTCAGCGTGATCAAGTTCTCTGACCTTGATTTCTCTAGTCATTTTTTTTATCCCAGCTGTCAATCCTATACTTATTCTTCCTGTTTTGTGTTTTGTTTGGTTGTTTGGTCATCGCAACCTACTCCTCCCAGCTTGTACTTTCATTGAGATTGTTTTTTGGAAGGAGGGAAACAGGAAGAAAGGAGAGTGTAGTAGATATAGAAGAATACAAAAAAAGTTGAAAACCCAAGCAATACTTGCTCTTGCCCTCTATTTCGGGTAACGATAGGCGTCTGATATAGATATGTTTCCTGGAATTTGTCCGTATCCAATCAAGGGCATGATCGGGATCCTATCAATGCTGGCAAAGAGATCATTATAATGGCTCCTCCCCGGCCCGTCTTAGAGGACGGTAATAACGCGGCTGCGGGGATTTGTCCATATTTGAGATCGATTGGTTGTATGCACGGGGGGCCCAAAGGAAAATAATTATTTGGCAAATGGGAGTTTAATCCCGAATCACGCATGCTGTACGCTTTTCCTCTCAGGCAGAGAATGCATGAATTAGAGAGGAAGTTGAACCCGAGGATAAAACCCCACCAACTGAGATTGGCATCTTTGCCGAGTTATCTTTAGCCTGCATAAGCAAAGAAATGTCCCAACTCCACCAAGATGAAATTTCTTTCGTGCATCTCGTGAGAGGATAAAGAGACCCTCACGTCTCTCAGCTATTCCTAGAATTCATTTTCAGTCTTTCAGAGAAACAAGTTGAAAAAAAGGCTAGGCCCAGTCAACAAAAGAAAAGAAACATCGGGTTTTCCACGATATCCGCCGGCACGGACAAACCCTAAATCATGGGATTGATTCCGCGTCATTTAAGGCACCCGCCCAAATATTTGCTGGCATGCATTTTATGCTCAGCGAACGGCGTTCTTTTCGGAATGGATACGGGTATCATTGGCCCGGTTACCGACATGAAGGATTTCAAAGCCTCATTTGGAGGTAGCCAGAACTCCACGGTCCATGGCCTCATCGTCTCGTCCATCTTGATCCCCGCAGCTCTTTCTTCATTTTTCGCTGGCCATCTTGCGGATCGACTCGGTCGGCCTAAGGGAATCAGCATCGGAGTTTTTATATTCGGTCTTGGAGCCGCGATAGAAGCGGGCGCAGTTCGACTGGCTATGTTTATCGTTGGCAGAGTTGTGGAAGGCCTAGGAGAAGGTCTTTTCATTGGAAATCTCGTGGTCTTGATTTGTGAAATCTCACCGACCAGCACCAGAGGTGCCCTAACGACCGGTCCACAGCTGCTTATTACCCTCGGATTGGTGATCGGGTATTTTGTAAGCTATGGAAGTTCGAGTCTTGAGTCTTCACTTTCATGGCGAATACCATATATATTGCTTGCCTCCCTGTCTATGATGCTTAGCTGTGTTTCCCTTCTTTGCTTGCCCCAATCACCAAGGTGGTTAGCCCTTCACGGTCATCATACCAAGGCCGAGGAGGTATGGGACAGCTTGGGTGTGAGTCGTGCAGAGCGCGAAAAGGTCGAGCTGCAAATAACGGTAACAGAGATCGAAGCTCCCACGGATATGCCCAGGCAGAGAACCATCGACAAGCTCCTGGATATCTTCTCCAAGGATGTTTGGGCCCGGACCACCCTTGCCGTTTTCATGATGGGTATGCAGCAGATGAGTGGCATTGATGGTGTGCTTTATGTAGGTTCACCGAAACCCTACCTCACTTCTCGCTATCTCTAAACATTTGGATAATATGACTGACCTGAACTCTGCAGTATGCCCCTCTCTTATTCCAAAAGGCCGGTCTTGCGTCGTCGGAAGCAAGCTTTTTGGCCTCTGGTGTTTCGGCGATAGTGATATTCGGCGTGACTATCCCGGGGTTACTTTACGCAGACCGCTGGGGCCGTCGACACAGCATCATATATGGCGGTGTTGCTATGGGCATGATTATGTTTCTCATGGGCGGCCTATATGCCGGCAACGCGGTTCACAGCTCCAGTGGCGCTGGACGCTGGATCGTGATTGTCTCGATCTATGTCTTTGCAGCCATCTACTCCGTGACCTGGGGCATCACCGTGAAGGTCTATAGCGCTGAGATCCAACCTCAGCGGACACGAGCATCAGCCACCACATTGGCTCATTCAAGCAACTGGGGGTTCAACTTTTTGGTTGCTTTAACCACCCCAATTCTACTCTCGAAGAGTAATTTCGGGGCATACTTTTTGTTCGGCGGATGCTGCATTATTACGGCCCTTGTCGGTGGGATCTTTATGCATGAAACCAAAGGTCGAACTTTTCTAGAGATTGAAGAGGCCTTCCGGGGCAAACCAAAGGGATTGGGAAAATCACTTCGTTCACTTCGACACAACATGGTCAAAAGTCAAGTGAAGGTTTAAACAGTGGATCTTGTTTGCGTGATGAATACTTATGGGAGCTTTGAGCGGATAGATAGTTATAGACCTTTACAGATTTTCAAATATATTAGCATCGACTTAGGTGTTCGAGGTGAATAGAGTTCGAATTGATACTTCCTTTGGACCTTCTTCTTGCAGCCAGTCTGGGTCTAAAGTGGGTTGATAGAGATCTACCATCTTCCGAAGTATTGCCGAGGGAGTAGAAAAGGTAAAATTTCTGAGTGATCTATCTCGGATGGATCCCCGCATACGAGGCGAGTCTGTTGGGCGACTGCCAATACTCACCTGATTATGGACCCACGCAGGTAACTATAGCCATTGCTTTTATCAATAACTCAAAAGCTGAGTATCAGGTCAAATTTGCAACAGGTATTTCGTACACATCGTCTGAAATGTTCAGGGTAACCTCATCTCATCCATCCCCCCAAAGTCGCCCACTCAAAACCACTTTCAATCTCATCAGAATCCACGAAAAGACAGGCCTATCCTCCCTCAGCAAGAAAACCATTAAGTCGATCTCCATGTCGTCCATAAGTCTCATGGAATGTCTCATCTTCACCCACACAAATTCTGTATGTGAGCTTAGCATAATGTTCAGCCTTTGCCTCAAGCTCAGGCGCCACTTGGCTATAGCCCCGAGCGAGAAACATCCAACAGTCCACGAGCAAGTCCAGCATCAACCCCCATTTCTTGACGACCAGAGGTGTTTTCGGCGCTAGAGGGAAATTCCCCCCATCAATCACGTAGCCCAGCGATTCCAGGACTTTCAAACCACACTCGATTGCCTTCTTCGGCTGGTTCCGCTCAGAGTACATCCCACAGAGACCCAAATAGGGATCCCATAGGGTAAGACGGGGGACCTCAGAGGCTGGTCGACTGTAGGTTTCGGCGAGCGTCACTAGGATAGACTCGATCCTGGCACCGTTTGGGTTGGAAGATTGAAAAGATTTCCGCAGATCAGCAACCAGCTTGTCTCTCTTGACCAAGGTGGACTTTGGCGTGGATTGGATGTCTTTACATATAGCACAACTACACCTGAAGCCCCAGTGCTCCAAGTCGGGTTGCTTGTCCGGTTTGTCAAAAGGCCGACTGTACCAAAAGACGATTTCGGTGTTGGGCTCGAGATCTTGGGTAGCTCGGATAATCATCATATCTCCAATGAACGACCTTCGACAGTTACTGTAGCAAGAATGATTGATGCGAGATGCCATGGGCCAAAGGCCGCAGGAGCTGAACTTCTCCTCCACCTTTTGGTTGGTCATAAGGTTGATGCGAGATTGGTGGGAGGAGACAGGGCAGCCAAAGCCATTCAAGGACACGATTCGTTCGACAAGGAAGCTGGAGTATTTAGATCTTAGCCGGGGTTTAATAGGACTAGAAACATGTTGACCACTTACGTATCCACAACCGGCGCGTCATCAACCTCACAGATCTCGGGAGAGTTGTAGGAACCGTGGTGGAGATCAGTGATAACTGGTACCAAGGATGCATTTTTGTAAATCCTTTGGACAATCAGGGTAATGAGCTCTGCCTGACCACCAAGACTCATACGGTTCGTTTCTGGGTTGATCAGAACGACTGCACTGCGCGTGAAGCCGGTGTGATCGACGAAGGAATGCGCAAAAGCTTTCTCGCAAAGCAGAATATCACCGGCCTTGACTGCCTTTGTCGTAAACAGGCCTCGTCCATGGGAATTGGTGCGCCTGACAGAAATGGGGCCGATGTATGTTGCGCGGTCCAAGTGTGGTGGACGAAGCTGTGCCGCTTCTAGCTGTAGCTGCTTGAAGGGATACTTGCCGTTCACTTGTTCCGCGAGGCGCGCGATCGCTCGCATGAATTCCTTGCTAGCGGCATTGTTTCCCGGATATTCCTGGCAAAGAATCTTGAAGACATCACAAGACTCCCGATATCTTCCGAGACGGTAGAGTGCCTGAGCTTTGCGGAACAAAGCTTTCTCAGATATCTTGGGGTTCGGAATATCGCGAAGAGCATCATCCAATTGACCAACTCTGAGAAAAACAAGAGCACGGTTTAGCTTGATGATAAAGGCCTCATCCTCTGCTGGGAAATACTCCAAAGCTTTGGAGTAACTGTTATCGTTGTGAGCGGTATGCCAGACCGAATGACCAAGGAGAAACTTACCAGTCAATCGCTGATTGATACCTGGACTTATTGAAAAAGGCGTTACCCATTACCCGCCAATCGTGGGCAGACATTCTCGAGATATCCCTCTTCCTAGGTCCCCCACGCCAAGAGGGAGCAACTAGTTCGTCATGTCCTGGGACAAATTTGACGTCGGAGAGGTGGTCAACCCGAATTCCATAGCCTCCGTCAGCCATCACCTTGAGATACGGCTCCTTAACAATGAGCACTGCTCCCTCATCAAGTATGTCCTCGGCAGCACGCGTTGAGTCTTGGTTGTACAGCTGAAGGACCAAAACCTTACCTTCTTCATCCTCCACAATAGCCAAGATTGCAGTCATTGTGTCCGGTGGGGTGACTGTCCTCAGAAGCAGGTATGAGCCGCGGTGATGGGTCTCGAGAACGAGGTCTTTGATCATGACCTTGTTGAGCTCTCGGAACGGGGCGATACTGGGAACGTAGGTCGGGGGAAGGAAAGATGAGCGAATAGCGAACTCATCCCTATCAAAAGTCATATTCTTGTTCGCCATCTGTCGACGCATAAACTCCATAATCAGTTCTTCTCGAGATTGCTTCTGCTTCGGACGCTGACCCCTGAAACGCTGGGCATTCTGGAGAGTTCTTTTATGCTGAGCCAGATACTTTAGGTACTGAAGCTCCTCGGAGACATCGTGAGTGTCCATACTGGGCGATGATGTGGTAGAGTTTGAGTGAAAAGGAGTAGATGTCTGATGCTGTTAGAAGATATGGATAGGAACAGGAAGCACGCAGATGATGGGGGAAGGATTGAAAGAAGGTGGGTTGGGGGGGGGGGGGGGGGGGGGGAAGATAAGCTGCATGTACAGACAAACACAAACACACGCTCAGGGAGAGAGAAGGACAGAAGTACGGAGGCAGGAAGCAAACAAACAAACCACAGTGGCTCAAAGAGCCTTGCTACCTTGGACTACCTAGAGGCTATTTGGTTAATTTACATTCACTGGCCATCTATACCTGTAGCAATTATATAGAAAAGCCACTCTCTAGACATATAGCCACATATAGAGACTCATCTCCCTCACCCGCAACTCCTATCCACATCGGTCCCGAAGATAGCCTCAATGCCGTGAAGTCGAACGACTCTTCGACCCCGTCCTCCCCGCCGTCGGCTGATCACTCGCCCGATCCCACGAGCGATATTCAGACCGTTCACGGCGCGAGGGTCGTGCCGGTGTTCCGCGACTAGTAATATGTGAGTGGTCTGGTTTGTTGTCACCGCGATGTTGATGATGGCGATGGCTGTGTTTATGATGTCGATGTTGTGGTTTTTGGTCATCTGACTCGATGTCTTGGGAGAAGGATGGGCTGGCAGAGTGAGAAGACATGGTGGATGGAGTTTCGACGAGTAGGTCAATATGTATCTGGTGAAAATTGGTAATAGAGCTAGCTATATGAGGTGCAAGTTTGGGTTTTCGTGCTTGCCGTGGTGGCACCGGCGATGGCAAGAAAGCGGATTTTATTCATTATGAGCACACTGTGATGCAATTGTTGTTTACTTGCTGGGGACAATATCTTCAAGTAGCATCGTGAAGGGTTCCTGGGCAGACAGAACGAGTGATATTGCAATGTATACGTGCATTAATACAGAATAGTACAGTAGGCCCTGCTATCATTCAATAACCACATCACCAACTACAAAAGCCAAGCTCAAAAACCGGGGTGTCAGTTCACATCTCCCACTGGTAAGTAGCCCATTTCCAGGGTACAAAGGCTCATCCTGCCGGTTATCTAGCTGTCTGTTGCAGCGATCTGAGAAAGCGAGCCTTCCTGGATTGCCCACTGCTCGTGCTCCTCCAGGCGGGCATCTCGGCAGAAGCGCCGACGAGAACAGACATTAGCATGAACCTGCGTCGCTAAGTCATCAGTGGCCGGACCGGTAACTTATGTTCTGTGGTCATGGTAGTAAGCTGTGGGATAGGGTATGCTATAGAAGGCGCGAATTGGTGGAAGGAGAAGAACGTCGAGGTAAAGAGCGATGGAAGGCTCCATGGACCCCGAACTCTCGATCACAACTTCCTCCATATGGAATTCCACACCCAACACATGTAGGTGAGGAACTATCGCCATCGACGAATTAAGGTTATCCCAACACAACACCACACCTCAACCGGACCTCGGCTTCGATCGAGCTGAGTCATCGCGCGGGGAATGCATCCATACCCATCTTCGCTCTTCGCTGTCAATGTTTTATTTCTGGTACCAGTCTGGAAGCACATCGCGCCATCATGTCAGCCCCCAGGATCACTCTGTACTATGACATCGTCAGCCCCTTTGCTTACATCGCATTCCATGTGTTGAAGGTGAGTCCACCACCTACTGACTTCCAGTGTTGATTCGAACCATATCCCCAGAACTCGCCCACATTCGCTCAATGCAATGTGCAATATGTCCCCATCCTACTGGGGGGACTGATGCAAACGTGCGGCAACACGCCTCCAATCAACATCAAGAGTACGACAGAGCCCAAACTCCTTGATCTTATCAAAATAGAATTCTCACAAAGTTTACTCCCCACAGACAAGGACAAGTGGATTAACCAGGAACGCTTGCGCTGGGCCAAATACTTCTCCGTGCCCGTGTGCGCTAACACCCCCGAGGGCTTCCCGGTGCGCACCCTCGCCGTCCAGCGAGCTATGTGTGCTGTCTCCCAGAAGTCGCCTGCAAAGGTTGAACCTGTCCTCGATGCTCTTTATCGCTCGTTCTGGGTGGAGCGCAACTCGAAGATTGGGGAACCGGCGGGATTCCTTCCTATTTTGGAGGGTGTTCTTGGGAAGCAGGAGGCGCAGGATGTTTTGTCTGCCGTAAGTTGGATGCTTAATCTGTGTACCCTAGTCCCTGTCTAATGTGTTTTTTTCAGATGGGCCAACCGGATATAAAGGCTATCCTGTCCTCTAACACGGATCAGGCCTTTAAGTCTGGCGCGTTTGGTCTACCATGGTTCGAGTGCACCAACTCCAAGGGCGAGACGGAGGGGTTCTGGGGCATCGACCATCTCGGTCAGGTTGCGGACTTTTTGGGTCTGGATCGTAGCGTGGATAAAGGATTCCGAGCCGTTCTGTGACAGATTACGAGTTGCAGGTTGTTTCAGCAGCATACTTGTTGGCTCTGTTTATAATAACGAAAGATTTATATGTCCCGCTTTCCGCCTTTTTTTAAAATCAGATCGGTCTTCCACTTCTCCAGTGCGTTCGCCACTGGGGTAGGCGGACCACTAGGTCCAAGAAGGTCATATTGATGATGCCAGTCCTTGGTTGAAGGGAGAAATGGGAGCGATATCAAGAGCAAAAGGTAGGTTTACCCCAGTGAGCAAAAAGGGGCATGGGTAGGCACTAAAATGGAAAGAAAAAACATTCGAACGCGGTCTAAAGTCCATCCAGTTCGTTCCAATTCGTGTTCGACTAGTTATATACACAGGTTGATGTCTGCCGGCAGGGCCTTCCTATCTGGGCTGATTTCGTGACGGCGCTTAGGCTCCAGTGCACCTAGTAGATATTAGCACAGGCCCAGACCCAGTGACCATGCTCAGGGCAGTCACGTACTTAACTAAGATCGCAAAGGACGGAGGCGAAGGGATCGGCAAATTTCAAAATGGGTCCCCGTCAAAGTCCTATTGCATCACCCCAGGCTAACCTTGAACAAACGGAAGCTCCCCGTGATACTTGGGAAGGTCCCGCAATCTACGGAGCCCCCTCCCAAACTCCGCCATTGACAAGCGAAGCTGTGGTGCACAGAGTACCTTGGCCAATAGATCGAAAACCTCTGGGAAATGATACCCTGAATTCAATAGCCCGTGACTGACCAGGTAATCTTGGACCCCCGCGGGGGTTCTGTATTCGTTCTTGAGGCCTATTACATCGCGGATGTATCGAGAGTCTAGCAGGGCGGGTTTAATTGCGAATAGAAGGCATATTCCAGCCGAGTAAACGTCAGGTGCATAGGGCCATTGAGAATACTGCCCCTTTGCCACCTCTAAGGTTTTGTGAGTTTGCTGTCATCTGCAGCAGTTGGGATTCTTTGTCTTACCTGGAGCCGCATAGAGTGGAGTGCCTTTTCTAGGCCAAGAGCTTTGAGCCCTACTAAGGTCTATGGCGAAATCCCAGTCAATGATGGCGAAACGCTGCGACCTGGACCGCGCGGTGGGAATCCGCTGCATGAGATTTTCGAGCTTGACATCCATGTCAATGATGCGATTGCTGTGAGCATATTCCAACCCATCCACTAGATCTTTTATCATATAGAGGCGACTGAATGATAAGGCCCACGGTTCCTTTCTTGCGAACGCTGTCGGAAACTGACTCAGTATTGCGAAGGCATCCTTACCCATCCTTTCCATAACAACGAGTGACTCACCCTCTGGATAGTCCCTGCCGGCTGGTATCCAGAGGTCTTTGTATACTATGGGAACGTAACCACCGGGTTCGAGGCGGTGCTGCACCGCTCCGCCAAAATATGAGTCTTTTGCCTTGCCCCGTTTCACGACAACATTGGACCTTTCGTAACCACAAGGCTCGTCTTCCAAGTCTTTTTCTCTTGGTCGCGATCTGTCGAATTCAAAGAGAATGCCTTCCGATACTGTCCCGAATGACCCGCTCCCAAGTGGCCGATTCTTCACTGTGACACTTCCAAGTTGTCTAGCAGGGAGATATTTGCTGCCGACATCTTGACCAAACCCAAAAACTTTATCGCCGTTTCTCCTCGTGCGTATGAACCATGCGTTCCCAGTTACGCCTGGACTTCGCTTGCTGAGATACTTCTCGTACTCGTCAGATGCAGCTGGCAGCGGAGCTGTCTCATGGCCCACAGAGCCGGACAGCTGTACGAGGTCGGAGACTGGCGCAGCGTGGGTGAAAGGTAAAGAAAGAGAAATAAGGAATTGCAGTGCTAAAATCCAAGACATGATCCAGCTGCTGGGAGACGCGTTGAACAACATTCTAAGGCCAAAGTTCAAGTGCTTTTCTGGTCGTCTTCCGTTGCGAAACGTCAGGTTGGAGATGCGCTCTATTGTAAATGCCTAGACATGGGCTGGACCCCTTAGGGATTCCCCCTGAGGGATTCCCTCCTGGGGCGTAGATGGGTAAATCGCTCGTGCTTTCTTTCTTTCCATTAGACGAAGTGAGGGAGCCCCATTATGTCGACCTGATACTTGGCGCTGTCCCCCTAGAAACGGGCCAAGAGTAGTCTTCTGTTAAAGGGGGCAATCCTGGAGGATTAGCCCCCTTTAACTTCTGCGCTAGGATTCAAGAGATAATTGTCTCTTTTACTAATCTTTTGCTATGGATAATCTCGAGAGCCAGGCATGCTTTCAACTTGCCTGCAGGATTCGCCCCCTTTAACTTCTGCGTCAGGGTTCAAGGGATGATTCGTCTTCTCGTCTTCATACAATCTCTTTTGCTATGGACAGGCTCCAAAACGCGACGTGCTTTCAATTTGCTTTCGGGCTGCTCACAGTGGCGAATTGACTAGAATGGAAGCCAAATTGTGATGAGGAAATCTAGACTAGAATGTATGTCGTAGATTTAGAGATTATTGCCAAAAATAGACTATGCAAAAGTTCCCAAAATATCCGTTTGCCTATGGCGTGCGCCAGACGCTTGCATTGTATAGTGAAAATACACAGTGTACCTAACGTATGTACATGGACTTTGCAGAGGGAACCTTCACGATGCCAGTTAACTATGTATGTATTAATTTATTTGTCAAGGATAATGTTACCATGGAGCTGGAGTGTATGTATTGCTCTATTACCCAAAACAGTTTAGCCCGCCTGCCCCTCCGATATCTCCGATAGCAAGATAATAATCGAATCGAATCTTTCCCCAACACTCAATTCCGCCCAACTCTCCCATCATGGCCCCAATCCCTATAACAATCGTCACCGGATTCCTCGGTTCAGGAAAAACAACCCTCCTCCTCAACCTAATCCCGCAATTGCCACCTTCCTACCGGCTCGCCCTTCTAAAAAACGAATTCGGCGACGTGGCCGTCGACTCCCAACTCGCCTCCACGCAATCAATCTCCGGCGTCCGCGAGCTGCTAAATGGCTGTATCTGCTGCAACCTGGTCGGACAACTCAGCGACGCGCTCAATCAGCTACGCGATGAAGTGCAGCCGGACCGAATCGTCATCGAGACGAGCGGGAGCGCATTCCCCGCTACGCTGGCGATGGAGGTGAACAGGCTAGCGCGCGAACAGGGGGGCCACTTTGTGCTAGATGGTGTGATTAGCGTGATTGATGTGGAGAATTGGGAGGGATATGAGGATACGTCGTACACGGCTAAGTTGCAAGCCAAGTACACGGATCTGATTATTTTTAATAAGTGGGAGAGTGTTCCCGAGCAGCGGTTTGATGTCTGCTTGGATCGGGTTGGAGATTTGGATATTGAGACGCCTTGGGTGAAGTCTGAGAAGGGGAGAGTGGATAAGGGTGTGTTGTTGGGGATTGATGGTGCGCTCTTTGCGAAGGAGGACAAGCATGGTCTAAATGGGGTAGAGCATGGCCATGACCATGAGCACAAGCATGACCACCAGTCCGAAGTCGAGGTGCTTTCTGTGATGCTCAAATCCTCCTCGTCGGACACGACAATGGACATCCCTGCTTTGGAGCAGCTTCTTTCCTCTGTGCCGAGAGAGGAAGTCTACCGCATCAAGGGGATCATGCGCTGTTCTACTCAAAATCCACCGGCAGAGTCATCCGACAATCTCGAGGCGCGCCAGAAATCCGATTCTCCTGCCTGTCAGGACTATATCCTGAACTGGGCTTTCGGACGCTGGACGTGCACCCCTTCTGCCGTGATGGCCGAGTTTGCCGACCCGACGGTGGTCTCTCGCATGACTTTCATCTGTGCTCGGTATGAGTCTACAAAGTGGAAAAAGAAGCTCGAGGCTGGCGGACTTGTGCAAGCAAACGAAGCCGATCTGACCGTGCAGAAACTGGCCTAGGAGGCTAGGTTGTATCAAGCGCCGTGGAGCTGGCTCCGCGAGAGCTGAAGCATTTTCCCTGGCGGAGAGTTCTTTCGGTGATTTTGATGCATTACGATATCATATTTAGAGAAACGTTGATAGATAGAACACATATACACAGCCAGTAAACAGATAAATCATCATTTACATGCCAAAGACATATTGTGACACCTGGCGGTTTCAAGAGAAAGGCTTATGAACGAATTCGGGAAAATAAGAAAGAAACCAATTCTATTCTATTTTTTAATTCATTAGAAAAGGCAAATTGCAGACGCAACACGGAAAAGCAAGTCATATATTAAGTCAACCCGTCTTTTAAGGAAGACAGAAGACCGAAAATATTTCCAAGCAGAAAGGACCCGAAATAGACAATGAGCGGCATGGGTGAGCAGAAAACCAACAATGAAGAAAGCACACAGCACAAGGACCCAACTAGTTAATAGTCGAGGAGGGCGGAAGCACCAGTCTCGCTGGAAATATAGATTACCTCGTGGTTATCCGAGAATCCATTGAAACGAGTAGCGCTGCACTTGGTATAAGCGCCCATATCCTCAAAATAGAGCCAGTCGCCCGCATTCAAAAGACCCGGCAGGTCGATGCGCTCGGAGATGACATCGATGCCGTCGCAAGTCGGGCCCCAGATGGAGTACGAAATGCTCTCCAAAGTCGCAGGATTCGGAGAGTCCGGGGAGGCAGGCTGGTCCGCGGCGCGGGTGAGAACCTGGGCCACGGGGTGCTGGTGGTCGAAGATGATGTTCGAGAAGTTGCCGTAGACACCGTCATTCAGGTACAGCATGTACGCATCGCGGGAGGGATCCAGCGGGTCCGGGACGTCGCGTCGCGCGATAACATTGGCAGCGAGGGTGAACGCGCTGGCGACGTAGTAGCGGCCTGGCTCGGCAATGATGCGGATGTGCGGCGGGAAGTAGTTGTCTAGGGCATCGCTCAGGATACCAGCGAATTTTTCGAAACTCGACTGGCAGAAGCCACCGCCGACGTCCAGGGTGTGGAGTTCGTGGCCCACTTCCTCGGCCTGGTCGAACACCAGCCGTGCATCCTGGACGGCCTTGAGGAAAGCGGTGGGGTCCTCTGCGCCGGAGCCAACGTGAAAGCTGACGCCGACAACCTTGAGCTCGAGCTGGTGTGCCAGCTCGAGCAGCTGCCGGGCCACATCTAGGGAAGCACCGAACTTCATGCTCAGGCGGCACAGGCTGGTCGAGTCATCCGTCAGGATGCGGAGGTACAGCTCGGCATCGGGGAAAGTCGCCTTGATCTTGTACAGCTCGTCGGCATTGTCAAAAGTCATCTGCTTGACGCCTACCTCGGCGGCGAACCGCAGGTAGGACTTGGTCTTGCAGGGCTGGGCGTAGATGATGCGGCTAGGCTCGATACCGGCCTGGAGAGCCAGTTCGATCTCAGACTTGGACGCACAATCAAACCCGTTTCCGAGCTGGGCCATGAGGCGAAGAACCTCCGGATCCGGGTTACACTTGACCGCTGTGGTCGGCGTTTAGTAAATCATGCTTGGAAGTTGAGACTGGATCCGAACGGGACTTACCGTAGAAGGGCTTGACACGACCCAAATTCATCTTCCAGCGCAGGTGCTGGCGGTACACCTCGCCCATGTCCGCGACATAGAACGCATCCTCCTCCCCGGGGCCACAGTGGTCCACATCAACCTCGGTGGCCCGTTTCTTCAGCACATCCAGAACCAATTCCTTGGCCGTCAACCGAGATTGCAACAAGTCGTCCTCTCCATGGCTGCTGACCTGACCGTGATGGTCTAGACTAGTAAGATAGTCTTTTTTGATGGTGCATAGTTCAGCATGCGATACACACGCAGTCGGGGCCATATCCGTGCAGCTGCGACTCGGCACGATATAAGAGAACAAGCAAGAAGAAATATAAGATTAATCAATCAAGTAACGCGACTGCGTGTTAGGGAGGACGATAACCGTCACAACCGTAGTTGACTGGACCAAGTCTCCTCGACCCTTCCTCCTGAAGAGGAAGGAACTTCAGAGTAGTCCTATGCGGCAGCTCAAGGGTAGAAGAATCGACCGGCGGTGGAGTCAACGGGCTAGAAAATGGCGCACCGGACGGAAGCTCAGAGACCCGTAGCAGGAGGAGGAATGTTGTTAAGCGTGTCGCGGAGTCGTCGAGTCGAGACAACTTGACTGAGAAGTACAAGCGAGGCTACGGGAGCCGTGATGAGCGGATAATTTGTCGCCTTTGGAGGGGGGGTTCCAAAGGCAGAGGGAATAAACTTGAGAAACCGAACCGCGAGTCAGCTAGGTCGAATTGTGATGATCGAGAAAAGCAATGGAGGAAGAAGGAAGGGGAGAGAATAAAAGGCGGCCAGTCGTAAGTCAAGGTGGAGGGGCAGTCAGAATTTTTTGGGTTTGGGGTCGGGCGAGGCCAGGGTAGCTTGGGTTTAGGGCATTACTGGAGGAACACGCACGGACAACACGCGCAGAGGCAATTTTCCTCTCCACAAACAAGACCACCAAAAAACAAAAAAGACTCACTAGCAGAAACAATAATAGGTCGTGGACGAGACGAGCAAACACGAAGATATGACGCTCCGGGGAAAGGTTGCACTACCTCACGTAATCACCCGAAGCGGAGTGCTTTTGCTCAAGGTACGACTATGCCTCGTATGGTCAGATCCAACAGTGAGCGATTTCTAGTGCAGGAACTAGACCCGGCCGATCGAATCCCGTTCTGGTGTACTAATTTTTATTACATTTTTTATTTATTTAGAATATTGTTTACACGGCCGGACTGCTGTTGTCCGACCAGAAATCAATTGTGTCACCGGATAATAGTGGCCAAGGAAGAAAGCTCTCAGGATCCCAACGCGCTAACTAGTCAGCCAAAAATCATGACGCACAACAGTGGGACACCGACAGATCAGCCTGTTAGCGTAGATCCATGGTCTCACAGATCCCTCATCGGCTGTAGCAGTACAATTCGATCTGATCGACTTGGTCATGCTGCGAGGGAAGCGGGATGTGGTCCTGGAGGGGCCGGAAGGCTGCAGACTGCATCAAATCGAAAAACACCGTTTCGCTGTCGTGCCGCCTCTTCAGGGCCACCAATATTATTGCCCCGGGCGAGATCCGGATCAATCGGTCCAGCGTAGAGACCAGCGCGGGCAAGCTGTCGGCGTTGTAGGTACAGTCGGACAGCAGGATCAGATCGATAGCGCTGCTACAAAGATCCTCAGGTAGCGGCTCGTTCCAGTCGAGAGGCCGATAGGAGACCGTCGACTTGGAGGCCGGTCGGGCAGCATTGGTATTGCGTGTGACAATCTCCTCGACTTCCGGGAGGTCTGTGAGTAGGACGGAGCAGTAGGGGTGCAGCTGGGCGAGGGCAATGCCCACAATGCCACATCCGGCTCCCAATTCGACCACCTGGAGGGGACTTTGGCGCGGGTGCTGTAAAAGGTGGCGGAGCGGGGGCATTCCCTCTGATGCTCCGCTAATGGTTTGTTGAAGGTATATTACTGAGGCGAGGGCCGCATCCCTGTCATATGCCGTTCAGATGCTGGTCCCATTTAGAGGATTGGAACTTGGCTCACCAGATATGCCGAGCAATGCTGTTGCCAGTCTCCTCGGAAATGCAGAGGTCTGATTTTTGGGGTTCTGGGCTATGCCCGAGATTGAACCGACGTTCAATCAGCTTCTCAGCCGGCAATTGCGCCGAGATTGGGGTACTCCAGCCCGAGACCACTAATGGGACCAGGCATAATGAATCTTTCACAGGCGACTGAGGGCGCAGAGACCGAACAGTCAACACCACGGGTTGCTGCAGAAGGCCACGAGGCACCTCCAGAGAAATTGGAAGCTCACGTTTCCCAGCTTGCCATGTCAAGGACTTCGTGGTCAGGATTTTTGGGGAATGAGAAATAGCTAATTCTGCGATCAAGTCCACATCCTGGGCTAGGAATGCATCTCCAAGGTCCGTGGTGATGCAAATCAACGCAGAAACAACAGAGGACCCCTTCTGCTGCTGGACTCGGGGGTCTTGAGGAAGCGGATATAATAGACCATGATATAGAGCGAAAGAGCGTCGCCCGGACCCCAAACGGTTGATCTCACGTGCCGCGCTGACTAACGTCAGATGACATCGTCGGTTGCGTCGTGAGTCTACCTCCTCAACCTTTGCCTGGGTTACCCCGTTGATTCCAAGGGACCCTTTTTCAATGTCGCCGATGCCAGTGAGGAAAGAACCAACCCTTTCTGCCCCTTGCGCTGTCCATCCAAGATGATGCGCCCGCGCGACCCTCGCATCCGCCAGCGGATCAACCAGATCTCCCATAACCTCGAATCGGCCAACGAGACCGCCCAGGAAGGTCTCTACACCTTTTCACATAATTACATCTCCCCATGCTTTGCTTCTCTCGGCAACTGCATCTACGCATGTACCGCGCCCTGTCTCCCGACTAGAGAAGACCACCTACGACGGCGACGGCGCGGCCCTGCCGAGGCTGTATTTGACTTCTACGACGATTGGGACAATGAAGATGCGGATGATACTTTGCTTGGTTGGGGAGCGGGAGAACTCGATCGTCTCTTGGCGGGAAGTGGATTGACACAGGGCACTGCAGAGCAGCCACGCCGGCCGCGGAAAATGAGCTATGGCACACGCAATCCCAGGCGGAGAAGCACAGTGCATATTCCAGATAACCGCACAGACCCGACCATTATTCCCAGCTCGTCATTACTCGGCTTCCTTGAACGTTTTCCATGGAGATTTGGCGCGCGCGGTGTAAAGTACCGTCCCTCAGCGGCCGATCTACAGGAGCAGCCGTCAGGTTTGCATCGCTTCGCACAGGAAGAGGAGCCTTTGATGGAGGCTGCAGATGAAGATCTCATCCGGCCCACTAATAGTCCTAATGGAAGGAATCGGAGTGCAACTCAGTCTTCGCTCGGGACGACAAACTCACTTAGCTCACGCGGCGATTTGTTCCCCAGCGACGAGGAAGAAGACGCAGTACCACTAGATGACGAATTCGCATTTGTGCTTGGACATCGAGGTACCGGTTTAGAAGACGATGATCAGTCCGGGACGAAATCAGAGATGACAAAATCCCCCTCGGGCACGTCCAGCTTAACGGGGACGTCCTCCAAGAAGAAGGCAAAGCGGAAGAAGAAGAAGGGGTCTACTAAATCACCAGCATCAGATGTGCCAGTCGTGGAGGGGCTTGATACCCCTTCTATGGCAGATTTGAAATTAGAAGAACAGCACGCTGCTTTGGAAGAAGAATCAGCAATCCAAAAGAGACGGGCTGTCGCGCACGAGCTGGCTTTGAGCCGCGGCCTTGAAGATGAAGTCGATCCTCATTCGGTCACTTCTGATCAACCCACCCGGCCGTCCACTGGATCCTCACCTTTGCTCAGCCCGACCGTGGAAAGACCAACTCATGCCAGGCAATCCAGTGATTCGTCCAGTCGAAGATTCGATCAAACCGAATCCTTCCCTTCCTTTGAGGCTGGCTCCCCTAATCAGCCTCGCGGCACCGATATGGATGGACCACACTAAACCGAGCATTGCGACCATTGCTCGGTCTTCCATTCTGGCTGTACGATATGACGAATGACTTGCTTCTTGTACTTTATTATACCCATGCATGTGAACTAGCTAGGACGGTGACTCGGGTTTGGATCTTGGCTTGAATATACCAATTTATTTTTATATGAACTTCACTTCTACGTAGCCTGCTGTACAAGGTACGTGGAGTCTAGAATTCGGCGCTCGAATGTTTCCTCTTTCTGTTTTAGGCTTTGCTCGCCGCTTTTTGCTCTGAGCAAAATCAATTGAGCACCAAAAAATTTTCAAGGACGGTCACTTGGCTCTATCCAGGCCCAAGCGCAGTCTTTTGAAGTCAGGCCCAGCAAATTATGAAGTCAAGCAGAAAGATCGGGGTCGTCAAATGCCGGAGGAAGAGCTATTTCGTGATCATCGTCTTGTCTGAGTCGATCCAATCATGTCTTGCCACACAACACGGTAAATGGACAGGAGATAATTGGATACCTTTGCAATCCAGTCTGGCTCCTCAAATAGTCAATTTGGTGCCATGAATAACAGCTGTCAAGTTTATAGACGACAAAATCAATCCGAATGAGACAAAATATAAAGCCGGTACCGGCTAGATTGCGTCTTTGCCCCGCTCCACGCGAAGCCGTCGTCAGCCCTTCTGCTCCGTTTCAACTTTCACTCACCTCGGAAAAGATACAGGCGCTGTTAAGACCTCTCTAGTTACACGGGAGACTCCAATTATGGCAAAAGCCGAGTCTGAGCTTCGCTCGATCCTCGACGGAGGATTCGATCGGGAGAAATTCCCCTGGTACGCGCTGGATCTAGAAGAGGTTCCTGAGCCGGCCAGGACTTTGCTAGAGAAGTACAGCGAGATCTCGCCAGGGGAGGTGATGCAACATGTGAAAACAGTCGTAAGAATTGTCATGACTGGGTTTGTGATTGTTGATACTGACTGTTCTTCGCCAGCGAGATCGGGCTTTCTCTGTGGTGAGTGATGTTGACATTCCATGTCGGTAGTGAGACCAGTTTTATTCGTAAGACTGTCGCTTTGACGCTATAGTGGACGTCTACACTCTTTCAATCTGATTCTCCACTGTAAGAACATTCACTGAAATACCATGAACAGTTCCCATACCCCTGCATCGGGTCGTTCCGCTTCTTGGATATGAGCATCCCCCAATCGCCACATTACCCCGAGATTCTAGAACGGCTCAAGTCCGGCCAGAAGCTGCTGGATGTAGGCTGTGCAGTCGGACAAGAGCTGCGTCATCTGGTAAATTCTCGACCTGTTCGCAACTAGAACCCTCGTTAATCAAGAAACACAGGTCTTCGACGGCGTACCTTCAGAAAATCTCTACGCATCTGACCTCCGCCTCGACTTCTTCGAGATAGGCTACGACCTATTTGCAGATCGTGACCGTCTAAAGTCCCAATTTATCAGCGCCGACATCTTCGACGATAATTCCGACCTAGTAAAGACGCTAACCGGCCATGTCGACATCATCAATGCCGCATCCTTCTTCCATCTGTTTAGCTGGGACCAGCAGGTCACTATTGCCAAGCGTGTTGTTAGCTTGCTTTGTGCACAGCCTGGGTCTTTGTTGATTGGACGGCAGGTTGGCCGAGAAGATCCGTTAAATCAAGAAGCGGACGAGAGACACTATAGACATGATCCCTCAACATGGAAGAAGCTTTGGAAACAGGTTGAAGAGGAGACTGGCACAAAGTGGGATGTGCAGGCTTGGATAGAAGTGTGGGAGGGTGCCGATCGAGCCATGAGAAGCTTTCATGGTGGATTGCAGACTTTTAAGTTGAGGTTTGCTGTTAGAAGGTTGTAGACTTTCCTTGGTTGATTGTTGGATGAATATATTTTTCTCCTTGTGGCCTGTTATATTATGCATCTTAGAGAGGATTATATGAGACAGTTATGTCTTTATGACTTCCCGATTGGGCTATCAAACAAACACTGTCTTGTTTGAGATCTATGATTGCCCTCAAACAAGGTCTTCTTTATTTGCTCCAACTCTATCTCATAAATCTCTCTATGATTGCAAAATATTTCCCAGATCCAACACCAGTTCCTCTTTCTGCTCGAGCTCATACTGAACAAAATGGCGGCCCTCACCGGGATGGTATGCATGTTACTCATTGTAGCGGTTCCATTTTACCTCATTCTGCATCGCAGCAGTAATTCTCCAAAACATTTGCTAGAAAACCGAACCAGCGACCCAGGCCAGTGCCAAGTGCTCATAGCAGGCACATTGGCCCGCAACGGCAAGCATAACCGGCTAAACCCTCAGGAATCCCGAATCATTCCAAATCAAAACCGACGTATCGCGTTTGGAATAGACAATATTTTCACCAGCCTCAATTCAGAGCACGCTCAAAGCTTTCTTCGACAAGCTAAACAACGGATCAACCTGGAACAGGAAAGGTGGAATCAAATTGCAGAACTTGCCCGGGAAAGTGCTCGAAGTTTGACTCTTAATGGCTCCAAGAAGGGTTCCAATGCAGACGGTGTCTTTAAAGTCGGCAATGATTCTTCTATTCGCATCAACCTCGTCTCTCTTGTTAGCATCATATCGCTGAAAGTGGTACTTTTCACAATGTTCGACCGCGGAGACGGAGACGATACCAATGACTTGGTCCTGGATGCGTTCGCCAAAGCGATCAACTGGACCTGGATTGCCTCTAAACAGAGAAACCCAGACCTCGTGCCTCGGTTCGAAGACAACAGCAATCTGAGGTTCAGCCTAAGAGCAATATTTGGAAACGATGACGCTGGCCATACAAATCCATTGAACTTCATCATTCCCTCTTTTGAAACACTTTGGCGTGTCGTTCTTCGTGTATTCGTCGAAGTCGGATTTTCTACTGGCGCTGCTGCTCACCCGGAATGGAAGAACTGCTTGACTGCATTCTCAAGACACCCAACAAAAGAACAGTTTGAAGCCGCGACATACATGAACCTGGAAGACAGTGCTCCTGCCCATGATATTCCCTCTGCAAAGCACATCGTCTTTGAATCCCTTCGGCTTTACCCTCCCACTAGGAGAATCCATCGTGCCTACCAATGGAGTGACAACGCTGCGGAAGATAACCAGGAACCAAAAGCATATGATGATATGGCCGAGATATCGAAGCCTGTCACTTACGCTCGGATATCTGGGGACCGAATGCACTTGTCTTTAGTCCCCTACGGTGGAAACAGCTTACATCGAGACAGCAAGAAGCCTTCATGCCTTTCGGACATAAACCTTTCCAGTGTCCAGCTCAGTCTGTTTTTGGGCCACGAATGATTGGAATCTTGGTTGGGGCTCTTCTTGAGGTCCTCAATACCGGGACGATCAATGAATGGAAACTCGAGTCTGTGAATCAAGGAGAAATTGATCAGATGCTTTGTGGTAGAAGACTTGAGATGGATCGAAACGCCTACGAACATGTGGAATTGGTTGGGTATCGGGCTGTGGACATGGACGAAGATAGTTGGGCTGCGGGTTTTGTCTACTAAGTTGAAAACAGATGACACAACTTTGGACCTGGCTTGGGTCGAGAGCCTGGATCGGGAGAGGCGAAGTAATTGGACAGATTAGAGATTTGGGAGATCTTGAAATGAGAGAAATTCATGATACTAGTAGGTATTTGTTTCTTTTCATATCGAATCCCGACGATTAACCGCCTAGCCAATTCACCAATTACCGCTAACACCCATGAAAACCAAAAACTCCGCATCGGCAAAATATTGAGGCTCGATATACTAGATGAGAGAGCCGCCATCTAGAGAACCATTGTCATTCCCCAAAAGCCGGTTCAGCGTTGTCGGCAAGGCACCCTGCATCTGCCCAGCGACATTCCACTGCGGATTCGCCGCAAAAGACTGGGAATTGTTGACCAGCAGGCCGGAGTCATATTGAACAGGTGCCATTCCAGACTGCAGTTGCGGAGGAGGTTGTTGCATATTCGCAGGTTTATGAGACGGGGTGAGCTGAGATGAGTCCTGGAATAACCATGGAGGGTTCGCTAGCGACATAATCTCCTGATCAAATATTGTCCATGAATCCTCGGTATTTGGGAACGGGAAAGCTAGGGCTGCGCTGCTGTCTGGTGGCGTGTGCATGGATTGCATTCCAGATTCGAGGCGGCGAGATAGAACAGTGTGGATGCTTACTGCGGACTGATGGCTTCGTTGTAAGCTGTGTAGATGTGCTTGGATGAGGTTGAGATCTGTATATCCGGTATGTTAGTGAGATTCATTTCCAATAATATATAGTTCATACCGTCCGGATGCGTCATGCCATCTTCAACACCTCGAAGGAGTAGAAGGGCTGCCCAGGTGATCATCTATGCATCATGAGACAAATTTTCTCTAGAGTTGGAACAGGATGTACTCACCACTAAATCCCAGTTAGACCAGATACTAGCATCATCTTGCCGCAGCTTCAGGACTGCCCGCGCTGAAACGAGTAGTTCATGTCGCTCGCCAGAGCTAATATTTGCAGACCCAAGATCAAATCCCCGGGCAGGATGGTATATAGAAAGCACATAGAGTTTGTGCAAATGATACTGCAGAAGAATGAGAATGCCTTGTCGATCTGACGGGGATGGTTCTAAGGCAGTAAACACGCACGTTGTTAGTTTACCCATTGCCAAGAAGTATCCACGTAGCGTAGTACTTACGGACCGCTCCATTATATCTAACCAACCAGTCATCAAGTTTGCGCGCCCAAAGCCGGATAACCTTGGAGTCATTCTCAGTGAACGGCGTACGAACCACGGGCATGGAGTCGGCGACGTCTGCATTGACAGAACTCCATATCGTCGGAAGTCCACGGCCGATGAAGTGGCTCATTCCGTAATGCATCATTTCTGCAAGACCTTGAAAGGCATTTCCCTGGTGACTGTCCAGACGTTGGAGATCTGGATTTGGCGGATGGCGCGGGAGCAATGGGTATGACATGTGCATTGAAGCGTGCTCTATATCAATGACCTATGAGGAGGTCAGCGAACCGCAATCTAGAGAGCTTGAAAGACTTCGTATTACCTGCAGACCAGAAAACAAGCCGCGCCAGTCCTGTGCCGTTGTTTCATCCATTTCAGAGGGACAGTGGTCCAGCCAGAGACGGTATGCCAGTGCAATCCATGACCCAGTGGCATCAATATAGGCTTCTGAGCTCAGGCTGGCCATTATTAACCCGAGAATATTGTGAAATGCCTTACACTTGGTCGCTGGTGGAGGTTGATCTTGCTCTGATTCACCACAGTTGCTCTCTGACATATGTGAAAGACCCGGCTGAGGAGTTGGAATGACCAGCTCGGCAATGGCACTGCATGTCGCTGCAAAATAACTCGACTCTGATGTCGCAAGCTCCGACGATGGATGGTGAAGCGCAGAAATATAGAGGACTGAAGCAAGCAGTAAGGGCGTCGGAGAAGTAAAGGCGCCTCGGTCAGTGAGAAAGTGAAGAAGCGGTAGATTATTCAAAAACCTAGAACACCATTAGCAAGGTTGTTGCATATAATAGCATTGGGGAATTTCATACGAGCTCCATAGCTGCTTGATAAGAGGTCGAGACCATACGCGTTCGTCCGGCGGCGGACGGGTAATAGTTCTCAAGTGCGCAATTGCTTTCCACACGCCATGAAGTGGAACATCACCCAACTCCGCTTCAGGGCTCATATCATGCATATCATAAGACTGACAAGGTGACGAATCTGCCTCTTCATAAAGGTATTGGCTGATGCCCAGAGCGGCTTCGATTCGATCCAGTCGGTTCAGAATGGAGATGTGGTCCTGGGTCATCGAAGACTGCGAGGAACGTAGCTCCTTCTGGGACTCTTCGACTAGTTCATGGATAGCCGCAGCCTATAGTAACTGTAAGCTATCATACTTTGCTCAGTCTAATGTCACATACATTAGCACGAGGCTTGAACACACAAGTAGTCTTTGTTTGGCGACATCGCCGACACGGAGGTGGGCCAGCCACCTCACATTTCATCTGGCAGACGCCATCAGTTCACAAGTTCCGACATTAATTATTATCAGTAATTCATACCTTCAATCGTCGGCAATTGACTTCATTCTCATCATCATTAGTTAGCTCCGCTCCACAACAACCGAAACCCACGTGGTCAGGCTGGCCCCTTTTTGACTTACCGCATGCCTTGGTCGGCTTGGGGCCGAGCACGACAGACCCCGACTTCTTCATGGTAAACCAATACACAAGAAATTAGGCTTCTACATGGCCCTGGATGTTATTTTAACAAAGGTAGGATGAAGAACACATCTAGTGCTGATCGTGACGTTTCAACGGCGTTGCACAGCCGGGACACGTGACAGGGGGCCAACTCGTATTTTCTCCGCTTTTTGCGCCAGTTCGTTTCTATTGGACTCGTTTTAGGGTTCTTCAGTGCGAGGTAAATGAACAATTGGGGTCGGAATTGAATTTAAGGAAAGGATCTGTTCTTCTGCAGGATTATGGTTAGTTATCTAACTACAATAGATAAGCGAGGTTGACAAGCACTGCCCCAGCGCCATGTATGACGGGGGTCAAGACATATCTACGCCAGCCAGGCGAAAGGGGGTGGTTACATCCAGGATTATAGTTCGCGCCAAGTCACGTCATGTTCTCACGTTTTTAGTCCGCCCTGCGTAAGCTGAAAGAGGGATTTTCCAGGGCGGTTCTGGGAAACGGAGTCAGGAAGTGTGCCGCAAGAACAAGTCTTGGGCTCACATTCCCTACTGCTCTTGCGCTTGCATCCGGGAACGGATGCCACATCTGTCAACCAAAGGGGGTGACTGGTTGCAGGTGTGTGTGATTCAGCTCTGGTGCTCGAAAGCACGTATAGATCTTGCAGCGCGTAGAATGGAGGATGGGACAGAAATAGTGGGAAGACAGGGGATCTATATGGCAGTTATATGCGTAGTGTACAGGAAATGTGCAGGATGATAAAAATACACGGGGGCAAATAGACAGGGTATAGAGGTGATGGTACACTTTCGTTCGACCAGGTCTTGACGGCAAGAGGCTGTCCCTCAAGGTCCTAGCAAAAGGAGGAATAGGGCCTGCCTATGAAGATGCGGCAGCATTGTTCGGGAGATCCATGGACAACTTGCGCACATCCCATTCGGAACCAGCCCAGTCCTTCTTCTCACCCAGCACGCAGGTGGCTTGTCGAGAGCCATTGACCAAGAATCGATCGGCGGCCTGGTTCACGTCCTTAGCCGTGACATCCAAGACCTGCTCTCTCCAGCGCTGGTCCATTTCATGAGTGACACCGCTCATGAAGTAGCGACTGCCTTCTTCGTCCACGCTCATTGGCGCATCGAGACCCTGGAAGATGCCAAGTTTGGCTTCTTCGATCTCCCGATCAGACCAGGCACGATCCCGGGCGAAGAGTCCACTGTTTTGGAAAACCTTCAGGGTGTTGAGAGGGTTGGGATCACGATAGCTCATAAAGGTGAAGATACCCTTGATAGGGCCGTTGCTGGCGCCGGCGCCGTACGCGCCACCCTTTTCGCGGATTTCGGGGTGAAGATAGTTGTGAGTGAGGAGCTGTGACAGGACGCTGAGTGGTGCGCTGGACGGATCGACAAATGGCACTGTCTGCGTGGCCAAGCCGGAGTAATAGACCTTATAAGGGAGGTCATAGAAAGCCTTGTCAGCTGACTTGAAGCCCAAGTTGGTTGCGGTAGAACTCGGGGAGCGAATCTGAGGCAGATTGCCAATCCATTTCTGTAGCACTGACTCGTTGCGAGAAGCGCTCTCCGCCTCGCAGACCATACGGACACGGAAGCTTGGGGTCTTGCTGATAGCAAACGACTGAATCAAACGGAGCTTCTCGATCAGCTCCTGGAGACGTTCAGGGGATGACTCGGCATCACGAAGCAGGTTCGCCGTGGCCTGCAACTGCTCCAGCCCCGACTGCTGCTCCTGCACCCAGAAGCTCGGCGAGAGACTGGCAGCCGCTGCATTCACCGCGTATCTGTGACCAGTGCCAGCAACGGCATCTAGCGCACCGTTGGTAGCAAGGCGCAGGAGTTCTTGGATCAAGGCTGGCGCCGCAGGGCTCGTAAAGTCGGTCTCAGTCATCAAGATCGACAGCATTTCCAGCATCTCGGGAATATTCTTGTCCAAAGCATACCCAGAAAACTGCAGGCCTTCTTTGAACTTGTCGAGCTGTGTCGGGGATGAAACGAGGAATGATGAAGTTGAGATTCCTCCCGTCTTCAATTTGATCAAGTCCTCCCATTGCTCCATCGACCTGTTGGCCGTACCCAGTCTCATAACGCAGTCGTTAA